ATGATCCCAAAAATCTGCCTTTGAAAGATTGATTATGAGTTTTGGGACACCCTGTATATTATCCAATTATATTTTATTATTTTACATCTTGTATTATTATTTTATGCTTTAATATCGCAAACATGAAAAATTATTATTATAAATATTAAATTTTTCAGTCTTCAAAAAAGCCTCCCTTTGCTTTCAAATTTTGCTGCACGTATTCTTGACAACAATATTTTTTTAGTAATTATAAGTATTTAATTCCAGTACACTTGCAAATATTGCCACAATTGTTGAAATTATTTATAATTAACGCAATTATATTAAAAATTAAAATCTATATAAAATTATTAAATATATTAAAAATATCGGCGAACATATATTTTTAAAACAGATATTATAATAATTATAATATTTTACAAATTTTAGAAATTAAATAACGGATAATATATTTCATATTTTTCATATTTTATGAAAAATACTTGAGCGAAATAGCTAGAGAAAAAAAATAAAAAAACTTAATCATTTGTCTTCTATATTTCTTAAGAAGGATGTGATATATTTGACCGGTACTGTATTTTGAAGAAATCTTTATTCGCGTGGCATGAAAAATATTATTAATGAATATTGAAATAAAACGATATGATTAAAATCATTCCCTTATATTGACTCTCAATTTTCTAATTTTCATAATTTTGTACGATACCAATAGTTTTTACAAAATATGCGGTACTTCTTAAATAAAGATTTTAAGATGGTTAGATTATTATCTTTATTATTTCTCTTTTTATTATTTTTTATTATTTATTATCTTTATTATTTATTTTTTTATTATTTATTCTTCTTGACTATTTATTTTTAATTCCAAATGAATTTTATCCATACTATTTTTTTAAATAACACAGATAAATTCAGTTGGAATAATAATAAATAACAAATAGATAAAAAAAATAGCCGCGTTGGAACCTGATCTTCAATATACCGATTCTCTGCGTTCTATAATTATGTCCAATTAAAGACATAATTGAAACTGAGGATACCTGACCGCTACTTGTGCGCGGGGAGACCACCTGTTTTTTTTTCCTTCGTTATTAAAACGCAAGTGTGGGAATGTGGGGTGGTGGCGTGTCACATAATGCTGTCGTTTCATCATAATAAAGATCGCTGGATTATGGTAATTCGTCAAAGTCGCTCGTGTTGCGTATTATTAAACGAAAAATTAACTCCAGCGAATACGCTAATCGTCCGATTAAATAGTTTGGAGCGCGATTAAAAGAGAAAGAAGGAGAGAAAGAGAGAGAGCACGACCTAGAGATAATGATCCTTAGCAAGCCACCTGGTTTTACCTTAACAGATACTCGATATCACCTGCCTCTCGTTGACCCTCTACAAACTTTAGCCTCGAATTAATGGCTCGCCTCCCTCCCCCTTGCGACTGCAACGCTGCTTTATAATAAGGAATTTCAGCAACGTCATAAATTTAATATACTGGCGGCGGATGAATGAGATCGCATATAGATTTTCAATTAAAAGTCGATTTCAATTGATTCGCATTTTTTTTTCTCCTCGCTCCTCTCGATTTTTTTCTCCTCTCGTGCTTTATCGGTGAACGGATTCTTCTCCTGCTGGTTCTCATGTATTCTGATTAAACAGAGATAAGCTCTTAATTTTTTGTGGGGAATTTATTTGCATATAATTATCGTGTTGATTCGTAATCAAATATATTCTTTAAAAAATCTGTAATAACGAATATTCATTCGAAGAGCGATTATTTCGGGTAAATTTACATTTAAATTCATTATTCCATAATTTTATGTTTCTGTCTTCTTATTACGACTTGTCAGGAAGGCGTTAATAATTGAATAATTAATGTAAAATGTAAGTTTTATGAGCCTTGAAATATGATATAGATTGAACTCCATCGACTTTTGATGATTAGGATCTCCAAAAAATATCCTCCTTTCATCTGATTATTAATATCAAATCTTTCTTATCTCGATAAAAACTCGAATCTTTAAACTATTCGAAATAAATTACACACTGATGATCTCGAGCACACTAATTAAAAAGCAACCCGAAATTATGTAAATTAAAAAGTATACATATTTATCAAAACTTTATTGTTTTTTTCTTCTATAAACGAATTTTACATAAGATTTATTCATAAGAAATTATTTTTTTACAACTGTATTATATAATTAATGCTTTATTACGTGGAATGAAATATTATTTTCATTCATTTCTGCGCAAATTACGACGAGATGAAATCTCGAATCATTTATTTTCAAAAAAATGACACTTTTCTAGACACTCGTTTATTTAAATAAATAAAATATTTATAATATATATAAATATTTTATTTATTAAATAATTAAATAATTAAAATATTTGGAAACTTTAAATAATTAAAATATTTGGAAACTGTGCAAGTATTGAAAAAAATTTTAAAGAATCGTTAAGAAAAAAGCTCGAGTCTTCAAATTATGCAGCAAGCTAGTGATTTAATACGTGATAAGGTTAATGAAACTCGCAATAATTTATCGATTCAGCTTTTTTAAATTCAGTACAGAATCATTAATAACAATAGTTTCACTCATAAGTATGACACTGTAACAGTAAAGCCTCACTGATAAAAATCAGTAACAACTGATTTTTCAGTGAAATCATGCTGCCATGAGATTAGAAACAAAACGAAAAAACAATGTAAATGAGTGATTCACTGGTTAGTCATTGCTTTAATCAATGATTTTCACTGCTTCTATTTAAGAGAATTTTTTTAGATAACTATATGCATCATTAAAAAAAAATCTAAATCATATCAATGGATAAGGAAAACTGAACGCGATGTTGCATCGCGTTCAGTTTTCCTTATCCATTGATATGATTTAGATTTTTTTTTAATGATGCATATGGTTATCTAAAAAAATTCTCTTATTTATATTTATATTTATATTTATATTAGAATTACAGGAGATACCAAGACTAACTTGATATTATCTCAATATTTGATTTTTTTTAATTAGTTATCAAAATTAAAATTGTCAAGATTATTAAAAAGAAGTAAACAAATATATATTTGTAAATTAAGTGAGAAAAAAACATTATATTATGCAAATTAATAGTTAATTTTTATTTAAATGAAATTTATTTAATAAAGAACCGATTTTTTATTTTAATTTTTAATAAATAAAAACATTTATATTAATAAATTTAGACACAATTAATGCACTAAACAAAACCGATTTGAAATTTTACACGATTGTTTAGCTTACATAAAATTCTGGGTACAGCAGATACGCAGTTTTTTGATAATGTGTGCGAGCTGTGACAGCATTTTGATATCAATGCTAGCAAATGTCTTTTCGAGAAAATAATAAATATATACATTATATTTGGTGTTTTGGAAAATAATCGAATGACATAAATAGTAATATAATTATCTTAAATTATTAAAGATTATACTAACTATTATTTCAAACAATTGTATAAAAAAAAAATGTCGATAAAATCGAGAGAAAACAATAAAAAAAAACGAGATTTTGTCGACCAGATTTACACAGGGTGTCTCAAAACTCATAATGAATCTTCAAAGACAGATTCCTGGGATCATTCGGAGACGATTTTTGTCATCATATATCTTTGCGATTAAGCCTTAAATTAAAACTCAACTAAAGTAAACTCTATTTAAAATTAATCGAAGAATGTGGTTTCGTTAATATTTGATTTCTGCAATACATTTCCCCTTATTTTCAATTACTTATAATTCGAAAATTATTAGTAATTAGCCCCGACATTTGAGGAAAAATCGTCTTCGGATGATCCTAGGAATCCTTTCTGTGATCCATTATGAGTTTTTTGGGACACCCTGTATTTATTATTTTCCAAAAACTTTCGATACCAATGCAACAATATTTGGCGAATATTACCTCGCATCTCTAGCATCGATCTCCCCGTCGAGGCCCCCCTTCCCGCCCCGATCCATTCGAGCGCCGCTCGCTTATCGCGCCGACAACAATGAAACGCCGCGCAGCTTCTCGCCGCGCGGCCCGGGTCCTCTCCCGCGATCGTGGAACGGAAGTCGAGGATAGGCGGAGTTGGTTTGGACCAATCGTCGAGATGCGCGCCTCCCACAGCTGTCAGCTGTTCTTCCCGGCGGAGTTGTTGTCGCGCGTCGTCCTTTCTTCCTTATAGGTGCAATTTCATTGACGCTGAAAAGTAGCGTCAACCATTGGTTGAACAAAGAAGTAACTAGTTGCTTGTTTGTTCAACCAATGGTTGACGCTATTTTTTAGCGTCAATCATTGGTTAAACAATGAAGCAACTAGTTACTTCTTTGTTCAACCAATGGTTGACGCTACTTTTTAGCGTCAATGAAATTGCACCTTTAAGATGCGGCCTCATTGACGCTAAAAAGTAGCGTCAACCATTGGTTGAACAATGAAGCAACTATACTTACCTCTTTGTTCAACCAATGGTTGACGCTACTTTTTAGCGTCAATGAGGCCGCACCTTTAAGCGGCGTTTTCATTGACGCTAAAAAGTAGCGTCAATGAAATTGCACCTTTTGAACTTTATTTTATTGACGCCGAATCTAGAGAAAGTCTAGTGATTTTAATTTGCCGCTGGTTTCTGAACTATTGCACCTTTAAGGTGCAATAGTTTAAGGTGCAAAAGTTTCAATCTGATTGAGAAAATTAGAATCGTAATTATAATAATTTATTATAATAATTTTGTGCATTGAATTATATTATATAAAAAACTTTAATAAAAGCCTCAATCATATATCTGATTTTAATAGAAATCTGAATAATAGTTCCAATAGAGATATTATTGATTGATCCACGATATGATCAATAATATGAAAAATAAGAAATTTTCCCTTTACCTATGTGAATAAATTAAATTTCTTTGACTTAGATCACGTAAGAAAAAAGAATGATACTTTTTAATTCTTTTCTCCTTCAAAAAATAAGTATAAATAAGACGTTATTAAATTGTTGTTGCCTTTTAATTTGCAGGTGGTTACAATCATCTTCGCAGCCCCGTGTGCCAAGACGAAAGTCAAAGAGACGAAACGTCGCCACCACCTCACAGCCATAGCACCCAACCGCCCACCTCTCATTCTAGCACTCCTAACAGTAACAATAACAATAATAACAATAACAATGCCAACAGTGCGTACATCCACCTTCGGAATTTAAATCAGCTCAAAACGGAATGTAAGTTTCCTTTATTTATTCCAGATATATTTCATTAAATCCGTTATGTATCATTTTTTTTAGAAACTCTCGAAAGATAAAGATTTTTTAAATTTTGCATTTCACTTTTTCCCTAAGCTTTTCTTGGCGTAATTAATCGCTTCAACTAAAAATCTTTGCTCTCACATAAAATACTTATTTGTTGAATAGATACAAAATATAGGGTGTCCCGGACTTAGCGAGCCAACCGTTAATGATAGATTCCTGAGATCATTTGGAAACGAAAATCTTAATACCAAAATGTTGAGGAAGATGTAGTTTCGGCGCTACAAAAGTTTAACCAATCGGCGCGTTACGTTCTGTAATCTTTCTATAAAAAAGATTAATTGAACAAAAAATAAATTTCCAGCGAACTACAGTAATCACCACATAGCGGAGCATCTCCAGAGCGGAGGTGGTGGCCTGGGCAGCGGGGGCGACCTCGGGGGTACCGCGAGCAACGAGAGCGACTTGAGAGTCGGTGCAAACGCCACGGAGAGTTACATGACTCCGGCGCATTATTCCGGATACGACGAAGCCTCCGAGTATCACAGCTTATCGCAGGATCATCAGCCGCATCCGTACAATTTGGACGGTTCACCGGACTTTTACGGCGCCAGCGGGATCCACATCGAGCCCAAGTATCAGCCCTTCAAAAACTATCCTCGAGGTTCGTCAGCCTGACTGAAATTAACGAAGAAAAGATTTCTTTCTAAAGATTGCATTAACATGGAATTAATTGTATTTTGTAAATAACTAGTCGGAATTATTTTAACCAGGGTTGGCAAAAAACTTGTTTTTTTTATTTTAAACAAAAAACATTGTTTTTTTTGTTTGGAACAATGTTTTTTGTTTTATTTGTGTTTTTAAGTGAAGTAAAAAAAACATGTTTTAAACAAGGAAAAAACATTTAATAGCTTTGATCTGTGTAAATATTTAAATTTTTCACTAGCGTTAAACTGTAAATAACGTTGCCAAAATTGACAACGCTATTAAAAATATAAATAATAAAATAAAAATGATGAGATGCGTATTATTTAAGCAGAATATTTATTTTTGGAGTTATTTATTTTTGAAGAAAAAAAGTTCTAGTTAATAATATTTAATATAAAATACTTTGATTCCTTTCCTATTCTTATTAAGTAACCTCATGCTTAAACTCTCAACATAAATTATAAATAAAAGAAAAATAAAAAATCTCAATTCTTCTTTTTAAAAGAACTTTTTTTTAAAACTAATGGCCTGCTATGAGTTATGTACTATTAATTTAAAATGCTAAAATGTAAGATGTAAAATCAGTCAATATCTTCTAAGTAATCTTTATTGTATTGATTGTTATTTAATATCCAAAAATAAATATTCTAAAATAATACCCATCTTATCATTTTTATTTTATTATTTATATCTTTATATCTATATGTTACATAAATATAGATAAAAAACTAAAAACACTAAAACAAAAACTTTTTTGCAATATACACATCTATTTTGTTCGATTTTGATTTTTTTTACAATTTCTTTTCCAAATAATCATATATTTTATTTGCGATATTTGAAACGATTCTAAACAGTAGTTTAAAACAGTTTAAAAGTTTTTGTTTTAGTGTTTTTAGTTTTTTATCTATATTTATGTAACATATAGATATAAAAATATAAATAATAAAATAAAAATGATAGATAGGTATTATTTTAGAATATTTATTTTTGGATATTAAATAACAAAAATGTTTAAAACAGTGTCCACTTTAAACAAGTTTTAATCAAACAGTTTTAAACACATTGTTTAAAACATGCCAACCCTGATTTTAACAATAAAAATAATAAAATTAACAATAAAAATAATAAAAAAAACAATAAAATTTATCAGATACAATACTGGTCGACTTGTTGACTTGATGAAAATTATTGGCATACTTACTGTCTTGCAGGACGCTATCACGAGAGCTACAGCGAGGGCGGATATGGCCAGTACGATGCAACGTCGTTCCAAACGGTTCCCGGAAGTGGAAGCGGTGCTGGAGGCGGCGGCGTCGCCGGTGAGCAGTGGGGTGTCGGGCTCGGGGATCATTTGCCTCATCATCCCGCGTTTCTCGCGGGACTCGGACCACGGGACTCCTCCAATCCCCATCATCCCACATCCATCACCAATAATGCGGACCAAAAGCCCTTACTGCAAAGCCCTATGCTCGCCAGTTATGCAGGTGAACTTTGCGATTCAATCGATGCATCACTTCCACTGTTCACAGAATCTTATGAATTATTAATAAACCTAGAAAAAAAAAGAAGTAATTAAAATCGATCACCACTGGCAATATTTATTGAGGTAAAAAATCACAATCACAATTTAAAACATAGAAACTTAAATTAAAAACCTAGAAAAGTAAAGACAAAGTAATATCTCGTGGATTTTCTAGCTAAATACTTTAACAATTGCATTTCACAACTTGATAATTTAATATTCAACACTAATCAAATGTATAAAATGGCATGTAGGCGGACCATGTTTCACCGGATCAGGCCCAATTCAGCTCTGGCAGTTTTTACTAGAACTGTTAACTGACAAATCGTGTCAGGGTTTCATCTCGTGGACCGGCGATGGCTGGGAATTCAAACTAACCGATCCGGACGAAGTCGCACGCCGTTGGGGCGTCCGCAAGAATAAACCCAAGATGAACTACGAGAAGCTGAGCCGAGGCTTACGTTATTATTATGACAAGAACATTATTCACAAAACTGCTGGCAAACGATACGTGTACCGCTTTGTATGCGACTTACAAAGTCTACTAGGGTAAGTTTAGTGCGCATAATACAATTAATAAAATTTTATACAAATTACACATGATATACAGAGTGTCCCAAAGGTCCCGGACCGGTCGAGTATTTCATAAACTATGCATTTTAGAAAGAAATGTTTCAGACAAAAGTTGTATGGCTTGAAGGGGGGCCAGAAAAAAATATGTAATTGTTAATTGCAAATTACATATTTTTTTCTTAAAAACAACTATGTTTTTTCTTTGCACCAATTGATTCCTCTCATTATTTTGTACGTAAAATTATTAAGGTATGATAATCGAAAAATGAATATTTCACAAGATATTTTACGGTTCATGTAAAATGAAGAAATGATTTCAAGCCTCATAACTCGAAAAGTACTCAATGAAGAAATACTTTATTATAGTGTTTTGGAAAGCTCTCGAGATAAATTACACGAATATGCAATAAAAAATAGGGAGTTCCATTTAAGAAATTGACGGTGATCTTTACGTGACTTTTAAATAACTCTCCCATGTCAAATCATTGTCACTATCTGATGGCACCCTTCAAGCCATACAACTTTTGTCTGAAACATTTCTTTCTAAAGTGTCATAGTTTATGAAATATTCGACCGGTCCGAGACACCCTGTATATAATACTTTATATTGACAAGTTTAATTGCAATATTTTTGCTGAGAAATGTACTTGAAAAAATTATGTATAAAATTGAAAATACGGGGTGGAAAATAACCATTTGCTAGGGGTCCAGAGAAAAATGCAATGCTTCCGCTTTCTCGTGGCAAAACATTTTAGATTGATTTCTCAAACTCTTATCAAGCTTCAAGAAAAAGTTGGCAACAAATATTTTCGAGTAACTTGCTTGCATACTTCGAAAAAATATTAAATAATATGAATATTAATTCATCTCGGAATTTGTTAAAATTGTGAAAAAATTAAGAACTGTGAAGGAGATTGAAAAAGTTAATACTGGCTAGCGTAAGCTTATGTTAAATAAAATATTGGAATCCCGATACGCGTTGCAATTTTCTCTGGACCCCTAGCAAATGGTTATTTTCCACCCCGTACAATATAAATTATCGTGTTATTTTCTTTTGCGATATTTACAGACTCAGTCCTGAGGAGGTACATGCAATGGTAGACTTGAAACCCGAGAAGAAGGAAGAAGACTGAGTTTTTGTTAACGAGCATGCTTTGGAGGACTGTGTCACACTTATAAAAGAAATGTAATAATACAAATTTCCCCCCTCTATCTCTCTATTTCTCTCTCTATCTCTTTCTTTGCATTAAGCGTGCTAAGAACAAAGAAACATGGGAGGACAAAGTATCTATACAATGAAATCACTATGAAAAAACTATATTCAAGTACAGAAGACTGTGATAGAGCGTCTTCTTTGTTCAGATATAAACAAAATCGAATCGGTCGTATGTACCAAAGACAGGGTCTGCATACCATTGGTGCCTAAAGTTGAATAAATCGCGGATTTGTTTCTAAGTGATTGATTTGTCAGCAGATTTTAGAGAATATTTATAGGAATAACTCGTCAATTTATACAGATATATAAATATATATATATATATATATATATATATATATATATATATATATTTTTAATGTTACATGATTTTTCAACGCTATTAGCGTCAAGATACTTGGTGATGCCGCTAAATTATTTATGTCTCATCATTTTAACATGTGTGTTATATCTCGTTGATAGATGACTCGATATGTGATTGTTATTACCATAATTTTACAATAAACTCATACAATGTACTATGTAGCGAGCTTCTCAATTCGATATTTTCACATATGCTTTTTTTTTTTATGTATAGTTAATTTTTAGACTGTAATTCTAAACTGTACTTTTTTTCCTTTCAAGAGCTCGCTTCTTCAAAAAAAAAAAGAAGACATATATATATTTTATATATTATTTCTTAATTATTAAATGTATATTCTGGTATGTTCGCTCGCGGTATATCGAATATATTTAATACTTTTAATCGCGCAATAAGAAAAAAAATTGTTATACATGTAATCCAAGTCGGAAAAACGTTGCTAAGAGTATGAAAAGAGTATGCTGTTAATTTAATGTTAATATTTTTCCATAAAAATAGCGTTTATTGCGAATTTGGCTTTTGTTTGTAGAATATCCTTATCGAAAAATTGTACATTTATGACTTTGAAGACATTGAAGACAAGTGAATATTTATGAAAAAAAAAGAAAAAGAAGGGCTATGTGCAACCAGTGTTCCATGTATGCCAAATTTTATTCATACACATATGCTGTTTCTTTTTAATTATTCATACACATTACAAACATAAAGATGTGACGATTCTAAAATTATTATAATTTTCCTTCGTTAACATTATTATTTATTCAAAACTTATATTTTTTATATTTTTTTAATTTATAATTTTTTACATTAACATTTATTATTTTTTTCTTAATAAATTTGTTAAGTTTCACGACAAGAAAACTAGCGATTACGAGCCACAGCGGATGATAACGCCTAAAAATTCTTTTCTTTTGTACGCGAAAATTTAAACGAGAATGAGGCATATGCATATATTTTTTTTATTTTTTTTGCACATATTTTTTTTGTTAAGTTTATCGCTTCTTTTTTCATAGAACACTGGGTATTGCAATTGTATATCAGATATACATATAATATATATGCATAACTATTTTACAATTTACTATGCATAAATTATATTAATATTTCTATCAAAGAGAAAATATTACATTGTATGTAAATGATGCGAAGATATATTCCCAGGTAGCAAGATGACGTCTCCAGACGTCTTAATGACGTACAATGACATTATTAAAACGTTATTAAGATGTCATTTGACGTCACCTGGATTAATACCATAAAATTTTGACAGATTGAAGTACGAGCAATGTATTTTGTATTTTCCACGTGTCTTATATTTAGAAATGTATGCGTACGTAGGTATATACATGCATTTGTATGTGTGTATGTATATAATATGATTTAAACTATTTTTGTATCCGCTGTGTTTGTTAAGTTTCCATGTACCAAAATAATTTAACGCTACAAAATGATAAGAGAAACAGCGTAGTATCTTTATACATAATTTTAACAGTATACTAATTTCAAATGATCGTTTCTGGGATTTATTACGTTGACGAGGATTGTTGAGGAGAAGTATGTAAAGCGTAAAGGATAGCGATTTTTGCGTTGACGAGGATTGTTGAGGGAGAAGTATGTAAAGCGTAAAGGATAGCGATTTTTGCGTTGACGAGGATTGTTGAGGGAGAAGTATGTAAAGCGTAAAGGGTAGCGATTTTTGCGTTGACGAGGATTGTTGAGGAGAAGTTAGGGATGGGCGATTTTTCCAAAAGAATCGATTTTTTGGATCGATCTGGATCGGAGACTTAAAAATCAATTCGCCAAAAAATCGACTGTTAAAGAATCGATCTATCAAAAATCTCTTTATTTAATTTTACAAAATATTAAATATTTTTGAAAAATATTAAATTTTACAAAATATTAAATATTTTTGAAAAATATTAAATTTTACAAAATATTAAATATTTTTATAACAATACAACATTATTTCCAATAATAGCACGTTTTTGTATGAAAACAAAACATCAATAACTTGTTATATATGTTTATTGCTTATTTTTTATAAATATTCATATAATATATATATTGCATATAGTGTTGCATATTTTATATGCATTGTTGCGGTTTTCTTTACTTAACATATACGAAAAATCAAGGCATAATATGAATTTTATATTTTTATTTTTGCTTCTATTTTTTATTTTTTATACTTTTATTTATTTTTTCGATCTCTAATCTTAAGAATCGATTCCCTGGATTAATCGAAGATGTAAGATCGATCTAAAAAATCGAGAATCGGATATAAAACAATCGGTTCCTCAAAAGATCGATTCAAGATCGCCCGTCCCTAGGAAAAGTATGTAAAGCGTAAAGTGCGATTTTTACGAAAGTCTCTTGTTATAAAAGCTACCAAGATTATCCTTTTAGCGCGATAATCGTTATGATTAAAGTTTCTCCTAGTTGTGTCGCGACCGAATGTTATAAATAAATTATATTAAATACTCTTAGAGAGAGTCCCTAAAAATACGGGACGGAATAATACGATGTATAAAGCTATTCGAATGTTAATATTAAGTTATCCACGGTCTTGGCACTTGTTATATTAAAAGAGAGCCATACTTCTTTCCCAGGATTATATATAGCATTTTCAAAGAGATACGAATGTGCAGAAACTTTTAGTAGATGCAATAAAAAAAAAAAAGAATAAAGAGATTTTTATAAATACCTTCGACGCTGGGAGATTGTTATTTATTTGTTTCCCGCTCATTAAACATTTATCGTTATAAACTGTAAATTATTTTGAAAATCGCGCGTCGCAATAAATTTAGGGAATTTTGGGGAATTTTTTGAATGCTTCTTCTACACCTTTATATAAATTGTCAATTTTTATATATTATTCACATGCATGTATATTATATTTTTTTAATCTCCTTCATTTTTTTTGTTTTTTTTAATTATTTTTATATTTTTCTTAATTTCTTTTTTTTAAGAGGGTTTTTAACAGATTTTAAAATAGCTGATTATGCTAGATTTTGATTCAACGTGCGATAGAGACATTTAAGAAAAAAACTATGTGGCGCGAATCTATTTGTACCAGTTGTTCAGACTGTCGCAAAATTTGCAGAACGATGCGGAACAATGTGAGATTAAATGCAGAAATGACAGAGTCGAATGCATCTTTCGTGCAATGCATCTTGGAATTGGTACGTCATTAATATAGAATCTCTGCGATTTCGCTAAATTTTTATTAGAGAGAGAAAATAATCTGCACCTTGTTATGGCTAATAATAAGTACACGCTTTGACGATAATAAAAATATTAGACTTTGTAAACGTACTCAATTATTTAAAAATTTCTTTATTATTTATTTATAAAAATATTAGACTTTGTAAACGTACTCAATTATTTAAAAATTTCTTTATTATTTATTTATTTATTTATTATTTAAAATTTCAATTTTAGTAGCTCGAATTAATTAATTATGGCGTCTCAAAAAATATATATGTATTGCGTTCTTTTTTAATATACCATATTTTTTAACGCGTACATATTTTGATTTATCTTGATCAATCAAAAATTAAATAATGACATGTACATAAAACGATAGCAAACTCTTACAGGTAACAAATTCTCTGATTGCACACGCGACAGCAATCGCAATAAGAATTCACGCGGGGAGACGTGAAGTTCGAGTTATCGATAATGGAGTTGGCATGTCAAAAGATATGCTGCAACACGTTGCAGAATACAATGACGCAAAGGCTGTGGGCAATCAGCAAAGAATACATGAATTAATTGAATCCAATGGTCATACGTTGACGAATATTCGTCGTCTGTCTGACGGTCTCACCGTTGCTTCAAGGCAACGATATTCGGTGAATACATTTATGAAGGTACATATTATTCTTAAATAAATCGTAAATTTATTATATAATATATTTAATAATTAATTAAAAAATAGAGAAATGTATGCATGTTTAAATTTCAAAACAAATAAATACATACACATGTAAAAATATATATGTTAAAATAATATTATTAATATATATTATTAAAATATATATTAAAATAATGTTATTATTTTAAAATATTTTATTTTAAAAATTTCATTAAAATAAATATGTGAATAAATCTTGAAATAAACGTATATATATATATATTTTTTTTTTTTATATTTTTAATATAATACTTAATATTTTTTTTTTTTTTTTTTTTTTTTTTTTTTTTTTTTTTTTTTTTTTTTTTTTTTTTTTTTTTTTAAAATAAATATGTGAATAAATCTTGAAATAAACGTATATATATATATATATTTTTTTTTTTTCTTAATATATATTTTAATAAATATAATAACTTAATATATATTTTAATGAAACTTTTAAAATAAAATATTTTTTAAATATATATTTTAATATATGTATATATTTTTTTATCAAAGATATTCAAGATCGGTTCAGCGTCCAATTTGATGCAAATAGAACAAAGACCTTCGCATGGCACAACCGTGTCTGTATATGGTTTTCACGAAGCATCATTGTGTAAAAAATGGGACATGTCCACTGTTTGCTTTTTTATCGCGGCTGTAGCTGTTACAAAATTAAAAGTATGACTTGATTTATATTCTAAACATCAATATAAAATTATTTCTCTTTTCTCGTGAACGTAATAACTTTTTTACTGAAACGCATTAGGTGTCGTTCTCGATTAGAGACGAAGAAGGAAGGAAGATCGTCTTGAGAATTGCAAAACCGCACTGCCCAGTTCAAGTGTTGAGGACATTTTTTGGGAAAGATTTATCGTCGAATCATTTATGGCTGATGCGATGCAATTCAGAATTAAAAAGCGTGAAATATCATGGTTACGTAGGATTATCCAATAGAACCGAGGAACACTGGATATTTTTAAATCACAGATCAATCTATTGTCCTCTCATCTCGAAGTTAATTAAAACTGTCTTTAAAAAAAGAATCAACCTATCTTCCAACCAGGGATCCAATTTACAAGATTTACATGACAAAAATATGTTTGTCATATTTTCCTTTATACTTTCCCCGAGGGAATTTACATTTTTTAATGAAGATGGAAAAAGACACGTCATATTTTATGATATGCAAAAAATATTAAACGACATTAAAAATTGCACTTTTAAATGTCTCAAAGAGACTGCAATTTTTGCAGCTGTTCCCTCTGATTTACGTGAAACACGGTCATTGACACAAATGCAATTAAATTCGAAAGATTCCATTTCCGACAACAAGATTAATGAATATAATAAAAATGTTACGTCTTTGAAAGAGAATAAAGTTGTTGCGTTCAATCTTAAAAGAAAGAGAATCACGTCAACTATTGTAACCAATAAAAGACATAACAAAGAAACTAATAATATGAAGATTATTAATTTTGCAGAAGAAGGAAACATCGTATTAAATAGTCAAATAGATATTGCTTCCACAGAGCATACCAATAATTTGTGCGAGGGTAAAATTACAAAGGAAATATACAGTAATATTGATGGAACGTCAGCAACTTTCACCAATCTTGCGGCAACAAATAATTTCGTCGAGTCTCGTGAAACTTGCAATGATCATGATGGCAAGGATTTTGGCAAGAATTCTGCGATTTCTCCTCTTTCCGAGTGGTCTGATTGGAATTATGATACAAGTGATAAAGATCAAGTTTCTAAAAGGGATATAAATTTTCAACGACTTTTCAACTGCATCGATCGGTTTAATTTTTTGCCACGAAAATTGCACGGTCTTCTACGCCATCGTCATGTAAAATTGACAAATGTGAAACGCTTCGACAGTCCCAGTAATACGATTTCGCGTAAGTAAATTAATTAGCTTTACGTAATTAATTTAGGAATAATTTTATATCATGAATATTTTACACACGCAGCTAAAATTGACACAGAAAATTGGCAATGCAAACAAATGACGGTGCATCCCTGTAATTTGAAACGAAAGCTATGTGAATTTAAATTGTCACGCGTCTCATTAAAGCGCATAAAGGTACGTACGTAAGTCCTCGATGCAATAAATCATCCCATATGATGGGGAGCTATTTTAGCAAATATATTTCCCTCGTAGATCATTAATCAAGTTAATGACGAATTTATTGCCGCGTGGATGATGTACGGCGAAGTGAAAATTCTATTAATGATGGATCAACATGCCGTCCACGAGAGAATACGTTACGAAAATTTACTTCTTAGTAAGCAATTTTCATAATTTCCTAAATAAAAGACTAGTACTCATTTTTAAATTTTGGCCAAATTCTTGTGATATTAACTATATAAATAAATTGCGTTAAAAATTAATTATTAAAAATTAATTATTACGCAAGTACAAATATATGTGCAATTTTTTGTATTTTATTCTCATAAATTTTTTCATACAATAATATATTATTTTATATGAAATATAAAAATATATGATAATTAATTATATATAAATAATTATATATTAATTATATATTAACAATTAACATATCAAAACATATGTTTTATATTTTTATATTATTTTATTTTAATATATTATTTCTAGGACACAAGGGACAGAACGAGGGCGAATTGCTCTCCATCAATTTGCGCGACCCTCTGGCTATGGAAATTCCTGAGAAGACGCGTAATTCGCTTCTACGTCGTAAAGTATTGTTAAAAAAATACGGTATAAATTTAGGATCGTTAAGGGAAAATACAAAACTGCTAATACGCACGATACCGCAATGCTTGGTGACGAGTAATGATCGTTGCAGTAGCGAAAAAATACTGTCGAAGATTTACGATTTATTAAATGACATATTAAAGGATAATACAAATCGTGCAAACACATTACCGGTAACCATCCATAATGCTATAGCATCGGAAGCTTGTCACGGTACCCATCAAATAAATAATTTTGCAAAATTCTTGTTAATTCCTGTTATCAATATTACTAGATTTCAAAATAATATAAAATCTATTTATTACCTATAAATTTTATACAGACTCCGTTTCTATCCTTTTGAAATTTCTTCAGGTGCCATCAAATTTGGTGATAAACTAACTCGGGAGCAGTGTACATCTCTTGTAAAATTGTTGAAATTCACAAAGTTGCCCAATCGATGCGCACATGGACGACCAACTATAATACCTGTGATGGAACTCTCAGAATTGGAAAAAAGAGGCGCCAGGATACCTGAGGTGCGTATCATGTGATTGCACTTTTTTCCAATCTTTATTACAAAGACAAACTTATATAAGTTAATTTACGTTATTCGAAATTATATTTTTTTAATAAGTTTAATTCGTAGATAATTATTAATTATCTAGATAATTACCTAGATAATTACCTAGATAAAAATATGATACGCTTCCTATAATATCATAACAAGTATATACGTATGTGTGTGTAATTTAAACTAAAAGCAGAGTACATATCTACGACATAAATATTTCGATCTGTAAGTTGTTTCGATACGAGACTCATCCGAATCTTCTCTTCGACATGAAAATCATCCAAATTTCGTCCGCGTGCTTACTTAAACTTTTAATCTTATGCAAACTTATCTAAAAAAATAGCAACTTCCAAACTCTGAGACTTTCATCCCGCAATAAAGCCGGCGATCAAGATGTCTTTTCCGAAGTAATTGAACCTGGTAGAGACTAAATTAACGTCCTTTCCACCTAACGAGATCGGGCAAACATCGTTTGGACGAACGTAGAAGCAAACCGTATAAAGAGCCATCTCCAACTCGGGCGAGAGACCCACGAGAAGAGTCGTCACCGAATGCTTCGTGTCTGGTATATTAAACGCCGTGCGTACCTTGATGGCCTCCCCCTTCTGCGAAGCAAGAGACGAATAATTAATTACACGTGATCAGTGTTTGCTGTAGATCATTTCAAAATTATCCAGATAAAGATAAAGATAAAAATCTGTAAATTTATCTTAGATGAGATAAAGATGATTTTGCTTTTACTTAATCTAAATGAAAGATGAGACAATTATTGCGATAATCTAGATATTTTTGTTTATTTTAGAAGACTATAAATATTTGTAAAAAATGTAACGCAGATTATAAATGCGATATTAAAATCATAAACACATATTCTTTCTCTTTTCCTAAAGAATATTTAATATTATAAAGAAATAATAGCAAAAAGGTATATAAATGATATGATAAATATTTACTTATTAATTTATATTTTTAATATATTTATAATATATTAATAATAATAATATAAAAAATATATTTTAGATATTTTAGATAGATTTTTAGAGGCTTGCCTGGAAACCTTTTTTGCATAATGAAAACGTCATCTTAGATAATTTTTATATAAGATGACATATATTTTTCATCTAAGATAAAAATAAAGACACTTTGTATTTCTTCATCTAATTAATGATAAAGATGATTATTCAGATAATTTTATCTAGATATCAGCAAACACTGCATGTGATAAATGATCGAATAGGCGAATGTGTCGCGAATGACTTACGTCTCCCAGTTTCGTATCCTTGATGTATCCGCGATAGTCGAGTTTCTTCTGAGCCTCTTGCTTGGCGAAGTAAATCCAACTCTGCGGCCCGATCATGTAGGAGTCGAGCTTCTCCGCCAAGAACACCGCCTCGAAACCGGAACTGGAGGGCTCTCCCTCGACTCGCTGGAACTGCGAGAACCAGATGCGTTTCAGGGTGTCCTTGAACTCGTACTCGTCGTTCGGAATGAATTCCTTCTCGACCAGGAACTTCATCGCCGCTTTAAACACATCGGTTTCCAGGAAGTTGTCGAGCAGCTCGGATTCCTCCTTTCGTTCCTCGGGGGTGACGGTTTCCTTCGTCTTCACGTCCATCTCGTAATTATCGTGCAACGCCAGTGTGTTTTTGATCGTCGGAATTTCGTACGCTTCGGGCTTCACGTCTAGCAGCCTGAAATTATACTTTGCAATAAAATCTGAAAAAATATTGGGTGTCTAATAAATAAGTTTTGCATTATTTCTTTGTGAAATTCAACATTTATTATACGTGTATAGTTTAATGAGAGTAATCCTCGTTATTTTTCAGCACTTTCTTCCAGCTTTTGGTCAAGTTGTAGACCTCGAATCGATAGAAAGTGTAGTCTTTATTTGTGATGAATTCATCAAGCCAGTTTCTTATTTCTTTGGCATTTCTAAATTTTCTGATGGACGACTTTTGATGGAAAACCCGCTGCGTCGATTGGAGTCAATGATTATTATTGGCGTGTCTGAAAGACCTAAATTGATGAAGGTAAAATGTTGGGGGACAAAAGAATCCAATCAAGTTCCAATAACATATCCTTGACCAATTTTCCCACGAGAAAATGAATGAGACAATCGGATGTGATTTATTATGAAGGGAAAATCATCGCTCATTGTCATTAAATTTTTGCATGATAATGTTTGGCCTCATTATTAGAGACTTGGATTGTCTTATCCCAAACATAATATCTTGAGACTACTATTTGTCCCAATCGATGCAGTTGACAGAAAATTTAAAAATAGCTTCATGAATCCATCGCAAATCAAACTCTCAATCCATCTGGAGTCTACAACTTATCTGAAAAATGGAAGAAAAGTGCTGAAAAATGATGATTATCTTCATGATTGAACCATACAAGTGTAATTTGTTAATAAACGTTGAATTTCACAAAAAGAATAGTAAAGAAAACTATCTTTATTTACACCCAATACTCCTTTTAAGATAATAACGAGCCCACTCACGGCAAGGAAGCATCATCCGTGGTGCCATCTTCCTTCGTCTCGCCCTGCAGGTTCACGGTGATGTACTGGTACGCGTTGTTCTTGTCCATCGTGAAGAGATTCTCCGTCAGCTTCTTCACCTCGTCGTTGGAGATCGGATAGTTCGGCTGGACTGGGTTATTATTCGGCTGGGAACCGGCGTTATCAGGTGGAGCGGCATTGCTGGGCGCGTTGCTGGTTTCCGCTGCCTTCTTATCCACCTCCGCGGTTGGCGCAGCTTGAGCTGGCGCCGCAACCGAGGCAGGTGGATTATTAGGAGGCGCACCGTTGTTACTGGCAGGTGCTTCCCCGTTGGCTGGTGCCGACTGATTGTAATAATAATTGTTGTACGTGACTTCGGTGTGGCTGCCACCGCCGCCACCGCCACTTCCAGGACTTCTGCCGTAGATACCTCCTGGCAGCAGCCGGTTCACGGCCGCGCTGACGCCCGCGCTCACACTGGAGTAGACCAGCGCTTCCTTGGCCAACTGACCGATGCCGGGTCGGCTCGGTTGGAGGACGGTGAGCGCCGGTGCCTGTGCGAGGGCCGGTTGAACAGGTTGACCGAAGGACGGTTGACCGTAAGACGGTTGACCGTAGGACGATTGACCGAAACCGCCACCGTGATAAGATTGACTTCCTCCATAAGGACTGTAGGCTGGCGGTTGTCCTCCGTAAGATTGCCCTCCATAAGGACTGTAGGCTGGCGGCGCGCCATGCGGACTGTAAGCTTGACCGTAGGGTGCATGGCCGCCGGGATACGCGGGATTGGGAGATGGGTATCCTTGATTGGTATTGTAGGTGTTGCTGTAAGGCGGCGGTGGCTGCCGAGCACCACCTGAATATCCACCTGAAAAAGGAAAGTTAAGTCAAATTACGAAGGATAATTAACAGCGCGGATCTTAATTTTCAACTTGGATATTATCACCATGAAATTGTACAAGAGGATTAAGATCTTCAATCTTCAATAAAGAGATAAGAATTCCATCCCACATAGCATGCATTATCCAAAAGACGTCCAGAAGGTATTTAGAAGACATCTTTGGGCAATCTTCAGGATGTCCTGTGAATGTCTTTTGAACATAGATGCTATGTGGGAAGTTACTTTGATGGAACTTAAAATTGATATATATTTTTCAGTTAATTCGATGCTACAAATGCGAAGTGATCCTTGAGCGTTGAAGCCATGAATCTCGCTTTCGCATATCCGGCATTGAAATCTCTAAATTCACTAATGTTATACCAGTTTCAATCAGGATTACATTGTTTACTTGTAAACACCCTAACAACACACATGTCTAAAAGATGTCCAGAAGTCATCGAGACGACATCCAAAGTACATCAAATATCCTTTGGCTGTCCTCTAGATATTCTATGGACATCTTTTGGACATGTGTGTTATTAGGGTATAAATTATGACATGTTACCCTTAATGGGATTTAATAACACCCACTAGTCCTAAGACTGGCCAAGTCGTTCTATTCTTCAGAGGAATAGTTGCGATTGGCCAGCTTTAGAACTACGGATGTTATCAAATCCAATTAAGGATGTATAAATGTCATAGTTTACGGCCAACCCCCTAATTTCAATATCTCTCTCTTCCTTTTTTATTTTAATACAAGAGAAATAAATGTATAAAATACCCGATGGACTGTACGGTGGCGGATTATTACTATTCGCTGATGAATATCCTGATTGTACATTCGTCGCGCTGGTCTTGGAAGCCTGCTCGGACACCGGTGCTGATGGTTTGGCATTGTTCGACGTGCCGGTTACCTTCGTGTTTCCGCTCGGTGGTACGTTCCATCCTATTTTATTCGGGGTTGAACCTGCGGGGTGTAACGAGATTGTCGTGATATTAGAGGCGAGCGTGAAATCCCCGGATACGTGAAGCGTGCGAAGCCATAGATGATCATTGTCTGTATAGACAATGGACGCTTCACGACGCTTCACGGCTGTATACAGTGTGACTCATCGAATTCATCAGATTCGACGCGCAGATACATAAATATTTACAAACCACAATGTTGCAATTACATCTAATGTAGGTAGAATAATCGTGAGTTTAATCCGATCATCTGCGAAACATATGTGGAATTTTCCTTCCTGTCGTACGTTGCAACATGAATTAATAATCTGATGCAATAAAATATAGTGGAAAAGAGTATGATGATAGTGAGATGAGGACATGCGCGGATAACACAATTATAATAAAATATAGATAATAAAATATAATAGTAATATAATAAAAATATATGTAATATTACAGAAATATAATACTAATATAACAAAAATATATGTTATATAACAGAAATATAATAGCAATATAATAGAAATATATGCAATATGATAGAAATATATGCAATATAATAAAAATATATGTAATATAACAGAAATATAATGGTAATATAACAAAAATATGTAATATAACAGAAATATAATAGTAATATAACAAAAATATATGTAATATAATAGAAATATATGTAGAAAAATATGAATATATCCCAGCAAACACTAAATAACAATTATATAACTGTTAGTTATAATTTCCCACTCGGCAATATAACTGTTACATGTTATATAACAGTTACAAAACATGTAACAATTATATTGTTGAGTGAGAAATTGCAACTAACAGTTATATAATTATTATTATAGCTGTTACATGTTATATAACTGTTACATAACATGTAATAATTATATTGTTGAGTGGGAAATTACAACTAACAGTTATATAAATGTTACTTGGTGTTCGCTGGGTATACAATATATATGAATGTAATATTACATACCACCTGACTGTGTTTGTGGAGGTCGATGCGTCGTTCTAGTACCACTTCGCCTATATGTTGAGGTACCGCTTCTTCTTCTTCCACTTGTTTTACGGCCATCTGTATCTGCTGCATATAAAGATAACAATATATGAGTAAACCGTTATACATAATGCTTCGCAGGTGTTCAATCTGTGAAACGTGTCTCTTTTTCAATTATATAATTATAATTGTGACTTTTTATTATTAATTAAAACTTTTATTACAGATTAATTTAGATATAGATCAATAGAGAAAAAATTCGTATATTTCATGCAAGAGAGAGCTTGTAAATTATATGTCGAGAGGTGACAAGGATTTTTTATTACTAATTAAGACTTTTATTACAGATTAATTTAGGTACAGATCAATAGAGAAAAAATTCGTATATTTCATGCAAGAGAGATCTTGTAAATTATATGTCGAGAGGTGACAAGGATTATAATTTTACTGCATTATAACTTTTTTGAAGATAAGAAATGATCATTGGATTGGGTCCAAAATTTATAGATATGCGCAACAAGTCTTTTTTAACTCTTGTCGCACAAATTATTATAAATTTTTGCACAGGATTAGAATTTTTTGTATCACATTAGAATGAATGGAGATGTATTATCTCGACACATCGTCACATCTCTCGATTAAATGATGATCATCAAGTTATCTCAATCGGTATTCTCTTTTATTTCTCGTGAATCGACATCAGTATAGATTATCAAGCCCATTGTTCTCCAACAGATTATTATATAATCTAGTAGCAATTGTCTATTTGCGTGAGATATTATGTATTGCGTTGAATATGACGTATCGTGCCCATGGGGCGTCCTACGTGCAAAATGCAGATAATTCAAGGACTTTAAATATATACAAGGTGGCCCCGAACGTTCCAGTCAGACTTTGAGATCTTATAGGAAATTTAATTCTGAACAAAAAATTTCTGATAACCATGGGTCGAAAAATGCTTCCTTAAGAAGTTATCACTCAAAAACCTCTGATGAAGGAAGAGCAAAAGGTGAAAAGAAAATGAAATAAAAAGGAAATGAAACTAAATAAATTTCTTGAAAAACGTCTTTATTCATTTTTTACTATTAAGTGCTATTACTAAAATATTAGTTAAAAAAATATTAATTTATTTTCATAAAAGAAAAAGATTTTTATTTTTTATTTTTTATTTTTATCGTTTTTTTCAAGAAATTTATTTAGTTTCATTTTCTTTTTATTTCATTTTCTTTTCACCTTTTGCTCTTCATCAGAGGTTTTTGAGTGATAACTTCTTAAGGAAGCATTTTTCCATGTTTATAGGAAACTTTGTGTTCAGAATTAAATTTCCTATAAGATCTCAAAGTCTGACTGGAACGTTCGGGGTCATCCGGGATATATTTATATATGTATATATTTATAGAATGATGAGATTCTCTCCAAAAAAAAAATATATATATATATAAAATATATAAATATATATATATATATATATATATATATTTTTTTTTTTTTTTTAAAGAATCTCATCATTCTATAAATATATATTACGAACCGCCTCGCACGATTTTTATAATTAACATAAAAATATACACGATGGGATTTTCCTATGCGTCAAGTATAAATATTTTTAAATTAATATTTATAACTCTCGCTAATTTGTCGTTTTTCCAGCTTGTGGTTTTAAAAATAATTCTCTCTATTAATCACATAATTATCAGAATTAATTAAACTTTACAAAAGATGCTTTAATATGAATTCATATATTATCGAAATCTAAAATGGGCTTCATAAATAAATTTTAAACACTCGAGTCGTCATAAAAGCGTTATCGGGATCGCTTAATGTCAGATCCAGTTTCCCTTGATGCTTCCATAAATGCAAAGTGATTACCGTGCGTGATGAGACAGCAATTTTCGTTAATAACTTCCGAAACACGCATACACGTATACAGAACATACAATTTTATAAGTAAACGATTTGGATTTTACAATTTTTTTGTAAAATCTTCTCGGGAGAGAGTATTTATTTTTACGATTTTTTTTCTCTTGAAATCAAATCCAATTAATCGTAATCGAAAATTTGACAAATGCAAATAGAATAAAATAAAATAAAATATAAAATATAAAATAAAATAAAATAAAATAAAATAAAATAAAATAAAAAAATATAAATAATAAAATATAAAATAAAATATAAAATATAAAAATATAAATAATAAAATATAAAATAAAATAAAATAAAATAAAATAAAATAATTCTTATTCGTGATTTTCAATGAGAAACTCCCGTTTATATAGAGTGTACTTAACGTGATAAACGTAATCACACAATTATAATAAACGCTGACAAGTGAATAATACCGTATGGAGAATATACGTTCGCATGACGTCTAACATGGAACAGCAATTTGCTCCAGTGATTTCATTTATTACGCACTCTATATTTGTTAGTTGATTCATTCGTTTTATTAAGAATAAGTGAATTTAAAAGTCATTTTAAAGTTGATAAATTTGTTCACTATTTTCTGCTTTTTAAAAAGAACATTTTTATGTCTTTTTTAAATTTCTTTTTAGAAAACACTTTCTCTATTTTCCTGTTTCTTATACATATTTTATTCTTATACATATTTTAAGAGATGCTTTTTAAATATTTTAATGTTTAATAATAAATTTAAAAAATTAATTAAATTATTGAAAAAAAAACTTTAATTAATATGTAATCGATTTCTCCATAAATTTATATTTATACTTTACAAAGAATGATATAAGATTTAAAAAAAAATAATAATGTACAATTTTTTGATTATGATTGATTGAGTATATGTGGAGATAATTATATATGTTCTTCAATAAAACTGTCGCGATAATTCTCGAGCTATAAATTAAAACCAGTAATTTTCTAATGTTATATGATTGAAAGTGAATGGGTTTCTTGGAAACTAGCTTCCGCGTGTACGATGTTAACATGTAACACATTTTCGCTCAATTTTACACAAATTTTGCTTAAATAAAAATTTAAAATACAGTTATTAAAACAATTAATAATTTTTTCAATCATACGTATGTATAAGAAAACAAGATTCCTTCCAAGTAAATCGACTCTACATTCTAGTTTAAGGACATCACCTTGTTTATCTGACATGATCCAGATACATAAATTTCATTTATCAATTTTTTACTTTTATATTTCATATTTTTTAATTTTATAATCTATACAATTATACAGTCTTATATCAATATGATACGAAAATTTGTAAGAAATGTGTGAGCTTACCGCAAATAAATAAAAGCACAATCGCGATGATCAGGCTCGTCCTGATTTTCATATCTGTCGTCGTCCGCTTCGTTTCTATCGAATTGACGGGTCGATCAGTTAAAACCTCAAACAACTGTCTGACACGCACTGTTTGCTCACGCAGAGTCGACGTGGTACTACCAGTCGACCTCTAGAAGCCGGTGACCATCGTCCGTAACACTAAATGATTCATCGTAGGCTTTCTCTTCCCGCTGATCCTCAGCGCGCTGATTCTCAGCTGAAACCTGTCAACGGTAACAATTTTCAATTCGACATAACAATATTGACAACATCGCGTTTCTTCATGTACACACATCTTGATCATTTGGAGAAAACTTGATAAAATGCTAGGTTTCACAGATTTCTCGTACACTTTCTCATTGAATTTAAATCTACTCCAATCAATTTGGAGTTGCCTTCTCTTTAAGGAAAACGAAACAATTAAGCGCTATCTTCTACCATTATCAATTTCATTTATGATTCTTGTTATTTGTTGTATTTAATAAGAAATTTCGAAATTGTTTTCTTATTTTTTAAATAAGGTTTTGTATTTTATATCTTACGAATATTTTAATGGCTATTATTCTATTTCAGAAAAAATTGAACTTTGCATCTTTGAAGAGATCTCAGTGAAGTAAAGGACGCAATAAATACTTTTCAATGTAAACCATGCATTATTCAAGCACAATTATTAATACTATTAATATTCCATTTAATTTCCAAATGATACATCTGAGTCTCTGAAATAAGTTTAACATCTGAAATAAAAGGTATTGGATTCTACATCTTTAAAAATCTACAATTTATTTTAAGAAGCAAATAGAAATGTGGATATACAGCTTTATATTAGATACTAGAAGAGAAAAGAAAACCAATTTGCAGATATTAACGACTGCAATGAGGCACTTGGAAACTAAATTAAGAATTAATACTTTTAGAATTATTTTCGTTTACATAGAACAATTTTGTGTACACATATGTAGGATGCACAAACACTTTTCATTAAAATAAATTCTAATATTATATAACATATATGTATCAATTTATTATTAGAATTATAATAATAATTATTATAATAAAATTTATCGCATTGTAAGAAGAAATATAAATAAAAATTTATATTCTTATTTATAAATTTCACAATAATTTTTATAATAATATTATATATTTTATTAGAAAATTAAACGCCAACGTGATAATATAAATTATCAAACTATATAATGCACTTGTGTATTATATGTAGTTTGATATATATATATATATCTTACACTTGTGTATATATATGTGTTGTATTATAGTTATATATAGTTTGATAAAAAATTTAAATCACCACGTTGGCGTTTATTTATACGATGTAGAATTAGAAAATTGGGAGCGCAAGATCTATGAGGTCTCTCCCATAATATCTGAACGAATGCGTGAAAATATTGAACTTAGTTCCGCCAAGAGAAACGGGACATAGATCATTCGGTCTGGCGTAAAAACATATAGTGTATAAGGACATTTCGAGCTCGGGAAGAGTGCCAACGAATATCGTCGCATTCGGTCTGATAATATCATCCATTTTAAAGTTTAATTTCAATAACGAGGCTTTCTGAAAAAAAATAAATGCATTAAGTTATATGTAACATAAATTATAACTAACATTATATTTTCATTCTTGCTATATATGATGTTAAAGCTCGTCACAATACATTACATGTATGTTTTATAAATTGAGTGTATATGTGTAATTTCTATATCACATCATTTTATTACACAGATATTAATACTATGTAAATTTTCTTAATAAAATTTTTTTCTACAACGTATCTCTACCGACATATTTGTTTTTAAACTTAAAATTTAAGAAGCATTTTTCTTAAATAATTTTTATATATTTTATTATAAATTTTAATAATTTGTAATAAATATTTTCATGTTAAGGTCTTTAAAATAGATAAATTTCTTGAGATATCAAAATATATTTTTTATCCATAAAATTCTTTATGGACAACATGAAAATAATTAGTACTTATTATTACGAATTAATAATTATTATTAAATTATTAAAATCTGTAGAGTAATTAATAATAATATAAACATATTTAAGAAATATGCTTTTCAAACTTTATAGACAAATATTTCCATAGGAAAAAATTTTATAAAAATGTATAGAATTTGACGTGTTCTATATGTTCAAGAGAAATTGCCTATTTTTATCGAAACATCCTATTGTATATAAAACTTACATTGTCGAGTTTCAAGATATCGACATATCCCATATAATCAATACGTCCCTTCGATTCTTGATAATTGAAGTAGAGCCAGTCTTGCACACCAAGAAGATCCACGCCGTATCTTTCAGATATGAATACTCGTTCAAAACCTGAAGTCGCACCATTGAATTGACTAAACCAAATGTTCCGCAAAGTATCCTTTTTTTCGAAGTCATCTGGATCGATGAAACCTCGATCTGATAGCCATTGCATAGCTCTAGTCAATATATTCGTGTTCAAAAACACATTTAACAGAAGATCCTCCTTCTTTCGTTTTTCAAGCGTCCGATTCTCCTTCACGCTGGAATTGTGTTCGTAATTGTCGTAGAGCGCTCGAATAACTGAAACTGTCGGGTAATCGTAGAGCTCTGGATGCACGTCAATTAATCTAAAAATGAAAAAAAGAAAATGCGTGAATAATATAATGTACGATAATAATATATTGAATCATTGAAACTGATCTAAATATGAAGCTTACGATAATATAGCTGCATCAGTTACATTCTCGGATTTACTCTGAAGATGTAATGTCAAATATTTGGATACATTGAAATCTTGTTTCGCGAATAACTCTTCAGTCAACGTCGACAGATCATTATCCGATATTTTATACTGAGGAGAATAAACGGTTGTTCCTTGATCGGGTCCTCTTTGATCATTTACTGTACCAGCTGTACTGTTACCAGCTGAAAATCCATTAGAAGAACCTCCCATATAGTTAGTATTCACGGAAGAGCCATTGCTAGTTGGAGATGTTACGCTGCTGTTGTTCCCGACAATCGTAGGGATTGATACACCCGGAGTAATTGCCGGATTGTTCACCGGCGCTGGATAATTGCCTGGATGCGTAACTGGGACATTTCCTTGAGGTACGTTCGATGAAGTTGATGCCGAAGGAGGACTTCCCGGAGGATAATAGTAATTATTATTGTAAGTTACGTGCGTCTCGCTCGGAGAGCTACTAGTGTCCGCTGGCCTGCTATTAGATACATGATGAGGATACGGATTTATTAGCCTATTCACACCAGCGTTAATAGTGGAGAACACGAGTGCCTCTTTCACCATCTGGCCGAAACCTCTACCGCTATCTTGTTGACCAGGAACCATTATAACGGTTTGTCCAGGTATGTACGGTTGCGCCGCCGGTTGTGCCATGACGTGTTGTTGAGGATAGCTATGACCGGTTGGGCCGTACGTTCCGCCAACCGGATGCGTAGAGTAAGGGTTTCCAAACGTACCCGGTACGGGTGGTGGAATGTGCGCCGGGTAACTAGAAGGATGTCCGATTGTTTGACTGGGAACGGAATGGCTGGGATTGTATGGAGAGTAAGGTTGATTCATGGAATGACCGGAAGGATGAATTGAATAAGGAGGAGAATGCTGATTGGAACCAGGAATGGGATAATTTGGGCGTGGATAAGGCGAGGGAGGGGTATACGAAGAACCGGGCATTGCATTTGGACGTAGATGATCCTTGAATCCGATGTTAGGAGTCGGTTGATTTGGATTGAAGTGTGGGTTGCTCCATGATGGGTTGTTTTGTGTTCCCTGCGACGGATTGTAGGGCGCATTTGGTTGGCCAAAAGAAGTCGGAACTGCAAAAGAATTATATTATATATTATAATTATATATTATATTTATATTAATTTTATTTATGTTTGTATTAATTTATCATTTGTCATAATTATTAGTTTAATTTATATTATATTCATTTTAATGTAATTTTTTACATCACTAATAAAATTTCCATGCCAAAACAAGTTCTCAAAGATTAACTTTATCTTTTTGGAATTAAAAATCAAATTCTCATACAAAATATTAAGAAGATATACCATGACTTTGGGAAGGTACCACACTAGCTTTTGATAAATGATCAGTTGATGGAGCTGATGGATTATATGGTGCTGATGGCTTATACGGTGCTGATGGATTATACGGTGCTGATGGATTATACGGTGCTGATGGATTATACGGTGCTGATGGATTATACGGTGCCGATGGATTATACGGTACAGCTTTTTGTTTGTCCTCTGTTGTAAAATCTGGTTTTCCTACTTGACTTCCAGGAGGGGGTCCTAAAAAAACAAAATATAGTATAAACACATTATTTTTTATATAACAAAGAGAGAAAGAATAAAAGTACACATAAAATAAAAAACATATTTTTAGGATATGCTAAAAAAGTTAAAAAAGTAGTTTTGTATACCTGCATTGCCATATGGTGCTGATGGTTGACTAGATGGACGTGTATTTGTTGGAGCTTTGCAAAGAAAAGATATTCATATCACATACTATTCAAGGAAACATTTCACAATTACTATACATATTTGCTATCACTTACAAGTTCTAGTAGCATGTCCTCGTTCAGCATGTAAGATAGATGTGGACGTGTCTTTATTCTGATGATGCACAGTTTGACCTGTAATTTTTAAGGTCACACGTTATATATCATCATTCTATTATACTTGGCACATATACTCATGTTATCTACTCACTTGATGAAGTTCCTGTCGAGCTGGAACTTCCAAAATGCGATGGACTGCTCCTGGAATGCGATGGACTGCTCCTGGAATGCGATGAACCTCGTGATGAACCTCGTGATGATGAACCCCGTGACGAACTTCGCCAGAAACCTCGTGAGCTTCGCGAAGATCCAAGCTTCCCAAATGCGATTACATCAACTAAGAAGAAAATATGTATACAATAAATTCACATGAACATTATTAAAAAGTTAAGATATATATTAAGAAGCTAAGATATATTGCATGAGTCATGAAAAAGATATTTTTGATATCAAAAAAGTCATTTTATACCTGCATTGTCATATGATGTCGATGATTGACCAGATGATTGTACATTTGTCGTGCAAAACTTATTTGAGATAATATGTGCTAAAATTATCATTATGCAATGATGATGAATTAGTATCATTAGTATATTATAAAATAATATCCTTCAAAGTTACTCATGTTAGAAATAGAGAGAGGAACAAGCATATTAATGAACAAGCATATTTATGATAAATTTGCTGTGACTCATGTATAATAATAGAATTATTTATTATACATAAAAATATATATTTTTGTGCTTACCAGTAAGAATGGTTAACAAGAAAAGTAGCAAAATTCGAATTTCCATTGCTATTATATGGGAGCGACGATAAACTCAACAATGATAAACTGAAACTGAAATGCTTAAATGCTGGAATGATAAATATATGTTTTTTTTTTTATGTTTATCAATTCCTCTTCTCAGTATTTGTATTACGTCTTTCTTGAAATGATAAAAGCTAAAGAGTTACGTTGACCTTTTGACCATCAACTAATACAACTAAATATTTTCATAATCAAAACTGATAAATGCTGATTTATCGCGGTTTCATGACATATCAGCATATCAGCATCCATTTCTACGAAAAGGCTTTTCTAGTCAACACACAGATTTTCTATTCCTATGAAATTGAACTTACAATAATAAATTTTTGTGTAACAACATTTAATTTAGCATGATAAGTACTTAATATTTTATCTTTTATACAATCTATTACAAAAAATATAATTTGTTTAACAAAACAAATTTCTTATTTGCATATTTACATTTTTTTTATTCTTGCATTATGTTTAAATATAAATCTCCTTGTGATTAGCATCCTACCACCACTAATTTTTATATATAACTTTTTATATATAAATTTTATATATAACATATATATATATATATATATATATATATATAAAAGTTTTATACATAAATTTCTTCAAAAAATAAAAAAAAAATATTGCAATATGGAAGGGAAAATAATTATTTATGCATTATCTGTTGTAGCAGATGCTTTCTTCTGAATAAATCTGTCCAAAATTGCTTCACTTGGGTAATCTGGTACTGATTGTCTAAATCCTTCATCATCCATAAAGCAGATTTCGTGTCCATCTTGGAAACATAATTATTAAATTTATGTAGATTGATAAAATATATTTTAGTTAACAATAGAATATAAATACTCACTGGATCAGCAAGAATGATAACTCTTACTGAAGCTTCTCTCGGTGTATCTAAAGTTATAAGATCAGTCAAGATTTTATTTCCATTTTCTTTAATAGTTTTTGAATCATTGGTTGCTCCGAAAATGGTACGGAGAAAGCGATACGTCCATATGCTTTTGCATGATTAAGACTCAGTACCTAACATACAGAATTAAATATAATAATAATAAATTTAATAAAAAATTAAAATAATTAAATTATACATTATATTCATATACTCACCAATATCTTCAAATTCGAGCTTGGTTTGATCCTCACTATAGCCCATCAATACACTTTTATCTTTCTGATCAACAGAAGCAACATTACAAGTACTATATTTACAGATAACATCTGTATAATAAAAAAAGCACCAAAAATCTAATGGTGAAAAAAGGGTAAATATTGTAGACCAGCATAAGTCAACCAATTATTTCACCGCTCTGTTTCATTAGAGTTGCAATTTTCTTTTATAATATCATAAATATTATAAATAAGATAAAGATTTCTGTACGTTTCAAATAAATTTATATATTTTATGTATATAATACTGCGTACACATATTAAAAGGTGATAATATCGCAGTTATAATAAGATACAATCCTGGCAATATAGTGATTTTTGGATCCTACTTAAAATAATTTAATTTGATTTATTTTTGTGGAAATACGCACAATACTTGAGAACAAATTATTTTTGTGCAATGTATTACCTGTGCAAAATTCCACACAGTATCATATTGTCTGCGATATATGAAAAGCTTCATCGATGAAATATGATTGAGATATAAGAAAAGTAATATAGTACTTGTAATGAATACGTTAATGTGGAATACATAAATATTTTATATTTTAATTTCATATAATCGAGATGAGATAAGACACTCATGATTACTTTAAAAATGTGTCCACAAATATCATGTACCTTCAATAGCTGCACATTCGTCAAATTAATCCTATTACGTTAAATGAATCACAGCAGCTTGTTTTAATTTAATCTAACCTAACCAATTATATTATATGCTTCTCATTAAAATGTGTAAAACTGTACGTCGCACATTTAATACGATTAATATACTATGTAATAAAATGTAATACACTAATGAAATAATTAAATATTATTTTTGAAAGCATGATAAAATCCAGGCAGCATTCGCTTGTGTTTACATTCGATATCCAAAGACACTGAGAGGTTAGGCTAGGTTAGGTTAGGTTAGATCAAAAAAATTTATCGTTTGACAATTGGCAGCCCTACGAGATAGGCTGTGCAGCACTGCGCGTATATAAAATAAATTTGAAATCGCTTCTAGCCTAACCATCTTTACGCGATCGACTTTATTTGAATTGCACGACATCGCATCGAATTATGATGCGGCGCCGATTTGTTCGAACGTAATTCGGGACATCGCGATGCTGTATAAGCGAATGAGTACGAATTGTCACGCAAATATGATAAATCGAATCTACTCACCGTTCACCGGCTGTTCCACAGGCCGCTCCACTCGCTCGCCTCGGGACGTCCCATTCCGATCTTGATGCGCACAAATTCACACGATATCATCAACGCGAACGCACGACACTTTATTCGGCACTCCCGATATTCGCTCGCATCCGATAATCATCATCAAGGGCGCGAATAACGCGACGCGACTTCGCTCCATCTTCGCGATGACGCCATCACTATATCGTCAAAAATCGCTGTCGCGCGTTTCCATCGACACACTATGAAAGTCGCGCGATCATTCTTGGACACTTTCGACGTTCGTTCACTCGCGATATTCGTTTAAAAACGGTTAAAAGACGCGAAAAATGCGGACGTACGACGATCCGTGTAACTGCGTATGATTCCGATCCACGTATGACGCGTATGACGTAGCAGTGACGTAGCAGTGACGTAGCAGTCACGCGCCAACATGGCGGCCGAACCAGTGCGCATGGCCATTCCTGCGCGCAACTTTGATTTCTGAATATTGTCTACGGATTTTATTAATAGCACATAATGATAAATATATAAAGATGGAATCAATTAATCATATTGGTCATATATGTAGACTTGCCTGAAGAAAGAGAGAAAAAATTGAGATATTTTTAATTTTTTTTTTTTTTTAGTAAATAATGAAAATGTCTATTCATAGGCTTGTTCTTCTTTTCCTCTTTTGTGCAATTTTGATTCAATATATAACGTAGAAATTCGCGATAATTTTTTGACATTTACAATACTCGTGTATCTTGTTCTCGATGTTCACTTTTAAAAGAATAAAGAGAATTATATATAAATGTAAATAAATTGTCCGAAGAGAAAAAGAATTGAGGGATATTTTTAGTAAAGGTTGGAAATGTCTATTCATGATAGAAATGCAAAGAAAGAAAATTATTATGTTTAAAATAATAATTTCATATGAAATACAAAATTAAAAGTTACATTATAGAACCTGACCTTGTAAAAGCGTAATAAAACAATCAAATAGTAGACAGAGAAAAGACTAATTGTAAAAGAAAAAAAGTTGTTAACTTAACTAAACCATTTAACTAAATTATTATCTTTTTAACTGGAATATTTAACTATTATAAATCTAACATGACATTTATTTAACTTAAATATTTCGATATTTCAATTAAAAAAATAATAATTTAGTTAAAACGATTTAGTCGAGTTAACAACTTTTTTTTCTCAGTGTACGTGTGTGTGTGAGACTTTAAAAATATACTTGGATATAAATACACTTATATTATTAAACGATTAATACATCTCGTGAGGTTTAATAAATAATTAATCTGTGTACACTGAGAAAAAAAGTTGTTAACTTAACTAAACCATTTAACTAAATTATTATCTTTTTAATTGGAATATTTAACTATTATTATACATCTAACATGACATTTATTTAACTTAAATATTTCAATATTTTAATTAAAAAAATAATAATTTAGTTAAACGGTTTAGTTGAGTTAACAACTTTTTTTTCTCAATGTACGTGTGTGTGTGAGACTTTAAAAATATACTTGGATATAAATACACTTATATTATTATACGATTAATACATCTCGTGAGGTTTAATAAATAATTAATCTGTGTACACTGAGAAAAAAAGTTGTTAACTTAACTAAACCATTTAACTAAATTATTATCTTTTTAATTGAAATATTTAACTATTATAAATCTAACATGACATTTATTTAACTTAAATATTTCGATATTTCAATTAAAAAAATAATAATTTAGTTAAACGGTTTAGTCGAGTTAACAACTTTTTTTTCTCAGTGTACGTGTGTGTGTGAGACTTTAAAAATATACTTGTATATAAATACACTTATATTATTAAACGATTAATACATCTCGTGAGGTTTAATAAATAATTAATCTGTGTACACTGAGAAAAAAAGTTGTTAACTTAACTGAACCATTTAACTAAATTATTATCTTTTTAATTGAAATATTTAACTATTATAAATCTAACATGACATTTATTTAACTTAAATATTTCGATATTTCAATTAAAAAAATAATAATTTAGTTAAACGGTTTAGTCGAGTTAACAACTTTTTTTTCTCAGTGTACGTGAGTGTGTGTGTGTGTGCGCGCGCGTGTGTGTGTGTGTGTATGACTTTAAAAATATACTTGTATATAAATACAATTCTCACATACGTCACAGTACGCGTTAAATATTTCGGCAGCGAGCTAACACGTCATTCGACCTTGTGACGTCATTTGGCCTTGTGACGTAGCGCGCTATTGTTTACATACGCGACCTCCCCTCATTCGCACGGCGACATTCCAACGGAGAAAGTAGCGATACGGACCGCTCCGTATTATCGAATTCTTTTCCTAAAGGTACGATCGCGATTAAATCGAAATATAATAATTCGACTATTACAAATGACAAATAATTAACTCTTATAATAAATGCAATTGTGGCGACGATAAATTCATCGAAACGCGATCTTTCATTATTGCAAATAAAAATTGAAGCGAAAGGGGCAAAAATTACAAATTTTCTCACAATATTCTCCGATTATTGAACTTTACGAATAATAATTATTTCTTTAACATTGCATAGAATGAAATTCGATTTCGCCCGATGTTTTAAACTTTCCTAAACTGCATGCATATATATCATATTAATTAAACGATTGCTGTATCATCAATTTACATTACTTTAATATTTTAATCTTATGATTCGCGTTATTATGCATATATTATACATCAACAAATAGAAATAGTTAATTAGTGTAAGAATTGAGTGGTGCATGATTTTGGCTTCGTTTAAAAATCGAGCGAATTATTGTAATTTTTGTGTTCCTCTCTTGCAATAATAATAAAATAATAATAATATAATAAAAATACGTATCTCGTATGATTATTTTGCGATCGGGAGTGCCGTGCAAAGTGTCTCGCGATCGTTTCTGTATATGACTGAAACATAATTAACTGAAATATAATTGTTTGTTCGCGAGTGAATACGTGACTGCTACGAGGAAACAACAAAGGATGAAACAATAAAAGAGAAGGACATCTGGAAAAGTATCGGACAGTCAGAAAGCAGGGAGAGAGCCTGAAGCAGCCAGAGACATGCGGTGAGTAATTTATAAAAATTATTTATTATTTATTATTTATATATACTATTTTTAAAATAGATATATTGCTTATTATTTTATTATCGTTTTATTTTTCGATCATTTAAATATATAATTCGAATTGAAATGCAGTAAAACAATCGAATCATAGATCTAAATAATTAACTTAACAAGAAGGTTCATAAAAGATATATTAGTTCTTTTAATAAATAATATCGTATACTTAATCTATATAAAAATGAAATATTATCTATTTATTTTTAAATATTAAATACTATAAATTTAATAGTTATATATTTTGTAAAATTTAATTAAAAGAATCTTTAAGATATTCCAAAAGAAACGAAGAACTTTTCTCAACGTAGAAAAAGTTAATTATAAACAAATTTATATTTAATTATTATAATTAATTTGTATTTAATTTTATTGGAATTTTATTATTAATTTTATTGCATTGTCAAACTCTACGCGATCTCTGTAATGATAGCTATTCACGAAATAGGTACAGTGAAAAATCAATTATTATCGAAAAGAGGCAATAATATACTTTTAAATCTAATTTAAACTTTTGATAAACGATATAAAATTTTTTTATTATGATGAGAAATCTTTATTAAAGATCATAATTGCAAATAAAAATGGAAATAACTTCACGAAGTATATTAATCGTTTAATAAATAATTAATCCGTGTGTACGTGTACGTGTGTGTGTGACTTTAAAGATGTGTGTTTAATAAATTATTAATCCGTGTGTACGTGTACGTATGTGTGTGACTTTAAAGATGTGTATTTAATAAATAAATCCGCATGTGTATTTAATAAATTAATCCGCGTGTGTGTGTGTGTGTGACTTTAAAGATATACTTGTATATAACTTTAAAAATATATATTTCCGTTATGTTAATTATCCGATTTTTATTCGATCGTTTTATTGCGCGTTCTGAATCAAATTATATTTAGATCAAATGATATCAGAGAGAATATTTATTTATTATATTAGAATTCTAAATGTGTGTGTGTGTGTACACATATATATTAGGATAGAAACGAAATAGAAATAGAAGAATAATCATTGCTCGTAAAGATTACAACAAAGTAATAATTTATAATTTTGATTCCTATCGTATAATCGAGTATCGTATTTCGAGAGCAATCAACTATTTATTAATAATAAAATTGTATATAACTTACGAATATATTCCACTTATTCCGGACGTTAATATCGCGACAACGACGAATAAACTTTTCAAAAAATTCAATTCAACTATTTCATATATGAGACAGTTCTACCAATCACTGATACAAAAAACTCGTCAATTGACCAGTTGGTGAAACTGTTTCAGTCCTGAGTATTTTCTTAAAAGAGCTGTTGGCGCACATACATGCGTGTATAATGTTTACGCGCATCACACGTTCGAACGAACTTATTAATAAATATGCTACTTATTAATAAATATGCATTTTTTATAAGGAATATAATTTATTTCACACATACATATATAAATATATTGCATATATGTAACATATATAATTAAAAGTAAAAAATAAGTACATTTTAAATAAGTACATTATTTTAAAAATAAAAATATAGATTTTAAACAAATAAGAATTTCATAAAAATTTAATTTCACATATTTGGCTAATAGAAATACTAACTTTGGCATATATGTGTCAAATAAATTATTTATTATAAAATACGCCAACGTGATAATATAAATTATCGAACTATATAATGCACTTGTATTATATGTAGTTTGATATATATATATATATAGTTATATATAGTTTGATAATTTATATCATCACGTTGGCGTTTATTTATACTATATAGAATTAGAAAATTGGAAGCGCAAGATCTATGAGGTCTCTCCCATAATATCTGAACGAATGCGTGAAAATACTGAACTTAGTTCCACCAAGAGAAACGGGGCATAGATCATTCGGTCTGGCGTAAAAACATATAGTGTATAAGGACATTTCGAGCTCGGGAAGAGTGCCAACGAATATCGTCGCATTCGGTCTGATAATATCATCCATTTTAAAGTTTAACTTCAATAACGAGGCTCTCTGAAAAAAAAAATAAATGCATTAAGTTATATGTAACATAAATTATAACTAACATTATATTTTCATTCTTGCTATATATGATGTTAAAGCTCATCACAATACATTACACGTATGTTTTATATAAATTGAGTGTACATGTGTAATTTCTACATCACATCATCTTATTGTACAGATATTAATACTATGAAAATTTCCTTAATAAAATTTTTTCTACAACCGTATCTCTACCGACATATTTGTTTTTAAAGTTAAAATTTAAGAAGCATTTTTCCTAAATAGTTATATATTTTACTATAAATTTTAACAATTTGTAATAAATATTTTCATGTTAAGGTCTTTAAAATAGATAAATTTCTTGAGATTAGATATCAAAATATATTTTTTATCGATAAAATTCTTCACAACATGAAAATAATTACTACTAATTATGTGCATATCAACATATTCCATTTTTACGAAAAGGCTTTCTATGAAAAATTATATTTTCTAGTCATCATTTTCTCTATTCCTATTAAATTGAACTTCAATAATAAATTTTTGTGTAACAACATTTAATTTAGCATGATAAGTAGAAATATATACATAAGTACTTAATATTTTCTTTTATACAATCTATTAACAAAATTTAATTTGTTTAACAAAACGAGTTTCTTATTTGCATATTTATTTTTTTTACTTAGATGTCTTGCATTATGCTTAAATATATATCTCCTTGTGATTAGTATACCATCGCCACCAATTTTTATATATAAATTTTTATATATAACATACACATATATATATATATATATATATATATATATATATATATACATATATCTAAGTTTTTATATATAAATTTTATATATAATATATATATATAAGTTTTACATATAAATTTCTTAAAAAAATAAAAAGAAAATACTGTAATATGGAAGAGAAAATTATTTATGCATTATCTGTTGTAGCAGATGCTTCCTTCTGAATAAATCTGTCCAAAATTGCTTCACTTGAATAATCTGGTACTGATGGTTGTCTAAATCCTTCATCATCCACAAAGCAGATCTCGTGTTCATCCTAGAATTATAATTATAATAATTATCAAATTTATGTAGATTGATAAAATATATTTTAGTCAACAATAGAATCTAAATACTCACTGGATCAGCAAGAATGATAACTCTTACTGAAGCTTTTCCCGGTGTATTTAAAGTTATAAGATCAGTCAAGATATTATTCCCACTTTCTTTAATAGTTTTTTGAATCATTGGTTGCTCCGAAAATGGTACGTAGAAAGCGATACGTCCATATGCTTTTGCATGATTAACCTCAGTACCTAACATAAAGAATTAAATATAATAAATTTAATAAAAAATTAAAATAATTAAATTATACATTACATTCATATACTCACCAATATCTTCAAATTCGAGCTTGGTTTGACCCTCACTATAGCCCATCAATACACTTTTATCTTTCTGATCAAATATTTTTAAATATTTTAATCCCAAAATATCCTTCCAATAGGCAATGGTGCGTTCAAGATTAGAACTGGATAAAGTAACTTTCTATACTAGATCTGTTCAAGATGATAGCACAAATTCAGAAGAGAAAATAGTTATATTGAAAATATGATTAATATAATTATAAATTAATAAAATTATAATTGTATATTCTTTGATTACAATAATAATTTTATATAATTTATATATTTTATATAAATGCTATTTATTACATACTAACAAGACAAATCAATTTATATTACATTTCTGTGATAATAAAATTGAAGTATAAATATTTTATCACCATTAGTAGGATGTTGCTCATTAATTATATGGTATTTATATCTACCAGGTGCTTGCATCACAAATTTTCCATCCTCTTCGTGAATTGGCCAATTATTGGTGCATGCTCTTTCAATAATATCAATGACAAAATGTGTATCCTCAGAGCCATATCCTATCATTGTCTTAATCCAACAATTTGCATATGGTCTATAAAAAAAAGTACAAATTATTATTAAAGTATTAATTGTTATTATATAAATAATAGTAAAAGTAGAAATTATTATTTACTTAATAATCTATAACTAATATACATGACTAATGTGTACATATGACTGTGTAATTTATTATAATCTATCATTACTCATCCATTGCATGCAGCCTCCATCTGAGAATTCCTCATGTCTCAAAACCTGTGAAAAAACAAACCGATAAATTGTAATAAACAAATTGAATTATCCCAGAAAAATGTAAAAAAAAAGACAAGAAATTACCTTCATCCCAAGAATTTCGCGATAAAATTTCGCTGTCAATCTGCGATCGGGTATCTTGAATACAAAATGTAATGCACGTTCGGTAACCATTTCTTTTTATTTTTTCTCTCTTTCTTCGGGCAAGTCTACATATATGACCAATATGATTAATTGATTCCATCTTTATATATTTATCATTATGTGCTATTAATTAAAGCCGTAGACAATTTTCAGAAATCAAAGTTGCGCGAACGTTGAACGCAGAAATGGCCATGCGCAGAAACGAATGCGCACTGGTTCGGCCGCCATGTTGGCGCGTGACTGCTACGTCACTGCTACGTCACTGCACGTCAAACGCGTCATACGGCCGCCATGTTGGCGCGTGAATCGGAGTCATACGCAGTTACACGGATCGTCGTACGTCCGCATTTTTCGCGTCTTTTAACCGTTTTTAAACGAATATCGCGAGTGAACGAGCGTCGAAAGTGTCCACGGATGATCGCGCGACTTTCATAATATGTCGGTGAAAGTGCGCGACAACTATTTTTAACAGTTCAGTGATAGCGCGATCGCGAAGATGGAGCGAAGTTGCGTCGCAATATTCGCGCCCTTGATGATGATTATCGGGTGCGAGCAAGTATCGGAAGTGCCGAATAAAGTGTCGCGCGTTCGCGTTGATGATATCGTGTGAGTTTGTGCACATCAAGATCGGAATGGGACGTCCCGAGACGAGCGAGTGGAGCGGCCTGTGGAACAGCCGGTGAACGAGTGAGTAGATTCGATTTATCATATTTGCGTGACAATTCTCGTGCTCATTCGACGCTTATCAGCATCGCGATGTCCCGAATTACGTTCGGACAAATCGGCGCCGCATCATAATTCGATGCGATGCCGTGCAATTCAAATAAAGTCGATCGTGTGAAGATGATTAGGCTAGAAGCGATTTCAAATTTATTTTGTATACGCGCAGTGCTGCACAGCCTATCTCGTAGGGCTGCCAATTGTCAAACGATAAATTTTTTTGATTTAACCTAACCTAACCTAACCTAACCTCTCAGTGTCTTTGGATATCGAATGTAAACACAAGCGAATGTTGCCTGGATTTTATCATCTTTTCAAAAAATAATATTTAATTATTTCATTAGTGTATTACATTTTATTACGTAGTATATTAATCGTATTAAATGTGCGACGTACAGTTTTACACATTTTAATGAGGAGCATATAATGTAATTGGTTAGGTTAGATTAAATTAAAACAAGCTGCTGTGATTCATTTAACGTAATAGGATTAATTTGACGAATGTGCAGCTATTGAAGTTACATGATATTTGTGCACACATTTTTAAGGTAATCATGAGTGTTTTATCTCATCTTGATCATATGAAATTAAAATATAAAATATTTATGTATTTCACATTAACGTTATTCATTACAAATACTATATTACTTTTCTTATATCTCAATCATATTTCATCGATGAAGCTTTTCATATATCGCAGACAATATGATACTGTGTGTGGAATTTTACACAGGTAATACATGGCACAAAAATAATTTGCTCTCAAGTATTGTACGCATTTCTCAAAAATAAATCAAATTAAATTATTTTCAGGATCCAAAAATCACTACATTGGATTGTATTTTATTGTAACTGCGATATTATCACCTTTTAATATGTGTGCGCAGTATTACATACATAAAATATATAAATTTATTTGAAACTGAAATCTTTATCTTATTTATAATATTTATGATATTATAAAAGAAAATTGCAAACTCTAATGAAACAGAGCGGTGGAATAATTGGTAGATACTTATGCTGGTCTACAATATTTATCCTTTTTTCAACATTAAACTTTTAGTGCTTTTTTTATTATACAGATGTTATCTGTAAATATAGTACTTGTAATGTTGTTTCTGTATCACTGTAAGCACACAAAAATAATAGCATTTTACGATACAGCTTTTTGTTTATTTTCTGTTGTAAAATCTGGTTTTCCTACTTGACTCCCAGGATAAATACTTAAAAAAACAAAATATAATATAAACACATTATTTTTTATATACATAACAGAGAGAGAAAGAATAAAAGTACACATAAAACAAAAAATATATTTTTAGAATATGCTAAAAAAGTTATTTTGTATACCTGCAATGCCATATGGTTCTGATAGTTCATTAGATGAAACGTGCTATTGTTGGAGAATCAAGCCAATCTGAAACTTGAAGATAATGGTGAGTATATGGATATAATGTATAATTTAATTATTTTAATTTTTTATTAAATTTATTATTATTATATTTAATTCTGTGCAAAGAAAAGATATTCATATCACATACTGTTCAAGGAAACATTTCATAATTACTACACATATTTACTATCCCTTACAAGGTCTAGTAGCGCCTCCTCGTTACAGTAAGTATAGTAATAAAATGTAGTATAAACACATTATTTTTTATATACGTAACAGAGAGAGAAAGAATAAAAGTACACATACAAAGAAGCAAATATGTAATATTTTAGAAGATAATGCCTAATAAAATCATTATTTTTATGAAATAATGTAAAAAAAAAAAAAAAAAAAAAAAAAAAAAAAAAAAAAAAAAAAAAAAAAAAAAAAAAAAAAAAAAAAAAAAAAAAAAAAAAAAAAAAAAAAAAAAAAAAAAAAAATAAAAATATTATTTTGTATACCTTCAATGCCATACGGTTTTGATAGTCCATTAGATGAACGTGCTTTTGATAGAGGATCAAGCCAATCTGGAACTTGAAGATATTAATAAGTATACAGGGTGCGGCGTGGAAACCTGAAAGATGTTAAAACGGCGAAGCGCGCTCTGTAGGCGAGATATCGAACTCGTTCGACCGAGGTTCGAAAGAGGAAGAACAGACTAGAGGTTTGTTTTTTATTCCTGCACTGCTGCACTAGTGCAATTAGTTAGAGTGAAAGAAAGTATGTTTGTCTCTTTCTAACTTATTGCACTAGTGCAGCAGTGCAGGAATAAAAAACAGACCCAATATTTTGGTCATATAGTTTATTTACATAACTTTGTTGTTTTAAAAATAATATCAGACAAATGATTACCCTTATTTTTTACACAATTTTCGAGACGTTTCACAAAACTATCGTACACTTTTTCCAACATTGACTTCGGAATTGCGGCCGCATGTCGTCGAATTTCAGTCTTGAGTTCTTCCAAGTCTTTCGGCTTCGTTTCGTAAACTCTGGACTTCAAATACCCCCACAAAAAAAAATCACAAACTGATAAATCGGGCGAGCGTGGCGGCCAGGAGAGAGACGCAGTTCTCGAAATTAAGCGGTTACCAAACATCTTTCTCAAAACAGTCATCGTTTCATTCGCCGTATGGCAAGGCGCCCCATCCTGCTGAAACCATGTTCGACTCAGTTTCTTCTTCTTCGTCAATTCCCGCCGAACGAAGTTCGTTAACAACTCTCGGTAGCGTTCCCCGTTTACCATTCCACCGAAAAAAAACGGACCGATGACGCCCCACTTGGAAACGCCCATCCAGACGGTAACCTTGGGAGAGTGAAGGGGTTTCTCGTTGATGACACGCGGGTTCTCGTCACTCCAGTAACGAACATTTTGCTTATTCACATCACCGTTTAAATAAAAATGTGCTTCGTCTGTTATCATGATGTCTTCGAGTGGAACTTCTCTGCTCTTGATTTTTTGCAACATCGTTCGACTGAATTGGATTCGTTCCTTATGATCGGCGACTTTGAGCTGTTGGGTGTACATAATTTTATATGGATGAAAATTCAAGTCTTCATGAAGAATCCGCCTCAAGGTTCGATCCGATATCTTCAAATTTTGCGCGTGCAAACGAGCGGATCGACTCGGACTGTTTTCCAAACTGAGACGAACTTTTGCGATCGTTGGGGAGGTTCGGACGGTCAAGGGAGGGCCGGGAGGTTTCTTTTTTAACACAGAACCTGTCTCACGAAAATTTTTAACCCATAACCTCAAGGTATTGTCAGAAAAAACTGGTTTGGTACGCGCAATTTGAAATTTTTTACGAAACTCACGAACAGTTACCGTGTACGAATTGTTACGAAAAAACCGCTCTACAGCGAACGCGCGATGCTCGGCACTCCAGCCACCCATGGTGCTCGTTGACTAACTGAAAAATATTGTCTGTTCTTCCTCTTTCGAACCTCGGTCGAACGAGTTCGATATCTCGCCTACAGAGCGCGCTTCGCCGTTTTAACATCTTTCAGGTTTCCACGCCGCACCCTGTATGAATATAATGTATAATTTAATTATTTTAATTTTTTATTAAATTTATTATTATTATATTTAATTCTGTGCAAAGAAAAGATATTCATATCACATACTGTTCAAGAAAACATTTCATAATTACTACACATATTTGCTATCACTTACAAGGTCTAGCGCCTCCTCGTTACAGTAAGTATAGTAATAAAATGTAGTATAAACACATTATTTTTTATATACGTAACAGAGAGAGAAAGAATAAAAGTACACATAAAACAAAAAAAACATATTTTTAGAATATGCTAAAAAAGTTATTTTGTATACCTGCCATGCCTAATGGTCCTGATTGTTTATTAGATAAACGTGCTTCTGTTGAAGGATAAAGCCAATCTGGAACATGAAGATATTGGTGATTATATGAATATAATGTATAATTTGATTATTTTAATTTTTTATTAAATTTATTATTATTATATTTAATTCTGTGCAAAGAAAAGATATTCATATCACATACTGTTCAAGAAAACATTTCATAATTACTACACATATTTGCTATCACTTACAAGGTCTAGTAGCGCCTCCTCGTTACAGTAAGTATAGTAATAAAATGTAGTATAAACACATTATTTTTTATATACGTAACAGAGAGAGAAAGAATAAAAGTACACATAAAATAAAAAAACATATTTTTAGAATATGCTAAAAAAGTTATTTTGTATACCTGCCATGCCTAATGGTCCTGATTGTTTATTAGATAAACGTGCTTCTGTTGAAGGATAAAGCCAATCTGGAACATGAAGATATTGGTGATTATATGAATATAATGTATAATTTGATTATTTTAATTTTTTATTAAATTTATTATTATTATATTTAATTCTGTGCAAAGAAAAGATATTCATATCACATACTGTTCAAGGAAACATTTCATAATTACTACACATATTTGCTATCACTTACAAGGTGTAATAGTGCTTTCATCAAGTGGGATAGATGTGGTGGACGTGTATTTATGATGCCGATGATGCTTTTTATCACCTGTAATTTTTAATGTCACACGTTATATATCATCATTCTATTATACTTGCCACACATACTCATGTTATGTACTCACGTGATGAAGATCCATTCGAGCGGGATCTATGTCTAGAACCTCCTGATGAACCTCGTGACGATGATCTTCTCGAGGAACCTCGTGAGCCTCGTGAAAACTTCCGAAATGCGATTACATCAGCTAAGAAGAAAATATGTTCATGTTTACAATAAATTCACGTGAACATTATTATTGAGAAAAAGTTATGATATATATTAACAAGCTATAAGATATTTTTGCGAGTTGTAAAAAAAAAAAAAAAAAAAAAAAAAAAAAAAATATATATAACAAGCTATAAGATATTTTTGCGAGTTGTGAAAAGATATTTTTTGGATGCTAAAAAAAGTCATTTTATACCTGCATTGCCATATGATGTCGATGATTGACCAGATGATTGTACATTTGTCGTGCAAAACTTATTTGAGATAATATATGCAAAAATGATCATTAATACAATGATGATGAATTAGTATCATTAGTATAGTATAAAATAATATTCTTCGTAAATTTCATGTTTCAGAAAGAGAGAGAGGAACAAGCATATTTATGATAAATTTGCTGCGACTCATGTATAATAATAGAATTATTTATTATACATAAAAATATATATTTTTATACTTACCAACAATAACAGTTAAAAGAAAGAAAAGTATCAAAATTCGAATTTCCATTGCTATTATATGGGAGCGACGATAAACAATGATAAACTGAAACTGAAATCCTTAAATGCTAGAATGATGAATATATATGTTTTATATTGTGTTTATTATTTCCCCTCTCCTCAGTATTTGTATTACGTCTTTCTTGAAATGATAAAAGCTAAAAAATTATGTTGATCTTTTGATCATCAATTAATACAACTAAATATTTTCAGTATAATCAAAACTGATAAATGCTGATATATCGCTGATATATGCTTTATGTTACATATCAACATATTCCATTTTTACGAAAAGGCTTTCTATGAAAAATTATATTTTCTAGTCATCATTTTCTCTATTCCTATTAAATTGAACTTCAATAATAAACAAGATAAGAAAACTGGCATGTAACATGAAACCGCATACATCAGCGATATATCAGCATTTATCAGTTTTGATTATACTGAAAATATTTAGTTGTATTAATTGATGATCAAAAGATCAACATAATTTTTTAGCTTTTATCATTTCAAGAAAGACGTAATACAAATACTGAGGAGAGGGGAAATAATAAACACAATATAAAACATATATATTCATTCCAGCATTTAAGCATTTCAGTTTTAGTTTATCATTGTTTATCATCGCTCCCATATAATAGCAATGGAAATTCGAATTTTGCTACTTTTCTTTCTTTTAACTGTTCTTGCTGGTAAGTACAAAAATATATATTTTTATGTATAATAAATAATTCTATTATTATACATGAGTCGCAGCAAATTTATCATAAATATGCTTGTTCATTAATATGCTTGTTCCTTTTTCTCTTTCTGAAACGTGAAACTTTTATGAAGAATATTATTTTATACTATACTAATGATACTAATTCAGCATCATTGTATTAATGATCATTTTTGCATATATCATCTCAAATAAGCTTTGCACGACAAATGTACAATCATCTGATCAATCATCGACATCATGGCAATGCAGGTCATAAAATGACTTTTTTTTTAGCATCAAAAATATCTTTTCACAACTCGCGCAATATATCTTAGCTTGTTAATATATATCATAACTTTTTCTCAATAATAATGTTCATGTGAATTTATTGTAAACATGAACATATTTTCTTCTTAGCTGATGTAATCGCATTTCGGAAGTCTTCACGAGGCTCACGAGTTTCCTCGGGAAGATCGTCTTCACAGAGTTCACCATCACGAGGTTCACCATCACGGGGTTCGCATATTGAATCAAATTCCGAACATAAAAGTTCATCGTCTGGACATAGGATAGGATCCAATTCGACTGGAACTTCATCAAATGAGTACATAACATGAGTATGTGTGGCAAGTATAATAGAATGATGATATATAACGTGTGACATTAAAAATTACTTCCTTTCGATTTAGTTCAATAATAAATTTTTGTGTAACAACATTTAATTTAGCATGATAAGTATAAATATATACATAAGTACTTAATATTTTGTCTTTCATAGAATCTATTACAAAAAATATAATTTGTTTCACAAAACGAGTTTCTTGTTTGCATATTTACATTTTTTTTACTTAGATGTCTTGCATTATGCTTAAATATAAATCTCCTTGTGATTAGCATTCCATCACCACTAATTTTTATATATATAAATTTTTATATATAACATATATATATATAAGTTTTACATATAAATTTCTTTAAAAAAATAAAAAGAAAATACTGTAATATGGAAGAGAAAATTATTTATGCATTATCTGTTGTAGCAGATGCTTCCTTCTGAATAAATCTGTCCAAAATTGCTTCACTTGGGTAATCTGGTACTGATAGTTGTCTAAATCCTTCATCATCCACAAAGCAGATCTCATGTCCATCCTAGAAACATAATTATTAAATTTATGTAGATTGATAAAATATATTTTAGTTAACAATAGAATCTAACTACTCACTGGATCAGCAAGAATGATAACTCTTACTGAAGCTTTTCCCGGTGTATCTAAAGTTATAAGATCAGTCAAGATTTTATTCCCACTTTCTTTAATAGTTTTTTGAATCATTGGTTGCTCCGAAAATGGTACAGAGAAAGCGATACGTCCGTATGCTTTTGCATGATTAACCTCAGTACCTAACATACAGAATTAAATATAATAATAAATTTAATAAAAAATTAAAATAATTAAATTATTACATACATTATATTCATATACTCACCAATATCTTCAAATTCGAGCTTGGTTTGATCCTCACTATAGCCCATCAATACACTTTTATCTTTCTGATCAAATATCTTTAATCCCAAAATATCCTTCCAATAGGCAATGGTGCGTTCAAGATTAGAACTGGATAAAGTAACTTTCTCTACTGGATCTGTTCAAGATGATAGCACAAATTCAGAAGAGAAAATAGTTATATTGAAAATATAATTAATATAAATTAATGTTATTTATTATATACTAACAAGACAAATCAATTTATGTTACATTTCTGTGATAATAAAATTGAAAAATAAATATTTTACCACCATTAGTAGGACGTTGCTCATTAATTACGTGATATTTATATCCACCAGGTGCTTGCATCACAAATTTTCCATCCTCTTCGTGAATTGGCCAATTATTGGTGCGTGCTCTTTCAATGATATCTTTCGAACGAATAGTGATGGCTCTAAAATCATTTCCAGTTTCATATTCCTTGATTCCATAATTATATGTTAATTCAATGACAAAATGTGTATCCTCAGGGCCATATCCTATCATTGTCTTACTCCAACGATTTGCATATGGTCTATAAAAAAAAAGTAAAAATTATTATTAAATAGTATTAATTGTTATTATATAAATAATAATAAAAGTAGAAATTATTATTTACTTAATAATCTATGACTAATATACATGACTAATATACATATGACTAGTGTAATTTATTATAATCTATCATTACTGACCCATTGCACGCAGCCTCACATCCATCTGAGAATTCCTCGTGTCTCAAAACCTGTGAAAAAACAAACCTATAAATTGTAATAAACAAATTGAATTATCAGAAAAATGCAAAAAAAAAGACAAGAAATTACCTTCATCCCAAGAATTTCGCGATAAAATTTCGCCGTCAATCTGCGATCGGGTATCTTGAATACAAAATGTAATGTACGTCCGGTAACCATTTCTTTTTTTTTTTTGGTGTACTTTTGTCCTAATCAAGACTCAAGATACAATTTCCAAAGTAATATCTCGTAATTCCTTTATTTGCTTTATGATTTTAAATCCCCTCAAAATTTTATTCAGACACCCAACACGCATGAACTTGACAGGGAGAAGAATGAGAAGTGTCACGATTATCCCTGAAAGCAATATCGCCCTCTATCGACATAAAAACACTTTAGGGCATGTTTTCAACGAACCCATGGCTGACCATCTTTAATAGTATTTTATCGATGACAAAAACAAACATTTTTCTTTCCACGTGTGGAAATTGGAAATATCTTGAAGATATCATGGATAATAAAAATAAGATACAATATTTAATCGTTGACACGAGTGCTTTTATAAGAAATGCTCCTTTGCAGGTATTTATTGAATAAATTAAACATATATTTATAAATCCACATAAATGAGTATATTGTTTATTTTAATTACGAGGTTATGCGTATAAACTATTTTATATGTATATTAATAAATATAATATATAATATTATATTTATTAATATACATATAAAATATATATATAATATTACTTATAAAATATATATATAATATTAGTCATATATATTAAAATACATATATAATATTATATATGAATATTAATAAATATATAATCGATTTAATTTTATTTAAAAAATAGATGTATAATAATGTATAATAAAAATAAATGTATAGTAAAAAATAATGTATAATAAAAAATAAATGTATGAAAATATGTTCTAGTTTTATAACGTTTTTTAAATATTAAAAATATTTTTAGGATATTGGAGTCAACATTTTGACAGAACAAGCTGTTGTCGATGAAATCACGAGCAAGAGGCAGTTGAGAAGACTAGTTGTTCTACCATATGATTTGAAAGTTCAAGAAGCTTTCAGTGAAAATATAAAATTTGGTAATTGAAGCTCTTTAAACATATCATTTGCTAAAAATATATACAACAAAATATGCAGTTGTTCATGTATTCAATCATTTTTTCATTTTAAAAATATTTTTTTTATGTTTAAAAACTAAATTGCTGGTATGGGAGACGAAATTAATATGTTTCACTAGTGATAAATATATAACAGCATATTTGATAATGCATTTTGTATTGTTTATGTCATATTGATACATTTCTATATGTTTTTTTATTTATTATTTTATTTATTATTTATTTTATTATTTTATTTATATTTTTATATCATTTTATTTGATCATTCTGACATTAACATATCTGGAATATATTTACAGTGACTGAATTTTCTAAGAAAAGTGGCGATTATACCAGCTTGTCGGCTACAGACATCAAAGTTATTGCACTCACTTATCAGTTGGAAAAAGAAAAAGTTGGGACAGCACATTTAAAAGATGCTCCAACAATTAGGACTATTGCACCTACTGAAGATAAGCAAAATGGGGATGATCTTAAATTACCAATTGGTTTTTACATGCCGAAGAAAACAGTAAGATATTTTTATACACTTTTGTATATAACTTTTTAAGATAAATTTTTAGGATAAATTTTGTATATAATGCAATAATTTTTCTTATTACTATTTATGTTCTATATTTAGGAAAAGACAGAATTAGATGAAGATAATGATACAGAGGCTTCTATGAATAATGCAGAAAAAACAGATTTTAAAGAAAATATTACACACATACAGATTACAGGAAAATCAATTGTGAATGATACAATAAACGACATAGAGATGCAAGAGCAATTATCTGATACATCGTCGAATGAAATCGAGTCAGATTATGAAACTGCAATATCAGATATTGATGAAGACAGTGAACCAGAACCAATAACTTTAACTGAAAAATTTGCTAAATTGAATTGTAATCCAACAGATTTAAAAGTTGGTGAGAAAAAATACGCTATGGACGATATTCTTGTTCCACTTAATACAGCAACATCTAAAAGTGAAGAAAGTGACATAGATTTGATCGAGGATGAAGATGATGAAAATGATGACGATGACGATGACGGGAATTGGATCACACCAGGTAAATTAAAATTATAATTTGTTAAAATCTGATTAAGATGGATCAGTAAAATCCACTCATATATTTGTGAATATTAATATCTATAAATTTATTTTAGCAAACATTGCCAATGTAAAAAAGCAAATGGATTCGGAGATTCTCGAGGAAAAGACCGCTACTGTCGCGTGCTTAACGATGGATTTTGCGATGCAAAATGTGCTCATGCAAATGGGACTGAATGTAGTTGCATTAGATGGCAGAGTGATTAAACAGATGCGAACGTTTATATTTAGATGCTATGCTTGTTTTAAGACTACTAGTGTCATGACAAAGATTTTCTGCCCGCATTGTGGTAATAAGACACTGAAAAAGGTAGAAGTCACGTTAGATGAAAATGGAAAACAACAAATCCATATAAATTTTCGGAGACCTCTCTCAGCCAAAGGAAAGAGGGTATGTGTGCTTATTATATTACTATATTAATATTATTATTATTAGTATTAATTATTATTATTAATTAATTATTATTAATTACTATATATATTTACTATATTATATTATTATTAATTACTATATTAATTCTAATAATATTATTATTATATTATATTATTATTATTAATTAATATTACTATATTAATTCTAATAATATTATTATATTATATTATTATTATATTATTATTAATATTATTATTATTATTAATTATTATTATTATATTAATTCTTAATATAATTAATTCTTACATTTAATTTCACACACACACACACATGTGCGATAAAAATGAAAATCGAAATTTTTTTAGTTCCCATTACCGATGCCAAAAGGTGGAAAGCACGCAAACAATCCCATTTTGTGCGAGGATCAACCAATGCCAGAGCAACGTACGTCGCGTTTGGCGCGCACCAAGAACAATCCCCTCGATGACGATTATATAGCTGGATATTCTCCATTCGTTATGCGCGATATAAATTCTAAGTCGGCTATGTTAGGTATAAGACCGGACGGTGCTGTCAAATACTGGATGAAAAGAAACCCTAATGAATCTAGAAAGAGACGAAAATAAAAACGATTGATTATTAAATCAATTTGACTTACTTGAGTTATTATTTAAATACTTTATTATTTGAGAAAAAAATTTTTTATTTGTGAAGCTTCCTCTTTCCATATATTTATATATAATATATAAATCTTATAATTATATATATATATATATATATATATATATATATATATATACAATAAATTTATATATTTATGTTACATAGTTTTCTCTCTTTCCATATATTTATATATAATATATAAATCTTGTAATTAAATATATATATATATATAATAAATTTATATATTTTATATATTTATATTATATATTTCATTATTTATATTTATATTATATATTTTATTTATTTATATATTTATATTTATTTATATTTATTATATATTTATATAAATATAAATTATATATTTATATTTGTATATATATATAAATCTTATAATCATAAATTATATAAAATTAATGCAAGTTATAAGATTTATATATAATACATAAATCTATTATAATTTATATCAATTTTATATAATTTATATTACATAAAATATTAGTATTTAGCACAGTATTCATTTTTAATCTTATTAAAAAAAAAAAGTTAAAAAAAAATGCCCCGGGTGAGGATCGAACTCACGACCTTAAGATTATGAGACTTACGCGCTGCCTACTGCGCTACCGAGGCTCTTGAGTAACTCTCTCTATGTTTGTGAATATTTGTAGACAAGTAGACTGTTGACCCTTGCGTTGTTATATATTTAAACAAATCATATGTCAAAAGGAATGTGTCTTGCGAAATGCATATTGCTGATTACTTCCAATGCCAAGGAGATTCCTTTAAAACATAGAGTAAGCGATATGGCAGGAATTATTCAATCAAAACATAAATACAAGAAATAAGTATTTTCCAACTAAAAGTTAAATCTTTTGAAAATTTAGAGAATAAATTGTCGTTACAAAAATTTAAAAAATATCATGACAAAAATTTTATAGTCTCCTGGAAAATGAGAGGCAATCAATAATTAACTATAACGAAAATAAATGCATTGTAAAATTATTAAAATATAAATCAAGATAATTAACTTGATCTGATCTGATCTAACCTAATCTAATGTAAACCTCAGGTTAGATTATATAAAAATAATGAAGGCATTTCTTCCTACCGACTCTAAATGAACCATGTTATTTAAAATCATATTCTTCAGGTATTCGTCAGGATTCATAAGAGGAGAAAAGCGTCATCATATCATTAGCTGTCATTAATATTTTGTCAATATGCTTTGTCCGGAGACATCCAATTTTAAACCACCACGACATTATATATCCATGGATAGGAGAGATTTTACAAAAATAGATATACCTGCTGTGATGAACACTCATTATTTCAATCACTCGGTAAGTAAATTATTTTATTTTAATTTTTAAAATTTCAATTTTTAAAACTTTAATTTAAAAAATTTTTTTAATATTGATGCTATATTAGTTTTCTACCGAGAAAACAAATATAGCATCTAAATTCCAATTTATAAATATAGCATTCTAAATTTCAATTAAAAAAATTTTTTAAATATTGATGCTATTTGTTTTCTACATCGTTTAGGTGTCTGTGGTGCTTCCTGATACTGTCACCATTCCTGACACTTTAAGGAATTGTCTGTCAGAGGACACGGATTATTATCGGATAAATGCGCTGCGAGTCTGCGATCTCTTAAGCACAGAATTTATTGAGGCTTTTGTTAAGAAAGGTAAACATGCGTTACACTTGTTATTGATTTTCTCCTCATATAATTGCATTTTATAATCACAAGTGTAATATTTGTGATATTTTGAAGTAAAGAGCACACACTTTCCTTTGAAAAGAAAGATAATTTTTCTTCTTTTCAATTAACTTGAATTAAAAAATTTATTCCCTCTTATTTCTATATTTATATTTCTACTGGAATCTATATTTAAAATTTTAGGAGAAGTCAGCCTTATGACAATAGAAAACAAAATAGATTTGCAAAATTCCATTTGTGTTACTCCAACTGGATACCTGCTACTTTCTTTGCTAACCGAAGACTATCAAGCGCTTGGTTTAGAAGGCAAGGCATCTTCCTTTAATTGCAAACCTCACACACGTTATGGTAAGTAGAAAGGAAATAACAATGAATTAAATCTTAAAATTACATGTCAATATCTATGATATTTTGTAATCCATATATTTTTTTATATACATTCTTTATATATTTGAACATTTTTTTTTTATCGGTGCAAATACATACACATTATCAGTAGTAACAATTAATCTGAAAAGTGAAAATTTTGTTCCTGGTAAGAAGAACTATGAAAGGACTCGAATAGCGCTGGAACAACGTCTCAAACAGAGTTTTGATGTTATAGTGTCCTGGGATCCACCAAGTATGCAACTTTTCTTCTCTTATAATACATAAATAATATTATAATATTCATACATATTTTCTGATTACCATTTAAATATTTCAGACACTAATTTATGTCCAATCATCAATAGCAGCATGGTTCTACGCACGCAATTATGAGGTTTGTCTCTGTCATCAGACATTTTCTCAAAGAACAAAATATTCAATGGCATTACCCACTCTTCAAGAAGGATGCAACTTGGATAAATTTTTTGAATGGCTTGGAATCTTTAGCATTGGTGGTGATCTGTATGTTATAATTTGTACCTTAAAGTAACAATTCTTCATCTGTGATTAATAAGAGAAGATTACAAAAATATGATAGCTACAATATTTTTTTTAGGTCTAATGGAGAAACAGATAACTATGTAAATACATATGAGTGCCCTCCGCTTTCTATAGATATTGGACAAGTGCAGCATTTACAATGGACTGGGTTCTTTACACGACAGAAGATGCACGAGATGTATAATGCATTGAAAGAATACGTATTATCACGAAAGACCTTACCATGGGTCAGTTTAGATGTACAAGGATTTGCAGATAGTCCTACCAGCTGGGATTTAAAGGAACACATGTTTTTCACCGATGGAGATAACAGTTACACTATCATATTTCAACTTACAGGTGAATCCATTATACGAAAAAGTCTCAGTTCTAATAATAGACCCAGAATATGTCAATAGATCTTAAATAAATTATATTCAATAACTTTAATAAGAGAACAATGTGGATTATAAGGAGATTATTTTTTTAAATAAATTGCTAACTGACAAACTCCGAAATTCATATTGTAATTTATTTTATCACGAAGAAGAGTTGAGTAGCTACAAGTCATGCATTTTATTAATATAATGTAATAAAATACTATCTTATATATCAATAAATACGATAAGTTGATAACACAAAGAGACAAGAGGTGCAAAACTGACAAAAGATAAACATAAAATAAGTACCGATTATTTTTTAGGAAAAATAATTTTAGAAATATACATATATATGTGTGTGTATGTATGTATCATATACACAGGGTTGGGTAATAACTAGTTGATTAGTTAAAAGTTAAAAAGTTAATAATTTTTAACTCAATTTAATTATTTTAAAGAGTTAACTTTTAACTTTAACTAGTTATTTTTAAAACACATAAACTTAAACTTATTAACTTTCCCTCCAAATTTATTTGATGATTCATATTATTTAGAGTAATCTAATTTTAAAATTACAATCTAATTTAATATAAAGTGAAATAATGCTTTCCAAAATTTTAACTTTTATCTTAACTAACGTTAATTTAATCTTAACGTAACTTTTATTGAGTTAATTTTTTATTTGTATATCTTTTAACATAACTAAATTAATTTTTTAACCCATTAACTTTAACTTAATTTAGTTAAAAAAAAATATAAACTTACCCAACCCTGCATATACATATGTATATATATTTATGAAATTATATACATATCTATGTAATTTATCGCACAATTGGCTGTAATGAATAAAAATGTCGTGAAATATAGTATTCTATTCTTTTACTATAAAACATTCAATATTTTCATACACCGCTTGTCTTCTTATTAACTGATATTAACGATATATAAATACTACACGAGATTAAAAATATTGTAAATACTAATTTTACATTTAACCACATATACATTTATGCTATCCTCACTGTCTGAAAGCCTATTATAAGATAAAAAAGATTTGAATATAATTAATATCCTAATTATTAATTATTTGCAACATAATAGTGCACTATGCATCAGTGTAAAGTGCTTTGATGTCTATAAATAACTCAATATATTAAAAAAAAAAGAAATAAAAAAATACTAAGGTACTTAACTATGAGATCAAAGCAGTCTATATGTATAATAAAATCTTTGGTTCGAGCAGGCATGTGGTTTTATAAATAGTATTGCAAACATTTCTTTTTTTCCTTTTTGTCTTTTTACATCAAACATATATGATGTTCAGATAATGTAAAATGTCCTAGATATTTTTGAAAAGTTAGATCACATATCTACATCAGAACATTGGAATTAATTTTTATATCAATACGTGGGAACTATCTGTATCACTGAATTTCACTCTAGAATTGTAATATAAATCCTCTATACCTGAACCAATGGACATGCGAGATTTAGAACGCGCCACGAGTTCGCCTATGTCATCGAGATCTCGATACCTATAATATACGTAAAAAATGAATTAATGGTGCACCAAAGCATCAAATACAGTGTCCCATTTTAATCCATCCAGTCGAATATCTCGAAAACCAAGCCCGAGAGAGAAAAATATTTCAGACAAAAGTTGTATGGTTTCAAGGGTGCCATAAGAGGGTACCATTGGTTTGACTTTGAAGAGTCATTTGAAGGACATGCGAAGGTTACTTCAATTTTTTTAAATGGAACACGCTATATATTTTTGCATATTCTTGTAGCTCATCTCGAGAGCTTTCCAAAACATTATAATAAAGTATTTCTTCATCGAGCACTTTTCGAGTTATGAGACTTGAAATAATTTCTTAATTTTATATAAACTATAAAATATCTAGTAAAATATTCATTTTTCGATTATCTTACCTTAATACTTTTATGTACAAAATAATGAGAGGAATCAATTGGTGTAAAGAAAACATACAGTTGTTTTTAAGAAAAAATATGGAATTTGCAATTAACAATTCCATATTTTTTTCTTAAAAATAATTATGTTTTCTTTACATCAATTGATTCCTCTCATTATTTTATATAAAAGTATTAAAGTAAGATAATCGAAAAATGAATATTTTACTAGATATTTTATAGTTTATATAAAATTAAGAAATTATTTCAAGTCTCATAACTCGAAAAGTGCTCGATGAAGCTACGACTAGATGTATTAAAATGGGACACCCTGTATATTCGCATCATTCGAGACATACCTACTGACAGGCCGACTAGGATTTTCAGATGATTCTGATGAATTTTTCATAATTGAAAATCCATCATCTGCATTAAATGATGCTGCATTACCTATGCAAACACAACAATCTATCGTAAGAATGTGCGATAAACAATAATATAATTTTATTAAAAAAAGATAATAAATATTGTACCAGAGGGAAACAGTATAGTATGTTTTAATAGGTCACCACTAATAAATGGAGATAGACTATCGTCGTCATCCGTTAACAAATGATTGGTCGAATCCGATCCTATAGATTCAACCATTTCCAGCCACTGCTGATTGTGCGACCGGAACTTTTCCACTTTTATGCGCGCCGCCCAATTCTTGTCGCACATCTAGAATTTAAAAAATTAAAAAATTAAGAAATTAAAAATTAAAAAATAAAGAAACGTTAATACAAATAGTTTATCTCGTAAAGTATTATTTACAAGAAGCTGTTTATAAACTTATATAAAAACAAGAGAAGAGATTTGCACGCGAGATATTTCCTCCAAGTAACTTACAGCAATGACATCTAAACACGTATCACAGACTTTTCTGATTGCAGGATTTTTGTCGTGCATTAAATCGATCAAATATCCAGGAGCTTCTGCAAATGCAATCACGATTTTTTATATTCATCACAGAGACTGTTTAAAAATATTCACAAGATACTTTGTTGCTCTACATCTTTAATAAGGCTCAATAATTAAGGAAATTGATCATTACCATTGCCAGTCTCGCGAATCAAATAATCTCGCGTTGAATCATGTTTTGCAATTTGATAAAAAACGTAAATTATTTGCAAAACCATTTCATCGTCTTCTTGTTTAGCTACAATATTATACATGATGAAGATATAGTGCTTTTCTTTTGTATAAATTCGTAAATCTTTTTTTTAAGTGTGTGTATCCAAAAAACTTGAATATATACCTTTAAGAAGCTCGATGAGAGAGAGAAGTATATCAGCCTTGCACAATAAACGGGCACAATCTTCATCGTAAGCCGCAGTGCCCAAAAATATGACAACCTCAAGAACTAAATCATCTTGTGCCTTACCTGCAAATATAAAGAAAACAGGAAAAGTTGAAATAAATTTCAGATTTTCATTCTATTTCGATATCAAGAGCAAAAAACTAAGATAAAATAAAGAGAGAAAGGAAGAAATGTACCTGGAACTAAATTATTACGTATCCATGGTATAAGATTACAACGTTGAATGACTTGAGAATAGTCCAAGTCAGGCAATTCTAAGTTGCCCAATACACCAATTACTTCTAGTACAAAATCTTGAGAATCAGATTGAGTCAAAGCCATAGCAAAATCACCCACAAATTCCTAAACATGTATGAACGAAAATAACATTAGTATTAGAATTAGAAAATAATTGATACATGATATTGTTCTCTTAATCTCGATAAAAAAAAAAGCCTCAACTCACGACAAAATTTTCTTTCGTCGAATCGTGTTGAGAAATATTTCTAATCATCTTCATTATAAGAGCATCTTGATTTCTGAATGCAATTTTTATAAGACCTTGCAAACGATTATTTTCCACCATGAGTTGTGCATTCTTATTATTAATAGCTAAATTTATACCAAGTGCTATTAATTCAGACCTTACATGTTCGTCTTCGAAATTTAATATCATGTTTGTTATCTAAACAAATGATACACGTTATATATAAAATGATGGGGAAACTCTTTGAGTTCCCTAAATTTGTATAAAAATTTTCCAAGATAGTGTATATGTACCATTGGAATGCAATCCGTATTTGTAAACATTGCTTTTACTTTGTCATCCATACTGGCATGATAGAGCAAGCCCAGAATTGTGCTCTTACTTTTTATATCAGCTGTAAGCATAATATTATATAAAAATTTTATATATAAGAATTTAAAGCTTCATATAAAAATAGTTATATTTTCATGATTTTAAAAGTACAATTCCTACCTTGACCAAGCAACTTGATCCATTTTGGTAGCATGCCAACTCTAATCATTCTTGCTCTCAGTTTAAAATCAAAAGAAAGATTAAATAACAGCTTTAAAGTGCTTAATACAAGATCAGTATTATTATTTTGTAAAAGTCTTGGTAATTTGTCTATAATATTTTCCTCTGCCTGTAAATATATATTAATATCTATATATTTATGTTATTTATAAGTGCAAGTTGTCAATATTATACTATATTTAATATTACCATAAGATCTTTATTTTCCCGAAAGATAGATAATTTCTTCAAAAATGTGACAACTAATATCAATAAATCAGTATTTGTTCTGTCTAATGTTTTAATCAACATTCCAATAACATTCTTTTTTCGCATCTTTCTTTCAACTTCCATAGCATTCTCAGCAATGTTTAAGAGCAGATAAAACGCAACTCGCAGCAGCTGTTCTTGCTTTTTAGTTAAACTCTTAAATTTTTTGCGACTTTTCTCAAGTTCCTCTTTCAACTTCTTAATGTCACTCTCAGATACAGATATGGATATATCTGTGGATCGCCTCTTGACTTCATAATCTAATGGACCTTCCATATTCCAAATGTCATCAATGATCCTAATCTTCCTATCACAATTGTCATTATTTCCCATTGGGAAAAACGTTAAACCAGTGGTGTTTTCGAACTGTTTCCGACGTTTTTCCATGTCTTCCTTCCACTGATCATAACGACGTAATTCAAAGTCAATTATATCCATACAAAGAGAACCAATCTACAAAGAAAGAAGCGTAAATTTTAATCCATAAATCAGAATATTTGATTTTCTAAGGTATATCAAATATTTTTAACTTACTCTGTATTCAAGTACAATATTATGAAACTGGCTATATGTTGAAAAGCAAAAGAAAATATAAATAATATTTGTGGATAATTCTATGCTGCGCCGCCAATCTTCTCTTAGAACTCGAGCTAATGCACTTAATAATGATTCTGCAATAAAAAGAAAACATCCCATTAAATATTAAAACATCCATTTAAATATTGTCATAATTAATTAGGCATTTTCGACGACAATATCATTCATCTCACAATTTTGCCATAATTATTGTATAATTATTCATAAAATTATTTATTTTCAAATTATTAAAATTAAATTTAAAATTAAATTTATTCATAAAATTTATTTTTAAAATTATTAATTATTTAAAAAAGTATGTAATAATAAGTACAAAGATTGTACCATTTTTGGTCAATTCCAAGAGATTATCAGGAACCCTTGCTAATTGTAAAATTAACGATGAGCCTTTAATCTTGCCTGGTATTTCTTCGTACAATAATTCAATATAACTGTCAACATTACTAATAACTGCGCGTTCAACTTCACTGTTTTCTGTAATCATTGAATTTGATGATGCTGGTCTTGGTGGATGAGAACTATCGCTACCTATAAAGATTTTAAAATGTAATAAATTTTTAAAGTACGATGGAGCAGAAGAAAGATGTGCTAAATTACCTGTATTGGTATCATTGGTCCGGCGATTTTGTAAATAATAAATTAATTGTTCAACCTCACGTAGCTTGGATTCGTGAATCAATGAACACTTTTCCATCACTTCTTTGGCCAAGAGGGAGACGTTCGTATCCGCGTTTAAGCTTTTTAGTCTGATTATCTTTTGACACTCCTATAAAAAAAATAATAAAAATAATACTTGTCTTATACAAAACTATTATTTCCTTTCTTTTACTTGCAGAAGCACACCTTACGATCACCAAGCATAGGATCTCCCAGTTCTCCCAATATCAGTGCCTCGACATCATAATTCACTACCAGAGCCTTTTCTGTCGGGTGAACATCTAAGGTACCAGATCTTACTTTTCTAAACATAAATGTAAAAAATATATTACATTCATATTTGTATTCATGAGATACAAGAAATTTTCACAAAATCATGTAAATATTTATTTAATATTATTTAATATTAAATAAATTAATTAATATCATAATATTAAATAATTTATTTAAAATTATATAATACAATAATTTATTTACCATAAATATATAAATATAATAAATAAATAAATAATAAATAAATAAATAAATAATAAATAAATAAAATATAATAAAAAAATATATATAAATATATAAATATATCAAGACGTAAAATCATGTGTTTGACAGATATATTTTTAATATATTTTTAAATATATCAAGACGTAAAATCATGTTTGACAGATGACTGACATTTGACAGACGCAAAAACGGTGGCTCCTCACCTTTTTAGAAATTTAGCTTCATCCATTTTTATCTTATTGGATTCTTTGAAGCGGAAAATATATTGTTTATGTATTTATACTTTTGCTCACGCAATGAATCCTCCCTGTCAATTTATCTGCAATTATTCCATCTCCATGGAGAGAAAAACCCATCCACTATATTTATGTGTTATATATATATATATATATCTCATGAAAGAAGAATCATAGATTATATCCAGAATTATAGATAGGTAAACTCGTGTGCGAAATCGAGTGTCTAAAACTCCGTTTACATCCTAGGAGAACCAGTCGGGATGGCACTCGATTGACCACGTCGCCAATTGGCCAATTCAAAATAGGACTCTCTGATTGGTTAATCGTTGCTGGTTACCCTAGGCACAGGTCGATATAATTGGCTGTGGTCAATCGCAACGTAATCAAACGGGACGCTCCCTTATTCGATACAAAAACCTGTGGTAGGCTTGAAACATCAAACGCCATTGATCTTGTGACGACGTTCTAGGAACGATTCAAATGTGATGTATTGACAAACATTTTTTGACAATTCGATAAATAATGTAATTTGATCGATGGCACGAATGTCAAGTGTTTGGAAGAATAAATACAAATTTTTTAAAATTTAAATTGCATGTTAAATTTCAGGATAATAATATCATGCGTTTCTTTAACTTTGAAGAAAAGGCATTATTTACCTCGTGAGTCTTCCTCTTAAAACATTAGAATAAAAATGTATTAAATATTAAATATTATTATAAGCATACTACTTCAATACTTATTTAATTTATTAAATTAATTAAACTTACTAAATTTATTAAATTAATTAACTTATTAAATTTATTATTAATTTTTTTAGTGCACATATAATACTTGCTTGATGACTTTGGACAACAAAGATGAGTACTCGGGTACTGAATGATATTCATAACGACTTAAAGCAGCTTATAACAGCACTTACATCGTTTGAGGTACATGTCTACATAATTGGATAATTATTTACAATATGCGTTAAAAATATATTGGATAATTATTTATAATGTGCATTAAAAACATATTCTATAAAATATATACTCTTGTGCATTCAGGAAGATGAAGAAGGATTTCGAATATGCGAACGATTCTGTTTGTCAAATATTAAACATCATCGCTATCTATCTGTCAATAGTCACGCGACTAAGGAAGCCATAAATGCAATAGTCACTAAATTTTCAATCCATGGAAAGTTTGAGGTTGCTAAGAAATTTCAAGAATTAGTCGACTCCTTTTTATCAAGTTTTGATTTTGAGCAGCATCCACAGTACGATTTGCAGTGGTGTCTGTTAACATTCTTGTTGGATTTGTCCACTGAAACTCACAAGTCTAACTTGGATAGCTTAAAACTCATACGTGGCGAGCACAATTTTAATGCAACCTCTGCAAAGGAAGATAGTATTACAGAAGAAATAGACTGGACGCAGTATTTAAAGGAGGGCCAAGAGAATTTCTTTTGTGATTATAAGAGCGATGATAGCGAGAGTGTAAGTATTTGTACACAAACAATATATATTTTAAAATTATCATGAATATATTTTCATAATTTTTGCACTTATACAGGAATGGTCTGATTTAACAGAAGAAGAAGGGACCGATGAAAATGATATTTCTTTGCCTACACAAATATCTAACTTACAGTTGGATATTGCACAGTCTTCAGAAATTCCTGATGCAACAGATAAATTTTCCCTAATATTAGCACAAAATCTTGAGTCTAGAAAATGGCTCTTGTCAAATGTGCAAACTGATTGGTGGAACAATTTACAATGCCAAAAATATCCTGTTGCCAAACGATCTTGCGATGCTAATATATGTGATATTTGGTGAATATCTGTCTCCTTATCTTGAAAATAAAAAAATAATATAAATAATATAAATAATATAAATATAAAAATAATATAAATAATATAAATATAAAAATATAAATTATATATACATACAAACATGTGTATATCCATATATTACAGGCATGAAACAAGCTTATCAGTATTGTACAAAATAGCTACTCTCAGTGAATATCAAGTATGCAGAGAATTATTATGGATGTTTTACGCTCAAACATCAATGGTGGTATTTCAACAGGAAACTGAATCAAAATTTTCGATACGTCCTGACGTATCAATACCAAGTTTGACAACTGTATGTATTTTTCAGGATTTTTTGTACCATGCTTTAGGCAGAAAATCAGATAGCCTGCTATATTATTTGAATATTATTTTTAGACTGCTTTTAAAAGCATTCTATCACCATTCTGCGAATGCTTTTCAATGATACATGATATTGAAAGATTTGGAGCAGAGTTGCGACCAACTTATAATCAAGAATCAAAACTTTGGAATCCTCCCTTGACCTATGAGGCATATAATGCTGCACTTGGACGATACTTGTATGAATTCAAGAAAAAAGTAATTGATATAGAAAAAGATGTTTTGAAGCAAGGTAAGTTTGCATAATTAATTAATTAATTTTTTGTCATTTGTAGGCTCGTTGTTAAACATTTGTTTATATTCTAGAAAATTGCAATACATTTTTATCTTTATCGGCTAGTCTGAGAAAATACTTGAATACTATAAGGATACTTCATGATGTGCATCACAAAGTTGTAACTGATTGGAAAGTTAATTCTAATTGGAAATGTGCGTCTCGACTATTATCGTCTTTATATTATGAGATGCAAAATTCTCATAATCGTGAAAGAACAGAAATTTGTACAAATTTATACCTATGCAGTCTTACTGTTTATCTTAACATAATTGATACATGGCTAAGCGAGGGACGATTAGAAGACTGGAGGGATGAATTTATAATCGTGAGGTAAATTAAGAAGCTAAAACTAAAATTTTAATATATTTATACGATAGCTAATTTATTGTTAAATATGTCAGAGTTCCAGAAAATGTATTAATGGAAAATGCTGAGCAAAATGAAAAATTTACAGTTCGATTATCCGATAATATTTGTTGGACAGATCCAATTATGCAATTTTTGCTGCAAAAGGTGCAACATATGGGTCATAGTATTGAATTACTTGTCTCTCTGGATCGAATTACTGATATATGGAAATTGGACAATGAAAATAATGGTCTCTATAGTTGATTTCTTTATCATTCTTTTATATATTGCAAACTTACTCATTGCAATTTATTGCAGATGTGAGGATCTCATTAAACATTGAATTACAAAATAGATTATTGTTAGAAATTTCCAAGTACAGTCCAGCAATTGAGGAGACTGATGCAAGCATGTTACAAATCGATAGAATATCCCTGCAAGAATATGATGCTGATATTGAAAGAAATATAATAGAACAATTATCAACTTTACACAATCCATTTCTCATGAAAGCTATGGAAGATTATATGCCATGTGAATTATACAAAAATGATACAGTGGATAGTTGTACGCATAATATCCGCGCCTCTAAAGCAAAGCAAGATCAATTATATGATTTATATAAAAAGTATACTTTTATATATGTATATAAAGTTATTCACGAATATACAGGGTTTTCGAAAAGTCCGGAAACGGTCGAATATCTAAAAAATAAAGCATTTTAGAGAAAAATGTTTCAAATAAAAGTTGTTTGGTTTAAAGAGAGCTATAAAATGATGGCAATGGTTTGACCTTGAATAGTCGCTGGAAGGTCACCTTGAATTTTCCGGACTTTTCGAAAACCCTGGATATGTTGGGCTAATTTATACATTTGTAATAATGCAATAACATTTGTTTTCTCAGGCTACAAAAGATAAAATATATCTTGCCGCTGCAAAACATTTTGAAGAATACATTGTCTGAGATTTTAATCTTGCGCTACAATAGCGCTAGCAAATTAGTGAGAAATATTATGGTTGAGGAATATAAGTTACAGACACATTTAAAACTATTGAGATTCGTTTATATGATGGAAGCTGGACATGTTATGAATAAATTCTATCAAATCTTATTTTATGAGGTAAAGTGAAAAAGAAACTGAGAAGAAAAATATTGCAATACTTGTTTGCATAAATATTTATTTGATAAATATTTTATAAATATTTATACATTTTTTTATAAATATTTATAAATTCTTTTATAAATATTTATTTTATAAATATTTATTTTATAGATTGAAAATAATCAAATGTGGGCTAATTCGTACTTTTTGTCGTGTATTCTTGAAGAAGTATTTTCTCAATATTGGCCAGATACAAGCTCGCGTTGGTCCATCACAGTTCAAAGCAACATCAATACTCATCAAGTGTTACAAGCTGTAAATGGCATAATATTGCATTACACAGTAGAGTGGCCTATAAGTATAGTATTGACCAAGAAAATCTTGGAAAAATATAATGAAATATTTAGATTTCAATTGAAGTTGAAATGGGCTCTATGGGCGTTAAATAATTTGAGATTTTGCGGTAAATAACGAATCCAACTTGTATAAAAAGTACGGTATTTTTGTGTGAACCGTCTATTGTTTCATTTCATCATTGCTTTTTTCAGATTTAGAGGATTCTAAGTCGCCATGTATAAGAGATAGATTGGAACAATTTCATATAAGACGTCTTGAAAGCTTAAAATTTTGGTTGTTACATGCAATAGGATCTATACACACATATTTGTCTGGCCAAGTGTTACAAAGTCTAGGTCTTATGTTAGAGAAGGTTCTCGCTCAGACAGATAGTCTTGATACCATTATATCAGGTAATATATATGATTATCACAATCATAATTGGGGAAAAAGAAATTTTGTTCAATACCTTATGTATATGAAATATCAAATTTATCCAAGAAATATATTGAGTGAAATATTTTAACATTTTGAAGACATTTTGATAAATATAAGCAACTATTTTTTTTTTGCAGTGCACAATGAATATTTGAACAAAGTTCATGAACATTGCTTATTAACCGAGGAGTTTCAAGATTTAATGATAACCATAAATAATGTATGTATATATATATCATACAATTATAAATATATATATAATATTAAATTATCTCTTTAAATATATATAAATATATATAATATAAAATAATCTTATACATATAATAAATTTATATTAATATTAATATTAAATTATCTTTTTCTACTCATTTTAAATTAACTTATATATATACAATTATTTTATTTCAGATGATTGAAATGTGTATTCACATACGAGATAGATGGTCACGCAAGAAATTATTGTTAGCTGCTCCAGAATTGGATGTGATGGAACAGAGTTACATAAAATATCATACATATCTTGCTTTAGCATTGCACAATGCGGTACAACATAAGGATGCAGATTATTGTAAGTTCCAAAATTTATTATCGATACTTGATATATTTCAACATAATTGCCCGCGATTCAATTAATTAATAATAATTAATTGATAAATATTCTGGAGACAAGATTATGAAAGTTGGCGATAAGATAATGTGATATTTGCTTATTCTTTTGTCAATCACTGAGATATGTTAATGATATTATGATTAATATATACTTGAATATATCAAATCTTGAATATATTTACCATATACTTGAGAAAATAGCATACTAATATAGCATACTAGTTAAGGATATTAAAAAACGAATCTTTATTGCATGATAATTAACATCATTTTTAACTCATGTTTAATGTTTTTTCCCTGCTTTATTTACAGTGACTGGCTTAAGTTCAGCTTTTAATTGCAGTATGCCGTGTGCTTAATCTTGTGTCAATAGAATATCGATTTTCATATCGATTTAACCAATATTATCAGTGTAATCTCCTGTTTTCCCGAGTTTAAGATTAACACTCGCGTTAATCATTTCACACATATCAATTTTTTGCTTCATACTACAATTTAATAATACAATTATATATATTTAGCCAGATTATTGTTCCCTTAGATCAGTATATTTTACATCTCGCATATAAATGCTATATTAATTATAAATTTTTTTAATAATAATCATACTAATTACTTTAGAAATTTGTATAATTATAAAGTTGTTGCGCGCAGGAATTTTTATTACACTTGTAATATAGCATTATGTATATATATATTTAAGATGAAATTGTTTTTTATGCATCTGAGAGAAAATGTTGATTTATTTTTTTTAATAAAAATTGTGCATAAAAATTATATTTGGCACATTAAATATATTTGCATAATCATCGATATTAATTAATATTCGATATTTATTTCAACTTCCACAAAAGCCATCCTGTTTCCCCTCCTAATCCTTTCCAGATAAGTTGATGCCAACATCTGCAGTTTGTGCTGACAAACCGTTTGAGAATAATGATAGATTCATTAAGCTTCTCACTGATCTTAGTCGAACTTTATTGACGGAAATTGCGCACCAGAGTTTACCACCTTCAGGTATCCCCCTGCCAATTCCAAAGTTGATTTATGGAAAGACTTGGCAAACGAGGTAAATAGAAATATGATTAATGAATATTCTATACAGGGTGTCCCAAAAGTCCCGGACTGATCGAATATTTCATAAACTATGCACTTTAGAAAGAAATGTTTCAGACAAAAGTTGTATGGCTTAAAGGGGGCCATCAGATAATGGCAATGATTTGATATGGGAGAGTCATTTGAAAATCATGTAAAGATCACCGTCAATTTCTTAAATGGAACCCCCTATTTTTTATTACATATTCGTGTAGCTTATCTCGAGAGCTTTCCAAAACACTATAATAAAATATTTTTTCGTTGAGTATTTTTCAAGTTATGAGGCTTGAATAATTTCTTAATTTTGCATAAACCATAAAATATCTAGTAAAATATTCATTTTTCGATTATCTTACCTTAACAATTTTATGTACAAAATAATGAGATGAATCAATTAGTGTAAAGAAAACACATAGTTGTTTAAAAAAAAAATATGTAATTGTTAATTGCAATTACATATTTTTTTCGAATATGTAGTTTATGAAATATTCGACCGGTCCGGGACTTTTGAGGCACCCTGTATGTTATAAGTCAAAGCATGCGATATCACTGATATTTCTTTGAAGTTGTAGTTCAGAATCATTGTTACCTGTAGAAGTGTCCTTGAGTGAATATGAACAAACTTTTTCCTATTTACGCTGGTATCAATACGAGGAACAATTCGTTATTCTAAATTCATCTTATGCCTTACACGACGAGATAAAAAATATCGTTGCCAATTCGTAATATTACAGGAAGGAAGATTCTAAAAATAGATGTAAATAAAAATAAATAATATTTAATAATTTTATGCCACATGTACAGATAAAATGCTTCTTTCGTTTTCTGGTTTTATAATGTTCTGAATAAAGGATTTATGCAACACATAAATGTTTAAAAGGAGATTTAGAAATTATAAAGTATGCATGTGTATTTGGGAAGTGGCTTTGGAATAGAAAAAATATAAAGATTTTTAAAAACATATATTATCATACATTACATCTCATTGAAACATACAAGAAAATTAATAGCTAATAACATATGTATGCCATTCAATTTTTTTAAAAAAAATATTGATTATAAAAATTCGCTATAATCGGTGAGTTAGGAATAGTTACAGCTTAAAAATAATACGATTACAATAACTTATAAGGCTATATAAGTTATTTTCGGTACAAAAGATATTCCGCGTTTAATAATATATTATAAAAAGCATAAAATATACTAGAGAGAAAAGAAAAAGAAAATTTTGTATGGGACGTATTTGCAGAGGGAAATGTCCAGATAAGCATTAATAAAATTAATATTAACATATCTATTATTTTACATTTTTGCATAACTTGTTCTATACATACTGCACATGAAAATTAACTCTGCCCAATTACGACAGTACCGTTTTGTCCGATAGTTCCAGTTTGCGATACTGTGGAAACATTTGACGTTTCATTTGCACTAACGGGAGAGGAGGAGTGGTTGTTTGCGTTTGTCGCGGCCAACGCTTTATTTCGCAATTCGAATACTTGTTGTATAGCCTTGCGAAAACAAAGAAAGTTATAATCGATCACACCTGCAAATTAAAAAGACAAAAATAATTAATAAATTATTATTATTTATAATTATATAATAATTATATTGAATTATATGAATAATAATAATAATTATATAAATCATTATTATATAAAAGAAACATTCATTTTCCTATGCATAAATGTTATAATTATTTTCACCTTGTCTATCAAAATTATCTTCTCGTAAGATACAGACCAAAGCTAAAAATTTATTCACTTCGCGCAAATATAAGATTGTACCATTATTTAATTTGATTAGACTGGAACTTTGGTTGTCAAATGCTGCAGCTTCTAAATCCTCTCTTAATCTGAGACAAAGATAAAGAGAAATATAAAGAAAAAATGCCAACCAGATAAAAATACGTGTATGTGTATGTATATTAAAATGCAATTTACCCATATATGCAAGAAACATCAATAACAACATCAATCATATCACAACATAGTTCATAACTTTGCATATCAACAGGTGAACTATCAGTTGCGATATAAATTTTTGAGACGACATCAAATAAAAACGCCTTTTCAATTGCAGAATTCTGTAATTATATTTTAAAAATAAATTTTATTATAGAACATCCTACATTTTTGGACAAAATAAAATTAATTTTCTTACCGATATGAGTATATTGAGTAAATTTTCTAGGGTAGGCAGCTGTGGTATTAATTTCTGAACAACTTTGCTGAACGCTTCAAATATACTATGATCATATATTGAAGTTAAATGAAAACTCAAATGTATCTGATCACATCCTAAAAAGAAATAGATATAGACAATGTTTCTTTAAAATCTTATTATTTATTCTTATTTCTTATTCTTTAAAATCTTATTTCTTTAAGACCTTCTAAAATTTTTTAAAACCTTTAAAATCTTATGATTTCTTTAAAACCTTTACGTAACAAGATCTTTAATTTACCAGCATCCGCTAAATCATCATTGGCTCTCGTGTGAATATCCCTCTGTGTTTCCATCTTACAGTCATCCGATAATCCATCAACTTTATGAATAAAAACCTCAAACTTGATCGCTTGATTAACCTTGTATGCCTTTGTAACCGTTATATGAAGTTTATTAAGCGCCTCCATGTAATCATCCTGAGCATCTATCACAAACACCAATGCTCCGCAACCACCAAATATCATATCACTGTCAAAAGTAGGGTCAAAGAAGTCGATTTGCCCAGGAAAATCCCATATTTGAAATTGTACAAAGCTCGAGTTACTTATATCGTCTTTAATTATTTTATTTGTACTTTCTAAGAATAATGTCTCGTTTGGTGACATTTTGTGGAAAACCACCTTTTGTATCGACGACTTGCCACTACTAAAGAAAGAAAAAAAGAAAAAAATCAAAAGGTAAATTATTCGATTAAATTTTTTTTTTTTAATTAAATTTAAACACTCATTTCTTTCATAAAAAATAAGAGCTACCGTCTGAGACCCATCAGAAGAATTCTAGGCTTCTGTTCCCCTGCTAATGGATCCATGGACCCTTCAGTTTCTCCATCGAATGGCGCATATCCAAAATCTTTGGGGAAGGAACCACTTTGATAATGATCATCGTAACCGCTTGGATAATGGTCATCATCATCCTATATAATATTATAAAACAATTACATGAAAGATGTGACGTCTAGATATAATTAATGTGTACTGAAGCATAATTTTTAAAATATTGTGTGAATCAAAAATCTAACCATGTTACTTCCAAGTGTTATAATTTACGATTTATTTACAAGTGCGAGCATAATTCGAGTTAATTAAAAAATAACCGATAGAAAGAAAAGAGAAAACATGACATTTTTTACACGCATATCTATCTGCCTTTTTATCAAGATCTTTATAAAAATATTGAGGCGATATCATCTGCTTACCATGTTTGCGAGGTTAAATAATTTTTGCGCCGAGATTACGATTGTTTCCCTAATAAATCGCAAATCTGAGGAAACGTCGTTATACAAGATATTTGTTTAATTGCGATTACACACAACGGAAAATTATGTAGGCTACACGATTAAAATATGTAATATCTTTTGTTTATAGTTGGCAGGGGTGTGATGAGAGATAGTCCTCGTTTGATAGAGCCAAGTATATCAATCTGCGTTCCGATTGGTCCCCCCTCAAAGTAGCAGACAAAAGAAAAAAATGTCCGCCTTGACTCAAATATTCCAAAGCAGGAAAAGAATCTTCCTCTAAAAATTGTCCAGATCTATTCGAGTAGCTGCAAAAAGAGTATAATTAAAATTTAATAAAAAATATTGAATTACATGGCTAAATTATCTAAACAAAATAAAAGAGAGAGAGAGACAGAGAAATAAAGAGAAAGAAAAAACATTTTTATATTTTAATTTTTACTTAAAAAGAAATTTTGTTGATAAGGAATAAATTGAAATATATATATATATATATATATATATATATATATATATTTCAATTTATTCTTTATCATCAAAATTTCTCAAAATAATATATATCAAAATAATATATATCATCAAATTTTCTCAAAATAATATATTTCAATTTATTCTTTATCATCAAATTTTCTCAAAATAATATATATCAAAATAATATATATCATCAAATTTTCTCAAAATAATATATATATATATATATATATATATATATTATTTATTATATATTATATATTATATATATTATTTATTATATATTATATATATTATTTATTATATATATATATATATATATATATATATATATAATAAATATGTATATATATATATATATATATAATAAATATGTAATAATCTTTTCTATATTTGCTCTTTATATCTATTTTATATCACGCTTTATCGCCGCGCATGCGCGGAGAATTAGGCCGATATTACATAAAAAGATTTTGCGATTTAATAAAACAAATTAATATTTACTGTTTCACTCATTTCAAGTTTCAAGATCCTCAAGCTTTAAGATCCTTTTTCTCGCGCATGCGCTTATCTCTAAAATCACTGAACACATGTTTGGTCTTTACCTTCTTCTATTTTTCTCGATTATTTTATATTTATTTATATTTTGGGATTAATCATATTAATTAATTATATTACTATATGATTAATCATATTTATGTCATGTGTCAATAATCGTGTTGTCAACAATCGTTGACAACTTCACAGACAGTTGACTGTCTGAATAGAGCTTTTTCTCGCACGTATGAAGTTTTGACAGTTCGATAGAACAGTTGTTATTGTTTTGTAATTCATCGATAATTGTGCAAAAATAAGAAATTTTCTTAATTTTTCATGATATCTGAGACAAATGTGAAACATGGTTCGTAAAATATTAAATTCTTATAGAGAATCAATTGACTATTGTGTATCTTATAACCTTAGTTTAATTATTGTTGAAATTGAGAGAGGAAATTTTCACCTCTCCTTTTGTCTGTTTTAGGCAAAAATCAACATAAAACAGTTTATGGCTAATCCAGGGAGTCTCACAAGATCAACATGATTTCACGAAAAATTTCATCAAAGTCATTATTGAAGCACAAGTGCACAAGCTAATTCATTATTTTCTATTGATATTAATGAATATTTATGATATAGCTTCTACTCTTACTTATCTTGAATATAATTGATGCTAAACCAAAATGGAATTGTCAAAAGAAATAATCGATGGCCTAGCAAACATTCAAAGTAGCAACATTTTACCCGAAGAAACATTTCTGCAATTATTAGACGTCACAGTATCTTACATCTGTAAGAATACCAGCGATGGAAAAAGTATAAATAACTCTAAATTTCATTCCACTTGTATCTCAAGACAATATAAACTTATTCTAGATATCTTGTTCACACAATTATTTATTGTATGTTTCACAGGCATCGCCAGTATATATCCATCCAAGTCAGATCTGGTGAAGGCTGCCATTGCCAGTATATCCTGCCTCTTTGTAGAAGCTGCTAGACACGACTACGACGAGGAGAATTTAAAAATCTTCCTACGCAATGAGCATATTAATGGACAGAGGATTGAAAAGTTGTGTAGCACTTACATGAACAATAAGCAAGAGATTCAGACGCAATTGGAGTTGACAGGAGACAGCATAGCACACGTAGTGGATGTCGATTGGAGTTTACATCACTGCGTTAAGGTAAGTTCTTGAATAACTTTGCCTAAAGTGTATTACTTTACACAATTCCAACAATGTACGTCTTTTGCTCAAGTTGCATTAAATAAAATGTATTTCTGTGTATGTGTTCTCGAATACAGATTAGCACTTGTTGCTCTACCGACATGCCAACTTATAATATTCGATTGGGCACGAGAAAGTGTAACGAAATGAAATACGTAACATTTACATGCACCATACAACAGCTGCAAGAGCTAGTGTACAAATTGAAGGATGCTGTAAGGCACATTGAAAAGATCTCTAATATATAAATGATCTATTGATTTACAATTTGGAAATACATTCTCCCGTTGCCTCGACAGCAACGTGTACATACGAAGGATGCTTTATATCGAGTAATAAACAGTTTTTATGTAGGTGCAATCAATTATATTTTTGCATTATTAATGAAAGGAATATCTCCTAATCCGTGTATAGAATTGCTATTGCGTAACTTTTATATATTTATATGTGCATATGCGAGTGTGCACACATATAAACATAACAGGGTGTCCCATTTTAAGTCAGAGAGTAAAATATCTCAAAAACTAGGCCCAGCAAACAAAAATATTTCAGACAAAAGTTGTATGGTTTCGAGGGATCGATTTCTCACATTATTTTGTGCATAAAAGTATTCAGGTAAAATAATCGAAAAATGAATATTTTACTAGATATTTTATGATTTATATAGAATTAAGAAATTATTCAAGCCTCGTAACTCGAAAAATACTCAACGAAAAAATATTTTATTATAGTGTTTTGGAAAGCTCTCGAGATAAGCTACAAGAATATGTAATGAGAAAATGTAGATTCCATTTAAGAAATTGAAGGTGATCTTCGTGTGACCTTCAAATAACTCTTCAAGGTCAAACCAATGGTACCATCTTATGTCCCCCTCGAAACCATACAACTTTTGTCTGAAACATTTTTGTTTGCTGGGTTTAGTTTTTGAGATATTTTACTGTTCAAGTTAAAATTGGACACTCTGTAGTATATATGAAAAATGATTAAAAATACAGTAATCCTGCAGCCCGATATATTGAAAAATTTCTATTTTTGTTAGACGGAAAAAATACTATGTGTGATTACATCCTTACTATAATATTAAATATAGAATTATATTAATAATTCCTTTTTTCTCTATTATTATGCAGTTTTTTTATATAACCATAATAACACTATGTACAAATAAAACTTATAGCGTATCCTCTATCTAAGAGAAACTGTCTCCAAACATTAAAGTTTCTTAGCAAAGTATTTCATCTTCTTTTGTTCATATTTTTCTCAATTTATGCTCTTTTACTTTTTTTTTTTTTTATAAATATTCACAACGAAACGCACATACGTATTATCAGGAATGAAGATGTATGGATTAGCTGGGAAATTCAACGAAATAAAACTTGTGAAAAGCAGAGCAATATTGAGAACGGAGCGGAAATAAAAAACGATGTGGAGAAAAATATTTCAATTTACATCAATAAATTTATGAGAGCGCAATTTTGCTTCATTAAAAGGTTTTCTATATAAGACGAAGTAACGTAACGATCACAGTATTTAATCGTTAACTAATATTTTTTTTCTTCTGACGTAATTAGCATTATATATGTATTTTTTAACTTTTATTGTTCCATATTAATTACTCGATATATATGATACGATAAGGCCTCGGACATTTCACTACCATCAGCAGTCTTCGAATATTTTCAAAATCACCCACGTAATTAATTTTCCTCTTTTGATACTTTTCGTTCGAAAATAAGAAAACTAGAACTTGATCACATATAAGATAAAATATTTACGAATGTAATAATCGATAGTATTTGTAATTTTATATAAAGTTTTCGTACATTTACATTTATTCTACACATTTGTACAAGTCTGATAAGAAGAGCAAAATCGTTAATTGTATTATTTTCGGTTCAATCTGCAAAATAAAAATTACACATGATCATGATTTTATTTTTGTATAATATAAAAGCGTCGAGCATCGAAGTAAAATCTTGTGAAAAAAAGTATCTCGTGTAAAAAAAAATGGAAGCAAAAATAATATGGGATTTAAAATAAAAAAATATTTTTCTCAAAAATACCACTGCTCCAGATCTAATACAATTCAAATATAAATTTTCTTCGCGAAAGGGTTATTTAAAAATATTCAATGCTGCAAACTATATAAATTTCATATCATCTTACATGTTATAAAAATGTATAGTTTAGGTTTAGGTAACATTATATTAATTTAATTAGTTCACCTATACCTATCTATACCTAACACTTTTTTTTTGTAAACATACATGTGTGCTCGTTATATCGTGGGTACCTTTCCACGAATCATCGTGTTTCGTCATAATTATATATTATATACAAAAAAAGAGTGACTGTGATACTTTTAGTTACTTAATGCTAACGAATAACTTGAATCCCCATTTAAAAATCTCCTGCATCCAGTGTGCAAGAACGAATATTATATGCTATTAAAATGTGACGTAACGCGACGTTATACGCTATGATATTAACAAATCAACAGCAAGCGTGTGCGCATCGAGACACAAATCATCAGTTGATTTAAATATACAACTTTAATAGGGTAAATCTGTTTCTTTCAAGGTCACTATTTCCAAAACTTGCATCGATATCCGCGAGAAATGTGTGCTCCAATATTGCAACGCATGATACAACGTATAACGAAACAAGATAAATATCTGACATTGCCCCTGACTTGAAACTAATCACTTTGTTTCTTTTACTACAATCATGTTATCCCACTTTTCACATAAGTTTCTTTATTTTAGTACCAAAGCACCGATCATTGCTCTAATATTAAAATTCAATTTACGTGGAGTCCATCAGTTTTGCTTTAAAGAGGCTCGAATATAATACACATTGTTAGAAATATTATTTTAACGGCCAAATTTTTGCTAAATAAAGAAACTGGAAGGAAATGATAATCGAAGAGGTATGTGACAAAAGTGGAACACGTCGTATACATTGCTATACGCATGTGTATGCCCAGGTAGAACATGAAACTCATGACAATAAAATCATTATGACGTCATCATGATTTTATTTATCACTTAAAAGTTATCTAAACAAAAAATGAATTAAAGATGACAAAAAGAATGATAAATTTTTAAGTTCAATAATCGCATTATATAATTTTAAAAAGATATTATATTGCTTAAATATAATTAAAATATACATGAATAATTGCAGACAAGTAATTGCGTAATATAAAAAATGATATTATAATTGATTCTCAAGATTTCATACGCAAAGTATATATATTCTCCAACAGAATTCGCTAGAATTGTTTCATATCAAAAATAAATCACCAAAACATTGCCAAAAGTATATCAAATGAAATCATTATGATTCTTCTAAAATAACTTTTAGATGACATCATTATGACATCATGATTTTATTTATCACTTAAAAGTTACCTAAAGAAAAATGATTAAAAAATGAATTAAAGATGACAAAGAGAATGATAAATTTTTAAGTTCAATAATCGCATTATATAATTTTAAAAAGATTATGTTGCTTAAATATAATTAAAATATACATGAATAATTAGACAAGTAATTGCGTAATATAAAAAATGATTATAATTGATTCTCAAGATTTCATACGCAAAGTATATATATTCTCCAACAGAGTTCGCTAGAATTGTTTAATATCAAAAATAAGTCACCAAAACATTGCCAGAAGTATATCAAATGAGATCATTATGATTTTTCTAAAATGACTTTTAATTGACATAATGTCATTATGAGTTTCATGCTCTACTTGGGATGGGTGTACATAATAACAACGGGGGGGACGGAGGGGGAGTGACTCAACGATTAATGTCAGTATTAGAATTCAGACGGCCTCGCAATGAAAACGTATGCTTATAAAATAACGTACTCAACGTAATGATATATATATATATATATAACTCATTTATAATAGAAAATAATTAGATCTTTCGTGATTGCTATTTACAGAAATGTACAGATTCCTAACATGATTCGTGAAACATTTTCAACAATGGCCATAGTCGCTCTCCTCGCTTTTTTACACGGTACTGTAAAAATTCATCGCCTATACAACCGTTAACCAGCGTATCTCTCGTGATTTTACCTCGCACGGATGACAGGATGAGAGCGCAAAGGATCTTGAAACGTTAGAATTACTGGCAGTAAATATCATAATGTGGGTTGTATGTCTACACAGAGAAAAATGTATACTGTATTCGAGTCAATATTATTTATTTTAAGTGTATCATAAGTTTGTATATCCGCGAATATATCACAAGTTCACCACAAGCATTAAATTTAATTGAATATATTCTGAATTTTACTAAATGCAGTATTTTAGTGAAGAATATTAAATTAAAACAAAAATTTGGTTTAGAGTTGAGTAAGTTTGATTTGATTCTTTGATACAACTTTACAATATTTTTGAAGAGAAAATAAATTCTTCCTTTGAGTACATGATAATGAGATTTTGCCAGGGTTGGTATATTTTAAACAATGTGTTTAAAACTGTTTGATTAAAACTTGTTTAAAACAGTGTCCACTGTTTTAAACATTTTTGTTTTAAACTGTTTCAAATTACTGTTTAGAATCGTTTAAAATATCGCAAATAAAATATATGATTATTTGGAAAAGAAATTGTAAAAAAAATCAAAAACAAACAAAAACTAATAGATGTGTATGTTGCAAATAAATTTTTGTTTTAGTGTTTTTATCTATATTTATATAACATATAGATATAAAAATATAAATAATAAAATAAAAATGATAAGATGGATATTATTTTAGTACAATATTTACATATAGACTTCACATTTTACATTTTAGCATTTTAAATTAATAGTACATAACTCATAGCAGGCCAGTAGTTCTAAAAAAAGTTCTTTTAAAAAGAAGAATTGAGGTTTTTATTTTTCTTTTATTTATAATTTATGTTGAGAGTTAAGCATGAGGTTACTTAATAAGAATAGGAAAGGAACCAAAGTATTATATATTAAATATTATTAACTACTTTTTTTTAGAACTACTGACCTGCTACGAGTTATGTACTATTAATTTAAAATGCTAAAATGTAAAGTCAGTCAATATCTTCTAAGTAATCTTTATTATATTAATTGTTATTTAGTATCCAAAAATAAATATTCTGCTAAAATAATACCCATCTATTTTATTATTTATATTTTTAATAGCGTTGTCAATTTTGGCAACGTTATTTACAGTTTAACGCTAGCGAAAAATTTAAATGTTTACATAGATCAAAGCTATTAAGTGTTTTTTGCTTGTTTAAAACATGCTTTTTTTGTTTAAAACATGTTTTTTTACTATACTTAAAAACACAAATAAAACAAAAAAAATTGTTCTAAACAAAAAAACCATGTTTTTTGTTTAAAATAAAAAAAAAAACAAGTTTTTCACCAACCCTGAGATTTTCCAACACTTGTGATGAGTATATTTTAAGATTATTATCAAGAATATATTCTTTGTTGAAGAAAACTATTGCTTAAAAAAAGAAAAAATAAACTGAGTAATCGCTTTTCTTGCCAGTAGAACGATATTTTTCTCTCAGGATTAAATTATGATATTTAAAGCCAGGTTGAATGTCGGATTAAATGCAGCTCTGTCATCGACGTGCGACTCGCACGATTAGTCTAATCAGTTCGATCCTCACGTCTCCGCTTTGTTTCTTTGCACTTCGGATTTTTTACCCTGTATCTCGCTGCCCTTGTCGCTCTTAGATTCGCTCGCCGGCGAGGAGTCACCGATATTATTATCTTGAGCGTTACTATTGGGAATGCTACCCCGTTCCCTGGACGAGGATCGCTCGACTTGGCCCTCTCGTTCGGTCGCCTCCATCATTGGAGTCGTCGCTTCGTCGCTACCGTTAGCTTCCTTGGATTTCTTACTCGCGAACTGGTCAGTAGTAACGTCCCCGTTCACCTTGGCCGTCTGATTCTTCTCCTTCTTATCAGGAGGCGAGCTCACGACGCCGTCGACTGCCTCTGGGACAGGCTTCTGGGGGCTCTCCTCTTTAGGACGCGCCTCCTGCGTCGTCCTCTGCGCTGGATCCGCGTCCTTACATTGCTTTCGCTCGCCGGAGCTGCTCGACGAATTTCCAGACATCTCGGAATTCTGCGACACCGGAGAAGCTTGCTTGGCTGTCTGCGTCTCGATGGTATCAGTAGCACTGCTCGTATCCGTGGACGACGTCTTGGGAGTCGGACCTAAACTGCCACCTGTCTTGGACAGATTGAACGCGTTGAGCTCCCGTTGAAGCGACGAGACCGGTATCGGCACCGGCACGTTCTTGGAGAGCAGCAACGCGACGCTGTCGGCCACCGTCGACGTGATTGGCGACTGGGAGTCCGACTTTCCCAGGCTGAACGAGCTGGAGCACGAGATGGAGCTCGGCGACGAGGCCTTGGGCGACTTGGGCGAGGACGAGTGCGTGCTGGGTGGTATCCGTTGGACCGCCGGGGGCTGGCTGGAGACCGGCGAGTAGCTACCGGTGGTCTGCGGTATGTAACTGGCCGATCGTTGGTACAGCTTGTTGATCGCAGGCGGCAGGCTGCTGTGGAAGGCACTGGGAGGCGGGATACCGATGGGCGAGCGTATCAGGGGGTTCGGGAACCGGCTGGCATCTGGAAAAGGAGGAGGAAAGTGAGAATATATGATCCGCGGGTTCGTGTTGGGCGTGGGAGACGGGATGAACGGGTTCGTCGACAGCATGTTCACCGGCGAGTTCCTCGGCGAGATCGGGGACCCGGTGCTCCGGCATAACCCGTCCCGAGGGTACGGGGTGTTCTGATAGCTGCGAGCGTTCGGCGAGTAAGGCGAGGGCGGCGAGACGATGGGCGAGTTGACGGTGGAGACGATGGGCGACAGGGTCTTGGGGTCGATCTTCATCATGTTGAGGGTGACGTTCTTCGTGTTGGCGACCGTCGACTGCTCCTTCTCCTTCGCGTCGTTCGCGACCCCGTATATGGGCTTCACGCCGGAGGCTGGGTTGCCTAGATATCGTGGCATGTTTCTCTTGAAGATCTTGGCCGGCTTAGACGGGATCTGCTTGCTCGTGCCCTCGGCCGCGGACGCGGTCTGCGTCTGATTCTGCAGCTCCTTCGCCTGATTCTTCAGGGCCACGTAATTGTTCTTCGACAACGTTGGGTTCCAGGACTTGGGCGGGTCGCGTAGAGTCTTGTATCCCATCGGCTGGCTCTGCTTCTTCAGGGAGGACATTCTCTGGGTCATGTGGGGCGACGACGTCGGCGCCAATGAGGTCACCGTCGATGATACCGCTAGAGCGCCAGCGGACACGGACAAGCCGGGCTTGACGCTCTTGTTCTCCATCGTCGTCGCGTTGCTGCTGGGATTGTACACCGGGACGTTGGGTATATTCGGTATATGCTTGATCGTGGCGTCCGAATTGGGCAGCGACGACGAGAGGCTCTTCTTCGTGCCGATCTTCAGCAGGTCGGGCACGTCAGATTTGCCGCGCGCTTGCTCCACCCTGTTCTTCTCCTTCGAGTTCTCCCCTATCTTGGCGCAGATATCGTTGATCTTGGAGCCGATGGTGCCGATGGATCCAATCTTCGCGCAGATCTCGTTCAGATTGGTACCCTTGGCAGTCGCCTCCTGCTTCCGCATGGACGCTTGCTTCATCAGGGATATAGGGATCGCGTCCGGACATGGCGGGACCGAGCATACAGACGTCGGCTTCGACGCGGTCACCGTGATGGTTGCCGTTGACGTGGCCGTCACGGTAGTCACACCTTGGCTCGCGTTCCCACAGTTATTCTTCAGAGACATAGACACGGAATAAATGCTCATCGAGGGTTGCACGTTGAACTGAGGCGGCATGAGGGACGCTTGACTGCTCGACGTTGAACAAGCGACAACCGGCGACGTTCCCAGCGCCTTCTGGAGCGTCGTACAGCTGCTGGTCACGCTGGAATTCTTGAGCGCCGGTTTCACAGCGGCTGAGTTGATCACTATGTCATGAAGCGTGTAAGGAAACGTTATCGACGATGTTGTCTGGCTGATGGTGGCTGCAGAAGCATTCGACACAATCGTGGATACGATACCTTCGCTCGTCGTGCTTGTGTTATTGTTGTTGTTATTATTATTGTTACCTGAAGTACCCTGTAATCTTTGATTTACCGTGCTAGTGACCTGGCTACTACTGGTTTTGGGGACAGATTCCATAGATACCTGTACAACGGGCGAGCTCGTCGGTTTTTGCTCCAGCAAATTCAACGCCTGTTGCACGTCGATGCTCGTGCTCGGATTATCCTTCTCGTGGGGAGTTTCCTGTCTACCTGAATCCGTCACCGAGCAAGTGTTCCTAGACGTTACCGTAGACACGACCGATTTTTGCGGAGGAGGCGCCGTAGAAGACGAGACCGATACCTTGGCCGTGGTATTCCCGCAATTCGTTCGCGTCTTCGTGTCAGCGAGTTTTGCATTCTCCGTCGATGATTTCACGTCGGATTTCTTCGTCCCCTGTTGAAGAATCGCACGTTTTTCCTTTGGCGCTTTCTTGGAGTAGGTGTTGTTGACCTGACCCATCTTCGGTTGAAACTGCAGTTTTACGCTCAACGCGTCGATCTTCGACCCGGCATTCCCCGTCCTCGTCTCTACGCTTGTACTCTTCACGCATTCCTTCTGAGTTTCAGCCTTGAAGTCTGTACTATTATTATTATTATTTATCGACAGCTTTTTCGTCCCTTCGGTATTTTCGGCGACAATATTTGCGCTCTCCTCCGCCAACTGCGTCATTGGTTGATTAACGGTCTTCTGCCCCGCTTTATCCTCGACGTTGGCGGTTTGACTGCGACCTTTCGTCTCCTGTTGTAATTTTGCTGGGACAGGACGAGCTTCCGTTTCATTTTTCGGCTTCGTGGGGTTCCCATTGTGCTGAGTAATTGGCGACGTGCAATTCTTGATCGATGAACCCTCCGTCGTGGACTTTACGTCACTCGTGGCAACAGGTGCGTTACTCGGGTTGGGAAACGTTGGAGTTTTCGTCGCTTGCGATGGGTCGATGGCCAAAGTGGACTGCATAATTTCCACGGAGGTTGATTTAGAGACGTCGCAATTTTCTATCAACGAGTCTGCCTTGTTCACTTCTACGATGGAAGTGATAGTCTCTTCTGGAGATTTTCCATCTTGCAGACTCTCGATTCCCGCGTCCCTCTTATGCACTGTACTCGATATATCGGTTATACTCATCACGCCGGTCTCCGATATCTTCAACTGCACCTCCTTCCATTCGCGTTTCAACGACTTCTCATCCTTTAATTCTATAGAATCCATGCCGGCGTCTTTCAGAGATTTTTTATAGTTTGGATTGTCCTCTGACAATTTCATACGTTTTAAGGACGATTCAAATATCCTGTAGCTTAAATGTAGTGGAACTTTCTGCAATAGACGTGTTGTGTTATTATGTGCAAACAGTGTTTGCTGTAGATAATTTCAAAATTATTTAGATAAAGATAAAGATAAAAATCTGTAAATTTATCTTAGATGAGAAAGATGATTTTGCTCTTACTTAATCTAGATGAAAGAAGAGATCATTATTGCGATAATCTAGATAATTATTTAGATATTTTTGTTTTTTAGAAGACTATATTTTTGTTTAAGACTATATATTTGTTTTAGAAGACTATAAATATTTGTAAAAAATGTGACGCAGATTATAAATGGGATATTAAAATCATAAACACATATTCTTTTTCTTTTCCTAAAGAATATTTAATATTATAATATTTAATAATATTTAATATAATATTTAATATAATATTTAATATAAAGTTAATATTTAATAATATATTATATTTAATATTATAAAGAAATAGTAGCAAAAAGATATATAAATATGATAAATATTTATTTATTAATTTATATTTATAATATATTTATAATATATTAATAATAATATAAAAAATATATTTTAGATAGATTTTTAGACGCTTGCCTGGAAAACTTTTTTGCATAATGAAAACGTCATCTTAGACAATTTTTAGACAAGATGACATATATTTTTCATCTAAGATAAAGATACTTTGTATTTCTTCATCTAGTTAAAGATAAAGATGATCCATTTCTTTAGCTAGATGATAATCTAGATAATTTTATGTAGATACCAGCAAACACTGTGTGCAAATGTATTTATTGAATATGAATTAAATACTTACCCGCCTCCAATGATAGATGTACATAATATCCATTAATGTATAACTACTGCACAACGGCTCCTCTTTGTACATAATATCGATTCTATTTGCATCACTAAGTCCATATTTGGCTCTTATTAATTTTTGTAAATGGAATATTGTAACCGCTGCAGGACACCGAAAGTATCGCCTTAAAATGGATTTCTGCGCGCCATCCTTAATAGTAGTATTTACTTCGCTTAAATCCTTGGCGTGAGGATTAAAGTATTCCAAGGATAAGCTAAGAGATTCATCCGGAGAGTATATATGCGATTCTATAGGCTCCCCACGGGCTTCCGGAGACATTGCCTGACTACACACTTCTGGGTGTTTCGCGTAAAATTCCCTCCGACATCGCATTTCATCTGAAACAAACGTCAATTGTTAATACAGATCATAATATGCGACATGGATCCCTCCTTCTTGTCAAAGAAAAAGCATACTTTGGTAGCATCCAGGTACCAGTTTATATACAATATCCTGCAAAGTATGATCAGGACGTATATTTAACAACGGCCTACTTTTGTGAACCTGTACTTCGCAGATCGGGCAATATTTGTTATTCTCCAAATATTTAACAATGCAACTTCTGCAAACTGTAAAGAAACATTTCCAGTCTTACAATAATGTTGGGCTGAATTATCAGCTATTGCATAAATTAACATTTATATCTTCAACATGGCAGAGAAATACCGTACATGAATGTAAGCATTCTATAATGGTAGTGGCATCGATAAAATATCCACCACACAATTTGCATGTCAATTGCTCGTTAAGCTTAGCCAACCGCACTCGATGTCCACCGCTTTGTCCTGACATTCTACAACAGAAAAATATACATGCATATCTTTTCATAATATATAACTTAATAGGTTACAATTAATATATTATATTGATTATAATTGATACAATTTAACTGATTATAATATTATAATATATTAATATATATTAATATATTTTACTGATTATAATATATTATAATTGATACAAATTAACTACGTAACACAAAATATTTCCATTATACATAATCTACTCTACTATATCTACTAATAGTTATCCAATGTATCGTATGCATAATTTATACAAGTGTAATCAAAGAAATAAGGCGCAAATATCACAAGTTGAAAAAATTTTAGTAAAATATACAAATATATAAATTTATTCTGTACATGTATAAAAATATAATCCACTCGCTATCAAACTAATGCTTTATAGCTCGTTATTAAACTAGAAATGAATCGATACTGATTTATTACAAAAAATATGGTAGCGCATGAGTGATTTATCTTGTGGAATGGGATGTAATCGTGTTTCGATCCGTATATGTAAATTTAAAAAATATATAAGTAAATAATAAAAGTATATAAGTCAATTGAAAGTAATAAAAGTATATAAATTAAAAGTAATAAAAGTATATAAATTAAAAGTAATAAAAGTATATAAGTAAATTTAAAAAATATGACAGTAGCTTATCGCAAGTCGCTCTATTAGATTACAGTAAATAAGCAGCTACAGATAAATACATATATACACATTTTATCCATATATGCAATATATATATGTATATTTGATTTTATATATATATATATATATATATATATATATATACATAGGGTGTCCCAAAAGTCCCGGACCGGTCGAATATTTCATAAACTATGCATTTTAGAAAGAAATATTTTAGACATATAGTTGTTTTAAAAAAAATATGTAATTGTTAATTGCAAATTACATATTTTTTTCTTAAAAACAACTATGTTTTTTTCTTTACACCAATTGATTCCTCTCATTATTTTGTACATAAAATTATTAAGCTAAGATGATCGAAAAATGAATATTTTACAAGATATTTTACGGTTTATGTAAAATTAAGAAATGATTTCAATCCTCATAACTCGAAAAGTACTCAATGAAGAAATACTTTATTATAGTGTTTTGAAAAGCTCTCGAGATAAGCTACATGAATATGTAATAAAAAATAAGGAGTTCCATTTAAGAAATTGACGGTGATCTTCATTGACTTTCAAATGACTCTCCCATGTCAAATCATCGCCACTATCTGATGGCCCCCTTTAAGCCATACAACTTTTGTCTGAAACATTTCTTTGTAAAGTGCATAGTTTATGAAATATTCGACCGGTCCGGGACTTTTGGGACACCCTGTATACACATATATGAATAAATAGAAATGTGTAGAAATATAATTCATATACAATTAATAGGCTCGGTGGATTTGCGCGTGACATAATTTCTTTTCGGTGATGTTTTGAGGAGGGAGGGAAACCGAGAACATCGGATAACGGTGCAAACGAAAATTGAGAAAACATTGGGGGCTTCGTGAAACGCATCGGGCCGAGATATCTCCCCCGAGCGCTCGGCGAGGTCCTCGATTATCCTCGGCGCTCGGCATTTCGGCGGAAATCCCCCGGCTGGATCCACTTACGTGACGGAACGAGGCGAGAATCGTCCGTTTTATTTAGTAATCGCCATTTGGCCTCAAAAGTCAGGAAAGTTGGGTCGGACGTAACTTGTCACGGGTTGCCATCGTACTTCGCGATTACTTGTCCCCTTCGGAGGAGACGATTCTCACATTATCCCCCAGGTGACGGTGGCCCCTCGTGAACGCGCGGAGGATCCTGCGAAGGTGTCAGCGTCGTCCACGTCGATCGAGACTCCCCTCAATCGCCGATATCCATCGTGAAACGGATTGCCACTCTCTCCGAAAACTGCGCGTACGGCAGCAGGACAAAATGGCGGATAAACAATCATGCGTGCGATATTTCTGAAAACATTGCGCAGCGCGCCTCAGGCCCGGCATCGGTCTAGTTGCGGCGAAAGTCCCCCGGTCGCGATCCCGGGCGCATGCGCGATGAACGCGCCCTGGGGGAAGTTTCTGATCTGAGAGGAAAACAATAAAGATAACAAATATAAAAGACAAATATCAAATCAATATTAATTAATAAAAATATTATATTCATAAATATTGATAAAATAAATATTCATAAATTTGATTGAAATAAATTTCATTCAATTTCATTAAAATAAATTTCATTAAATTGATCAAATAAATTGGTAAATACCCTGGTAATTTTTTTATTTTTGATGACCAATCAGTGCTTGTTACTGGAATTTTGACGTCACAAAGATCGACCAATCACAACGAATAACAATATATTCGGAAACCAATCACGAGTATAATTTGAAGAAGCCATAGTATTAAATTTGTACTCGAGACACATGATTGGTCGACTCGTGCATGGATATGTTGTTACATAGAAGCGTTACGTTGTCATTTTAATTCCATGTCGTAGCTGTGAGCTTTTCGTACGTACGGGACACGATTTTATGGTGTTTCTTCGTACTTAATTTTATTTCAAAAATGACAAATATTAACATAGATAAATATTAACACAAGCTTACGTCTTGTGATAGACGATTGCACAGCACAATGTGAGGCTCAATTGGGATTAATTAAAGATGCGTCTTGAATAGAACGACTATCGCACAATTTTTTATCAGTCTCCGTATGGTTTCGATTGGTAAGTTTTATTACACGAACGATAAGAAATTTTGACAAAAAAAATTTGAAACAAATTTTCATCTGATAGATCAGCTCAATCGATTTAATGTATACATTTTTATGCTATTATACAATCTTTATATATAACAGCTTTAATTAGTAAGTTCTACAAATGATATAGATGATAAGAATGATAAGAAAATGTTTTAAAATTCTCTAATGTATCTGAGAAATTAAATCAATTTAGGATGGATAAATTTCTATTTGATTTCAATATTTTAATTTGCCATATTATTATTATCCTCTTTTAATACGTGTCAATATATTTGTTATATTTATTTCTTCTAGAAATATATCGTGACAAGTTTTGATATTATTTGAAATGGATAAAATGGAAGAAGTTGCTGACGGAGGGACATATACAACTGTAGAAAATGGGAAGAAACTTAACAAGGAGACTAGGTAAAATATATAGAATATTTGTACAAGTTGATGCACATAATGTGTAAAGAAGATATTTGAAAAAAAATTTATTCTGTATATATAATTATATTATTTATTAATTATTATATTATTTTATTATATTATTTTTATATTATTTTATAATATATTATATATATATTTATTATATAATATATTATATATATATTTTTTATATTTTATATTTTCATTAACATCTATAAAGTATTTTTAACTTTTTACAGTAACTTTTTGCGACAAGTTTCTACTAGAAGTTCAGAGGAAAAGATAAGAATAAGAGATGTGACACCACAAGTAAGCTTTGGATAATATCTATAAACATTTGTAAATTTGATAGCAGATGATTATATAATTATATAATAATTTTCCTCAGATTATTGCAAGCTGCATAATTCACTGCATGGTTATAAAAGCTGGTATAAACATGGCATACAGTACAGTTTTACTAGATGGATTGGCATCGAACAGTGCTTATCTGAATATTACCGAGAATGAAGAATCTTGGATAGGTCAGTCTTACAAGATTTGGATATCTGAGCCGATTGTGCACGCAACATGTGTAGTTTTATTTAGCAATTTATAGTAAATTAGAATTTCAGTTATTAGTAGTTACATGTATTTTGCACTTTTTCTCCTGTAGCGAGTCTAGTTACAATCACATTGCCAATAGGATCTCTTATTGTTGGGCCTCTAATGGATAAATTTGGGCGCAAAACGGTTTGCCTGTTATCTTGCATTCCTGCAGCAGTATCATGGGTTTTATTGATTCTTGCAAACTCCTTAATTACTATTTACGCTGCTCGAGTTGTAGCTGGGATTGCAGCGGGATTGACAACCGTTGGATTGGTCTATATATCGGAACTTTCACATCCACAAGTCAGACCGATGCTTCTGTGTCTCAATTCTGTGTTTGTTTCACTGGGTATATTAATTACCTGTTGTCTGGCCGTACTGATAGACTGGCATAAAATGGCTATGATTTTCCTCGCATTAGAATGTTGCATTTTTGTTGCATTTTACTTTGTACCTGAAAGCCCCTATTGGCTTGTATGCTTCACAAATGGCATGTTTGACGACAAAAGAATTTGCAAAATGAAACACAATCTAAAACGACTTAATAGACGACAATCAGTGAGTACAACAGAGCGTTTCGCAATACTTTCTACACCCAAATATATCTTCAACAAACGCTTTTTTTAGATTTATGAGCAGGAATATTTGCGAATCATGGAGACGTATCAAGCAAACGATGAGAGGTCAAAAAATAATATGACAAAGAATTATTATCGCAAATTTACATCTCCAGTTGTCTATAAGCCTATAACGATACTTTTCTTACTTTTTCTGTTGCAACAACTCTCTGGTTGCTACGTCATCATATTTTATGCCATTGAAGTGTTTCGTGAAATGGGTGGATCGTTTGGCAGAGGCTTCGACGAGAACAGTGCCCTCGTTATGCTAGGCATCATTCGATTCGTGGTAAGCGTAATAACAGTGTTCTGTAGTAGAAGATACGGCAGAAGGGCTCTCTGCATTTTAAGCGGAATTGGAATGACCATCTCCATGTTTCTTTCGGGAATGTATATATATTTCACAACAGCATACGACGAGAACGGTAACAGAGAGGAGACCATGGTGGATCAGAAATGGCTGTTGCTGTTCTTCGTATTATCCTACATCTGCGCCAGCACTTTTGGATTTATAAATATACCATGGACGTTGATCGGAGAACTGTTACCCGTGTCCGTACGTGGTATTGGCGGGGGTTTCATGGTTTCCTTCGCTTACACAATGATGTTTGCCGTTGTGAAGAACTATCCTTACATTAAGAAAAGCATGAGTATCGAGAGTATTTTTTTCTCCTTCAGCTTCGTATCTTTTCTGGGTACAGCTTTTGTGTACTTTTTCCTGCCAGAGACCCTGGGCAAGTCTTTTTCCGACATTGAAAAATATTTTCTGCCCAAGAGAGAGGGAGAAGCGCGCAATGCCATTCCTTTAACTTCTTAGACTCTCTCGCTTTCACTTTTATTACATGGGTGTTTTGCATGATTAATGGTGATAAGACTGTTTATTCAAGTCGTTATAAAAAGGGAATATATATATATATATATGTAGTCTCAGACAATAAATCTTGACAATAAGTTAGAAAAAATTGTGGAAGTGCCATTAAATGTGACTGTCCTTACATTTAAAATATTGTACATAATTATCTCTCTTGTAGATAGTATTTTAAATCTTATGTAATTATATTTCCACTCCGGTATTTACATCAGTCTTTAATTAAATATAACTTGCATGTGTTCCAAGATAATGTGTCTCTAAAATTTTCATCTCACATATTTTACAAAATTTATTTTTTGTTAAATTTACTTTTTATCAATATTTAATTAATTTTTAATAAATTTTACAATATAAAATTTACAAAATTTATTTTATATTAAATTTATTTATTAATTTTTAATAAATTTATTTTTTAGTAAATTTATTTTTTAGACAGGAAAATTTTTTTTCCTATAAATTTAAAATTCAATTATCCGCACATTATTTTTCATCTCACAAATTTTACAAAATTTATTTTTTATTAACTTTTAATAAATTTTTACAATATAAAATTACAAAATTTATTTTTTATTAAATTTATTTATTAATTTTTAATAAATTTATTTTTCAGTAAATTTATTTTTTAGACGGGAAAATTTTTTTTTCCTATGAATTTAAAATTCAATTATCCGCACATTATTTTTCCTTCTTTACACGTATACTTCGCTTTCTCCGCATCCTACGAATTATGTGGAAAAAATTTGCGATAAAAAAAAGCATGTACGTTAAATGTCAAACGCACACATGTAAGAATCTTGTCGCGGGCACCGACACGCGTTTCATTTTTAACCTCTTTTTCCCTCTCTCTCTTTCTCTTTTTTACGTTTGTAGTAAGCAGCGAGTGCCAATCTGGCTGGCACATCGTAAATATCGAGACATATGTATCGTCCTTATCGCGTTATCGCGCGATATCTTTGCAAGTTTACTACTGACAGCTGATCTTTCACCTGTTGCAGATGTCCCACGTACTGTGAAGGGAATATACAGCCTACAATAGTCCCATATGCGTTTGACAAGCGTGCTCTACTGTAACCTGCAGCATTGGACAATCGACGCATCAGGAATAATTACAGCGATTACAGTGTATCACTGATTATTGGACTACCCTATAATTATATTGACCATGCGATGAGTTGTATTCATGTGGAACGATGTCTGTTCACCGCAAGACTCTAGTGTTGAAATTATCATTTTGCACGCTGTACATAATCGGTATCTTCATCATCGCCCGGCAGATATTTCGCGCCGATGACAGCTCCAAGAGTTACAAGGATCAGCTGCCATTCCCCAGGGAAGACAATAATTCGCAGAGACAGAAGGATGTGGATGTCGCATTGCAAAAGTTGCAGAGAGAAAAGTTTGTATTTATGCTACTTATCTCCTGCATTCATAGCAAGATTGGCAAAAAACTTGTTTTTTTCCTTTTAAACAAAAAACATTGTTTTTTTTGTTTAGAACAATATTTTTTGTTTTATTTGTGCTTTTAAGTAAAGTAAAAAAAACATGTTTTAAACAAGCAAACTTAATAGCTTTGATCTATGTAAATATTTAAATTTTTCGCTAGCCTTGAATTGTAAATAACGTTGGCAAAATTGACAATGCTATTAAAAATATAAATAATAAAATAAAAATGATCAGATGGGTATTATTTTAGCAGAATATTTATTTTTGGAGAAAAAAGTTCTAGTTAATAATATTTAATGTATAATACTTTGGTTCCTTTTCCATTCTTATTAAGTAACCTTATGCTTAACTCTCAACATAAATTATAAATAAAAGAAAAATAAAAAACCTTAATTCTTCTTTTTAAAAGAAGAACTTTTTTTTTAGAACTACTGACTTGCTATGAGTCATGTACTATTAATTTAAAATGCTAAAATGTAAAATCAGTCAATATCTTTTAAGTAATCTTTATTGTATTGATTGTTATTTAATATCCAAAAATAAATATTCTGCTAAAATAATACTCATCTTATCATTTTTATTTTATTATTTATATTTTTATATCTATATGTTACATAAATATAGATAAAAAACTAAAAACACTAAAATAAAAACTATTTTGCAACATACACATCTATTAGTTTGTTTTTGATATTTTTACAATTTCTTTTTTAAATAATCATATATTTTATTTGCGATATTTTAAACGATTCTAAACAGTAGTTTAAAACTAAAATGTTTAAATTAGTGTTCACTGTTTTAAACAAGTTTTAATCAAACAATTTTAAACACATTGTTTAAAACATGCCAACCCTGATTCATGGGTCCACTAATTTCACATTTATTTGTTCACTCAATTTTTCCTACATGAAAAAAATATTTTAGGTACGAGGACAAGATATTGAAATTGGAGTATAATGTTGTACCTGGACTTGGGGAAAATGGAAAACCCGCTTATCTCTATGGAAAGGATAAGTTTCAAGGTGAAGCAGCTCTAAAGAAGAAAGCGTTGAACGTTATTCTGTCAAATAAGATATCGCTGACTAGAAAATTGCCAGATATACGTAACTCATTGTAAGAATTTAATACCTATGATGCATTTATAGAGAAATCATTTTATGTATGTAACAATATTCTTTTATGGATTTTACAGATGCATGAATATTACATATGACAAACTTCTACCAAGCGCTAGCGTAGTAATTATTTTTTATAATGAACCGTGGAGTGTTTTGTTACGTACGGTACACAGTGTCCTGAAGGGTTCTCCGCCACATTTATTGAAAGAAATTATCTTGGTTGATGATCATAGCGAAGAAGGTATATTAATATATTAATATTTAATACAAATTAAAGTGGATAATGTATGAAAAAATACATATTTTGTTCTGTCATATTTGTAGAGGAACTTCAGGGGCAACTGGATTATTATCTTTCAACGCGTCTGCCTGCAAAAGTAAAGTTACTGAGATTATCTCATAGACAAGGACTGATACGCGCTCGTCTTCACGGAGCTAGGAATGCTAAAGGCGATGTTCTTGTATTCCTGGATGCACATTGCGAAGTTATCAAAGACTGGTATCAATTCGAACTGGTATTAATTAACTAGAAAACATACTTTGTCTGTCATGTACATGTGTATACATATATATCCGATTTTTATAATAAATACTTAAATGTAACAATTACTTTACAAATGAAGGGAACATCATTAATGTATATATTTTAATACAATACAGGTTACAACCATTGCTACAGCGAATAAAGGACAATAAAAATGCTGTATTAATGCCAATAATTGACAATATTTCCGAGGAAACACTAGAATATTTTCATGATAATGAAGCATCCTTCTTTCAAGTTGGCGGCTTTACCTGGTCGGGTCATTTCACATGGATAAATATTCAGAAACATGAGGTTGAGTCGCGTCCGTCTCCTATATCGCCAACTAGATCTCCTACTATGGCAGGTGGTTTGTTTGCTATTAACAGAAAGTATTTTTGGGAAATTGGCAGTTACGATGATAAAATGGATGGCTGGGGGGGCGAAAATCTGGAAATGTCCTTCAGAGTAAGTAAGATTTTCAAGTATGTCTATTAAACATGTAATGTATCAAAATCAGGGTTGGCAACAAACTTATTTTTTTTATTTTAAACAAAAAACATTGTTTTTTTTATTTAGATCAATGTTTTTTGTTTTATTTAAGTTTTTAAGTAAAGTAAAAAAAACATGTTTTAAACAAAAAAAATATGTTTTAAACAAGCAAAAAACACTTAATAGCTTTGATCTGTGTAAATATTTAAATTTTTCGCTAGCGTTTTAAACTGTAAATATCGTTGCCAAAATTGACAACGCTATTAAAAATATAAATAATAAAATAAAAATGATGAGATGGGTATTATTTTAGCAGAATATTTATTTTTGGAGTTATTTATTTTTGGAGAAAAAAGTTCTAGTTAATAATATTTAATATATAATAGTATGGTTCCTTTCCTATTCTTATTAAGTAACTTTATACTTAACTCTCAACATAAATTATAAATAAAAAAGAAAAATGAAAAATCTCAATTCTTCTTTTTAAAAGAAGAACATTTTTTTAGAACTACTGACCTGCTATGAGTTATGTACTATTAATTTAAAATGCTAAAATGTAAAATGTAAAATCGGTCAATATCTTCTATGTAATCTTTATTGTATTGATTGTTATTTAATATCCAAAAATAAATATTCTGCTAAAATAATATCCATCTTATCATTTTTACTTTATTATTTATATTTTTATATCTATATGTTACATAAATATAGATAAAAAACTAAAAACACTAAAACAAAAACTTTTTTGCAATATACACATCTATTAGTTTTTGTTTGTTTTTGATTTTTCTTTACAATTTCTTTTCCAAATAATCATATATTTTATTTGCGATATTTGAAACGATTCTAAACAGTAGTTTAAAACAGTTTAAAACAAAAATGTTTAAAATAGTGGCTACTGTTTTAAACAAGTTTTAATCAAACAGTTTTAAACACATTGTTTAAAACATGTCAACCCTGATCAAAATTTAATATTAGTCTTGAGATAGTGAGACTTAATTTTTTCAAGTTAATACTCTCTTTGATAGATCTGGCAGTGTGGAGGTACATTGGAAATCATCCCTTGCTCCCGAGTCGGTCATATATTCCGTAATTTTCATCCATACAAATTTCCAAATGATAAAGACACTCATGGAATAAATACCGCTCGTTTAGCATTTGTGTGGATGGATGGATACAAGAGATTATTTCTTCTCCATCGCAGTGAGTTCAAGGTAAGATTAAAAATTATTTCAGTCACATATTGTATCTCACGTAGATAAATAAAATTTGTAGGATAATCCAAAACTCTTTGGAGATGTGAGCGAACGTTTGGAATTGCGTAAAAGGCTCAAGTGCAAGAGTTTCAAGTGGTACCTTGATAATATCTATCCAGAAAAATTTATCCCCGACGAAGACGCGGTGGCATACGGCCGTGTCAGATTGCGAAATAAACCATTGTGTCTAGATAATCTGCAACAAGAGGAGGATAAACCGTATAATTTAGGCTTATACACTTGTCATTCGAAATTATATCCAAGTCAGGTCTGTCAATTTTAATGCTGAACTGAATTAATATTTCCAAAACAAATTCGCTAAAGTTTGCCTCTTGTATTTCCTACAAATTAGTTTTTCTCGTTGAGCAATGCTGGCGAATTACGAAAGGACGATTCTTGTGGAATAATATTGGACGACAATCAAAAACCGTACGCTCAAGTTCAAATGATCGAGTGCAATAACGAAAACGATGGAAAAGACTGGATATTGAGTAATGTACTATATCGACTTTTGATTCCTAATAAAGATGATTATGCACGCAATTAATATCAGGGTTGGCATGTTTTAAACAATGTGTTTAAAACTGTTGATTAAAACTTGTTTAAAACTGTTGATTAAAACTTGTTTAAAACAGTGGAAACAAAAATGTTTAAAACACTGTTTTAAAAATAAATAATAAAATAAAAATAATAAGGTGGGTATTATTTTAGCAGAATATTTATTTTTGGATATTAAATAACAGTCAATACAATAAAGATTACTTAGAAGATATTGACTGACTTTACATTTTATATTTTAGCATTTAAAATTAATACATAACTCATAGCAGGTCAGTAATTCTAAAAAAAAGTTCTTATAAAAAGAAGAATTGAGGTTTTTTATTTTTCTTTTATTTATAATTTATGTTGAGAGTTAAGCATGAGATTATTTAATAAGAATAGGAAAGGAACTAAAGTATTATATATTAAATGTTATTAACTAGAACTTTTTTTTAAAACTACTGACCTGCTATGAGTTATGTACTATTAATTTAAAATGCTAAAATGTAAAATGTAAAGTCAGTCAATATCTTCTAAGTAATCTTTATGTATTGACTGTTATTTAATATCCAAAAATAAACATTCTGCTAAAATGATACCCACCTTATTATTTTTATTTTATTATTCATATTTTTAATAGCGTTGTCAATTTTGGCAACGTTTAACGCTATTATCAGATCAAAGCTATTAAGTGTTTTTTGCTTGTTTAAAACATGCTTTTTTTGTTTAAAACATGTTTTTTTTTTACTTTATTTAAAAACAAATAAAACAAAAAACATTGTTCTAAACAAAAAAACAATGTTTTTTGTTTAAAATAAAAAAAAACAAGTTTTTTGCCAACCCTGATTAATATGCATATCAAGAAAATGACTAAATAATACGCTTTGATTTTAGGATGGCAGAATAATACATGTAGAAAGTGGTCTCTGTCTCGATGGTACTGGGCTGCATAGCGACGACGATGTACGAGCGTCCAGCTGCGCCAATATACCGGGTCAATTTTGGAAATTTGACTTTTACAACAATGAAATCTCTACATAGCGTATTTATTGCACGTACTCGTCCATTTAGAGTACATGCACTATCAATTGTACATTAAATGATTAAAATTTTTTACTATTTCTGCTAAACATGTACATTCAAATATTTCTTACATTTAATTTTTATATATTTTTTTCTTTTGTATATTATTTTGGAATCAATTCTTTTGTATATTATTTTGGAATCAATTCTTTTATTTAATCTTGCTTAAATAATAAGTAAAATCCAGATATCTATTTTATAGAAATTATCCACGAAATTTTTGTTTCTTTATTCTGACTGATCGAAGCAAATTGTATCCAATAGATTTTGAGAATTCAATTGGATGGCAATTTTCGAGTCAAATGCATCCAATCTAGATATTTACATCATAATTGTTATGGTAATTTTTTTAATGATTAATTTTGATTATTGATTTCCCTCTCTCTCTCTCTCTCTCTCTATTTATCTATCTTATATTAAATATAAAATTAATAGGATATAATATAATTTTTTCTGTTTGATAATAATTTTATTATTTTTTTTTTATTTATTTATTTTTTTTTTTTCAAAATTGATATAAACGGGAAGCATCAGGAATGTTGGGGGATGCCTTAAGGTGCGGCCTCATTGACGCTAAAAAGTAGCGTCAACCATTGGTTGAACAAGGAGGTAAGTATAGTTGCTTCATTGTTCAACCAATGGTTGACGCTACTTTTTAGCGTCAATGAGGCCGCATCTTTAGGCCTTGCACACAAGACGCGTCAACGCATTGACACGTCTTGTGTACAAGAATTTTTAAATCCGTATCAAACTATGAAAATTGAAATTAAATAAAAATGGAGGCTTGAAATAAGAAAAAAATAAGAAAAAAAAATTTAGCTCATTTTATTCTCAATTAAACAAATTCCAATCTTTAATTTTGAATCTTTAATCTTCAATGCCTCATGTGATACGGGCTTTACACTACAACCAATCAGCTTCCGAGTTTCGTGAAAATGACGAAAGCTGATTGGCTCTTTGTCTTTCGCTCCGCTTCTTGTACACAAATACAACGGTTGATCTTTTGCGAGTTATCAGTTTGAAATATTCGAATTTTACGGATGCTGACAATATATTGTATTTTATGTAAATAACACGCTCTATTATATTAATTTAACGATGTATATTAAATCGATGATACTGGAAGGATTCAAATCCTATGGCAAGAGAATCGAAATAAACAATTTTGATAAGGAATTCAATGCAATCACAGGATTCAATGGTACTGGAAAATCGAATATTTTGGACGCAATATGTTTTGTTTTGGGCATCACAAATCTTGGTCAAGTGAGTTTCACGTATCTTATTCTTCATCAATTATTTCTTCTCCAAAATATCCCATGATATTCTAACATAGCCTTATTCTTGCTTATAATTGCCTTATAACAATATTTATTAATTTTTAAATAATTGTTACAACACATTGTTACAAAACTTTACTTATATTATTCATAATTAACATTTGTTAATATATATTAAAAAATATATTACACAAAATTGACAAGTATATCTGTCGCAAAGTACTCACTACAATCTATTAAAATACATAATTAAGTATTATATTTAATAATATTTAATAATATTTAATATTTAATAATATTTAATAATATTATAATATATCAATTAACAAGATTAATTTGAAACGCAGGTACGTGCGACGTCTTTACAAGATTTAGTTTATAAATCAGGACAAGCTGGTGTGAAAAAGGCCAGTGTTACGATAATATTTGATAATCATGACAGAGAGTCATCTCCTATGGGCTATGAACATCACGATGAAATTATAATTACAAGACAAGTAATAATTGGTGGTAAAAATAAATATATGCTCAATGGATCAAATGTACCAAATAAACGTGTACAGGATCTGTTTTGTTCGGTTCAGTTGAATGTGAATAATCCACACTTTTTAATTATGCAAGGTAGAATAACAAAAGTATTGAATATGAAACCGGTAGAAATTTTATCTATGCTTGAAGAAGCAGCTGGGACAAGAATGTATGAAAAGAAGAAACAGGCATCACTTATCACTATAGAAAAGAAGGATAGCAAATTGAAAGAGATCAATGATGTATGTTAAATAATTTAGCATATATATTTAGATATGTATTTTAGATCTTAATAATATTTTTAATTGCCACCTCTGTATTTTAGATTTTGAAAGAAGAAATAGGACCTAGATTAAACAAATTGAAGGAAGAGAGAACACAATATGTGGAATTCCAACGGATTGAGAGAGAACTTGAACACTGTAAGAGAATTTATCTTGCGTGGAAATATGTCGCTGCTCTAAGTAATAGCGAGAAAACAGAAGAGAATGTTAAGACTGTGCAAAATAAAATAAATTTGAAGTTAGAAGATATAGCCGCCGGTGAAAAGGAAATCAAAGACATAGAAGAAAAATATGCTGAGCTATTGAAGAAAAAGGAAGCGGTATGTTTTTTTATTTTGTTTTTTTCCTTCTCTTGTGAAATCCATAAATTATTTGTATATTTATACATCACATAGAATATTATATAAAATAATAACGGTATAAATAGCAAAGATAAGAAGATATTTTAAATTTGCATTTGTTCATATAAGTGATATTAATTCATTTTTTAATATGCTACTTTCTTATTGAACTATTTTTATAGTAGCATTTTTTCTTGTTATGTATGTAATCTACTAATAACGATATAGTTTTTCTAAGAATGATATTAAATTTACTATGGGTAGTATTATTTAAGTTCACAATCTAAAATAAATATTATTGTTGAGCAATCTTTTAACAGGAGAAAGGTGGTACGTTGGAATCTTTAGAACAAGAATTACAAGAATATGAAAAGAAACAACACAAATTATCAGCTGAAATGAATAGTAATAAGGAAAATATTAAAGTAACAAAGAAGACAATAGATCAAATAAAAATTAATATAGCAGATGATAAAAATGCACTTATTCTAAAAGAAGAAGAATTGGAAAAAGTTGGGGGACATTTTCAGAAATTAAAAGAAATGGATCAAAAGGATACTGAAGCATTGTTGAAAGCACAGGAGAAATATCAGAAAATTAGCGCAGGTCTATTGGAAAGTGAAGATGGTAAAAATGCAACATTAGAGCAACAGTTAATAAATGCCAAACAAAGTATAACACAAGCACAAACTGAACTTAAACAATGTGAAATGACGTTGGATCATAATAAACAACAGTTGAGTAAGAAACAAAAAGATATGCATAGCACTGAAAATGAATATAAGAAATATAATATGGATCTCGAGAAGAAAGAAAAGGAATTGAAAAATTTAGAGAACGAATTGCAAAAATTAAACTATAAGGATGGTTATTTTGAGAATTTAAAAAACCAAGAGGCTACTTTGATGGCAGAAATAAGACCGTTGCGCGAGAAATTGGATCAGTTTGAATCAAGATATCCTCAAACGAGGTTTGAATATCAAAATCCTGGGCCTAATTTTAATGAAAAATCAGTAAAAGGTATTGTGTGCAAATTAATTGATATAAAGGATAAAAGAGCTGCATATGCATTGGAAATAGCTGCTGGAGGAAAGGTAATATTTTTGATGAGCAATTTTTTAACATTTAAAATTTATTTCATGAAAGTAATTTTGTTTCAGCTCTATAATATAATAGTTGATACGGAAACTACAAGTAAAAGGATCCTTCAACATGGACAATTGCAGCAACGAGTTACCATTATACCACTCAATCGAGTGTCTGGTAAATTTATGGATCAACAAACGATCGCTTTGGCGGAAAAATTGGTCGGAAAAGATAATGTACAACCTGCTTTGACCCTCTTAGATTTCCCAGATGAAATAAGGCCAGCAATGAATTGGATTTTTGGCCAAATATTTATATGCAAAGATATGGAAACTGCCCAGAAAATAGCATTCCATGAAAGAATTATGAAAAAATGCGTTACTTTAGAAGGCGATCTCTTCGATCCAGCTGGAACATTATCCGGCGGTGCCCCAGCGAAATCTGGATCGATTCTATTAAAACTCGAAGAGTTAAAAGAGATTCAGAATGAGTTCAATAAGAAGAAACGTCTTTTGAGAGACGTGGAGACTGCTTTATCAAATATTGCATCAACTGCAAACAAACATGCGACATTAAAACAAAAATATGATTTGGTCATTTATGAGATGGATGTGATACGTCAGAGGTTACAACAAACAAGTTATCATAAGATTAAGGAAGAAGTATGTATATTTGCATATTTGAAATATATTAATATAAATTATTAAAAATATATTCATATTTTTAATAATTTATAAATTTATTATTTAAAAATTTATTATTTTTAAATTTATAATTTAAAAATTTATTTTTAATAATTTATATTCATATTTTTAATAATTTATAAATTTATATAAATTGATTATTTTGTTGATATTTTTATTTAGGTGAATTCTTTAAATGCAAATATTGAAGAGCTTAAACAACGGATAATCACTGCGAAAAATTTAGAAAAGGATAGCACGAAACGCGCGAAAGACATAGAAGCTCAGTTAAAAGATGCGGTAAACATTCGTGAGAAACAATTAAAAGAAGCTGAGAATCAATTGAATATCTTGAAGAAAAAAGCAGGACAAAGTCGCGAAGAATGGCAAAAAAGGGAACAAGAATCAGAAACGCTTGAATTAGAAATAAAGGAGTTGAAAAAGACTATTGAAAGCGGCAACGAGCAATTGCTTCAAGCGGAGGAAAAGAACAATTTGTTTGAGCAAAAGGAAGTAACTCTAAAGCAAGAATTGAAAGAAACAAAAGACAAAGTTACAGAACTGCAAAGTAGTGTTAAAGAACAAAAGAACATTATTAATCAGCAAAACAAAGATATGCAAGGATTAATAACAAGAAAAGAAGATATCATTCAGCAGAATAGAGAACTAAATTTGGACATAAAAAAATTAAATCATGAAATTAATGATATCAAAAAATGTGCAGCTGATTGTAAGCATAAGGTTCTGGAACTTACAAGAAAATATGAGTGGATTGAGCAAGAAAAAGCTTACTTTGGAAAGGAAGGTACACTTGAATTAACATATACACACATTTTATTAAACGATTATAAAAATACGATTGAATATTATATTTGTTACAAATATTTTTAGGCGGAATGTACGATTTTAAGGTCAATAAACCAGATGAAATGGAACAGAAGGTACAATATTTGCAAGGAACACGTGAAAAGTTGTGTCGCAACATAAACACACGATCAATAAATCTTCTCGATAAAGAAGAGGAACAGTATAACGAGACATTAAAGAAGAAGAGGATAGTTGAAAATGACAAGAAAAAGATTCTTGAGACGATCAAACATTTGGATGAAAAGAAGAAGCAAACTTTGATTAAAGCATGGGAGCAGGTATAATTTTTTTTAATGACAGGCAAATGTGTTTTAAAATACAAAATTTGGATATGTAGCTCTCTCTATATATTGATGTATAATAAAATTTATTTATTTTGTTAAACATATACATAATAGTTTACTCTGATATGTTATAAAATAAATTTATTTCTAATTTAAATTATGCATTATATAAGTATGCACTTTGCAAGAAGATATATTGATCAATTTTTGTTTCTTCAGGTGAACAAGGACTTTGGTTCAATATTCAGTACTTTATTGCCAGGGGCCGAAGCAAAATTGGAACCACCGAAAAACGTCGCAATAACAGATGGCTTGGAAGTGAAGGTTGGATTTTCAGGTGTCTGGAAAGAATCTCTGGGAGAATTATCCGGTGGTCAAAGATCCTTAGTCGCCCTGTCGTTGATCTTAGCTATGCTTCTTTATAAACCTGCGCCGCTTTATATCCTAGATGAAATAGATGCCGCCTTGGATCTCTCGCATACAGAAAATATAGGCACAATGTTGAAGAAACATTTTAAACATTCGCAATTTATCATTGTGTCCTTGAAGGCTGGTATGTTCAACAATGCCAATGTCTTATTTACAACTAGATTCGTTGACGGTATGTCAGCAATAAGCAGAAATGAGAAAGTAAGATCCAAGTAATTATATCGCGCAATTTCTTTAATTAAATTAAAAATAAATTTTTTATCATACATGTATATTTTTCTATCTAATTAATTTAAACTACTTTTATTATTGTGACATTAGAAAATAAAGTTTTTATACATAAATCAAAATTTATATCTCCTCTATAATAATAAATACATATTCAACATTTTATTAACAATTATGCGAAATTTATTAATTGTCTAATGATATATAAGCCTTAGGTTTGAGAATTCTCCACACTGAACCAGTCAATCCCCATGAAAAATGGATGACGCTTTATTTCATCTATTGTCAGTCGTTCATCTGGATGATATTTCAATATCTGCAATCATAATATGGATAAATTTCAATCTCTTTTTTTCTTCTTTTATTTTTCTTTTAATAAACTTACGCCATACAACAAGGATCTTGCATTTTCTGATAGCCTGCCAGGAATGTTGACTGTGGAATGTGAATGAAACAATCCCGGATGTTTAACGATAAACATCTGATGAAAAAGAAAAGAGTATTCAACTTTCTTGTTGAAAATAATGTCAAAATTAAAAAAAAATCTTACATACAACGCCAGTAAGCAGTTCGTACAGAACAACCCCAAAACTCCAAATGTCTGTAGCGGATGTTACGAGAATAGTCGGCGAATACATCGTGCATTCGGGCGACGAGTATGGATAAGTCAGCCTGGACAGTTCCACATTGCGTTGCGGTACAATATAAGTGAGCCGCGCGTGTCCCGCGTCGAGAAGAATATTATCAGGCTTGAAATCGAGGATCAGGACCTTCTGTTGATGAAGCGCCTCGAGTGCTACAAGTATTTCAGCCGCCCACGATCGAATTACAGCCTCAGGAATTTGCCAAAGTATCCTTTCTTCGTCCATGATATTTTCTTTACACGAATGCGAGTATTGTATCTCGTCAATATTAGAGTTTACGTTCGAATTTGTGCGATCGATGGGAGCTGTAATATTATTATTCTTGCAGGCGTACATTATATTATCGGGCGAGACATTTTGCATTGAAACAGTCTTCAAAGTAGAGCTGTTGTAGGCTGAATCATGGACTTTATTTGCGAGTGAATTACGAGTTGTGCAATTTTCGTTTGATACAGTCTCATGAATATTCCCAGATATATTCAGACTCTGGTTATTGCTCGTCGATGAAGAATTAACGCCTTTCGAAGCTTTGTCCTTTGCACAACTCTTCATGGAGAGATTCTCAACGACAGTAATGTCGTCTATCTTGATATTATTTTTGGACTTATTGCAATAAATATCAGGTAACGCAGGATCCGATGATTCTTGAGATACTCGAGTGTTCGTTGAAGGTGTATCTTTCGAATGTCTCAATCCCTTGGATTCATTTAACCGATCTGCGATGGAATTGCTTCTTTTCAAGGTCGCGTTGACGGACTGTAACAACTTTTGCGACTTTTCCAACAATTGTACAGTGGGCACCTCCATGTAGATCTCATTTAAGCAGGGTTGGGTAATAACTAGTTGATTAGTTAAAAGTTAAAAAAAAAAGTTAAAAAGTTAATAATTTTTAACTCAACTTAGTTATTTTAAAAAGAGTTAATTTTTAACTTTAACTAGTTATTTTTAAAACACATAAACAACTTAAACTTATTAACTTTCCCTCCAAATTTATTTGATGATTCATATTATTATTATTTAGAGTAATCTAATTTTAAAATTACAATCTAATTTAATATAAAGTGAAATAATGCTTTTCAAAATTTTAACTTTTATCTTAACTAGCGTTAATTTAATCTCAACGTAACTTTTATTTTATTGAGTTAATTTTTTATTTGTTGAGTTAATTTTTTATTTATTGAGTTAATTTTTTATTTGTTTTATTGTATAACTTTTAACATAACTAAATTAATTTTTTAACCCATTAACTTTAATTTAATTTAGTTTAAAAAAAGTATAAACTTACCCAACTCTGCATTTAAGACATCTTCAGAGTATTGAGGATCCTTCTGTTTATTATTTTCTACAACTTCTTCCGTTTTATTCGATTCGTGTATATTTTCATTGCTATCGAGATCCTGATTAATATGTTCATTTGTACACATGTGATTTGAAATGACATCGGTATGCAAATTGTCAGATACTTCGTAATGCAGTCTTATAAAATCCCACAGTTTTCCACAACTGCAACACAGAATATATATATATATATATATATATATATATATATATATATATATATATATATATATATAAGTAAAAGAAACATTGGAAATAATGTAATCGATCAAAACTAGCCAGAATTTTTCTTTATTAATTACAGTAATTAATAAACAAAAATTCTGACTAGTTTTAGTCGATTACATTTCCAATGATCCTTTCATTAATTGACTAACGATATTAATATAATTTATGAATATATAAGTAAGTTATTGATATTGAAATGTATAAGTGAAATTATACCTTGCGTATTGGAGAACCAGAAATATAGTTGTCTCAGTTTCCACACAAGCGTATAAATGTACCATGTATGGTACCTGTCCACGTAACACATAATTACTAATATTATCCTCGTGAATAGAAGATCTTTCTACGGTCTAGAAAATGATCCAAATTACTCTGGTTATATAACTATAGATTTCTAAATAGTATTTAACATTATTCAAAAATTATCATGTATTTAATTATCATTTTATTCAAAATTATCATTATTCAAATTATCATTTATTTCAAAATTAAAGTTTCTATGAAATATACAGGGTGTTTCAGACCACCCATTTAAAAACTAGAGAAGTGGTTATATCAAAAAAGTAAAAACATTTTCTTTATAAGATGTAATTGTTAATTGCAAATTACATACTTTTTCTTAAAAACAACTGTATGTTTTTTTTACACCAATTGATTTCTCTCATTATTTTGTACATAAAAGAATTAAAGTAAGATAATCGAAAAATGAATATTTTACAAGATATTTTATAGTTTATGTAAAATTAAGAAATGATTTCAAGCCTCATAACTGAAAAAGTACTTCATGGAAAAATAATTTATTATAGTGTTTTGGAAAGCTCTCGAGGTAAGCTACAAGAATATGCAATGAAAAATAGGGGGTTCCATTAAAAAAAATGCACTTCCGGTCTGAATCGCCTATTTCCGGCCGGAAGCAGAAGTCGAAAATATCACCATTCAATAGAGCGTACCCGATTTATAAAGAAAATGTGTTTACTTTTTTGAAATAATCACTTCTCTAGTTTTTAAATGGGTGAAATCTGAAATACCCTGTATCCAATTAAGAACCCTTACTTTTATTATCCTGTTACAATTCGCACGAATATCCTTCACCAGCATCACCGACTTGATTACTTTAAGTACTTTATAATATTGAAGCTCTGATACCGGTTTGCTTACTATCGAGATATTACAATTCAAGTGTCTGTTATATAATTGCTCAGCTCGTGCCAGATACTTCGCTATCTTATCCTTTATACTCGGTATTCTTGTACTGTCCGGATCAAACTGCACGCCATTTATGAGACACGATATTCCCAGTTTGTACTGCGTGAAAGCTTCCTCGTACTCGGCTATAGATTCATGCTTGAAGGCTGCGCTCATGTGAGCGGCAGCTATCAGGAGATACTGCGTAAAGTCTGCCTCCTTCTGACACGAGACATTCCCTCTCTCCTGCAATATCGAGCACGCAGGACGAGCATTGCAATTCGAAAGATCCTTGATATTATTATTGACATTATCGAAGCCTGATACGTCGCCTAGGGTTGTCACATTTTCCTCAAAGTTTTGATTCCTGATATCCGCATCGCAGCTTCTTGCGATGGTAGCTGGCGATTTTTCAGTTCTACAACTCTGCTCCTCCCTTTTAACATTTACATTCTGCAAATTGGTGACGCTACGAGATTCATTCTTCCTCTGGGAAGCTGCGAATTCCTTCTCGTTCGCATAAATATTATTTGGCAATGTGGAGCATGGATTTGTCGAGGCGTTGCGAGATGCTTTTGATATGGCTTGGAGATGATTTTGTGCCGCGGCATCGTTCGCAAATGCCGAATCGCTCAAGGGAGCGATGAGATCGTCCTCCGAAGTGTCGGAGCACAGGGAATGTGCGCAATAGCTGACGTAATTGTCCGCGTGACTAGTTTCAAAGAACGTGATGAAGGTATCGCTTGTGTATAAGTACGAGTGTCGTCCTACAAATTCCAAAAACTTTAGGGCGTACTTCTTCCTCTCCTCCACGACTTCGGCCTCGAATCTGCCAAAGTACCTGGACTTGGGGAAGGTGGGAAAGGCCTCTTTTATTCCCAGACGCTTGTGCAAACTGCTGAGCTCCGAGTGGAGCTTCTTCAGGTCGTTGTAGCGTTTCCATACGGACACCTTTGACACCTCTTCGTGAGAGGATTTCAGAAATATCTACAAAATAGAAAGAGAAAATTAGGACCGTGTTAAGGATGCTTTTTAAGTACAATCCTAGCAAAAAGTAGCTGAAAATCAATATTAATGGATATCTATTTTTGGTATATTTTGCAGGGTTGGCATGTTTTAAACATTGTGTTTAAAACTGTTTGATTAAAACTTGTTTAAAACAGTGTACACTGTTTTAAACTACTGTTTAGAACCGTTTAAAATATCACAAATAAAATATATGATTTATATATGAATATATTATTTGGAAAAGAGAGAAATTGTAAAAAAAATCAAAAATAAACAAAAATTAATAGATGTGTATATTGCAAAAAAGTTTTTGTTTTAGTGTTTTTAGTTTTTTATCTATATTTATGTAACAAATTGATATAAAAATATAAATAATAAAATAAAAATGATAAGATGGGTATTATTTTAGCAGAATATTTATTTTTGGATATTAAATAACAATAAATACTGTAAAGATTACTTAGAAGATATTGACTGATTTTACAACTTGTGAACGCTTTAGTGAATCGATTTAAAAATTGTACTGAAGATTCTAAACACGTGTAAGGACATTCTGCACAATTTTCATTAAATTCTCAATATTTTAAAAATAGGTACAAAACATCCTTAAGTATCTTGCTAATCAAAATTTTTAGAATTTTAAAATGATACAGAATTTTAAAAATATTATTTATATTTCAATCAAAAGCTCGAAAATTTTCAGTCACTTTAAGAAGCCTATTTAAATATTAAAATTAACAGAGAAATTATTTTTAAAAAAAATCCAATAAATCATAGTTAAAATTAAACTCAAAGTTTTTAGCTCACTGATCTGCATCATTCTTAATGCTACGTTTCCCATAAGAACACATGTTAATTCGGTGCAAATTAAAATCCTTATAACTTGTGAACGCTTTAGTGAATCGATTTAAAAATTGCGTTGAAGATTCTAAACACATGTAAGAACATTCTGCACAATTTTCATTAAAATCTCAATATTTTTGAAAACAGATACAACACATTCTTAAGTTCCAGAAGAGGTACAATTGACGTTACCATGGAAGTAATTTTGTAAATTGTGAAGCCCTTCTTGTGCCGTCTGGTTTCAGTGATTATAAAACGTCTAATCCACTTGTCTTTTGCAGGTGCCATTACTTAATTTACATATTGATCAGCGAATTTTATTAATTTTCAATAGCGTCGAGATTTCTGATCTGTCATGAATGCAAAAAATATAAAGAAATGTAAAATCATTTTTCTTCCAATTCCTACTGATACGCCTGGAAGGTACATATTACTTTACACTTGTTCGCACATTTTTATGGTTTATGATTTTTTTTGCGCTAAAAATCGAAGCGAAGCAAAAATGACAGCTGATGATAGATGACGACAGCTGATGAGAACTGTCACTTTGCATCGCGGAGCAAACAGAACGAGAAGCGAAAGTCGAGAGGAGCCATCCTATTGGATCGATTCATTGATTGGTCGCCTGATGGGAAATTTTCAAATGTCTTCCATCATCGATCACAGTCAAGTATGAAGAGAATACTCGGCTGTGATTGGTCAATTTCTTAAGGCTTAAGGCTTAAATTATTTATTGTAGACCCGGTCTAAGATCCCTGAAAGCAATACTCCCAATTGTTAATTGCAAATTACATTTTTTTATTCGAAACAATTATGTGTTTTCTTTATACCAATTGATTCTTCTCATTATTTTGTACATAAAAGTATTAAGGTAAAATAATCGAAAAATGAATATTTTACAAGATATTTTACGGTTTATGTAAAATTAAAAAATGATTTCAAGCCTTATAACTTGGAAAGTACTTAATAAAAACTAACTCAATTATAGTGTTTTGGAAAGCTCTTGAGATGAGCTACAAGAATATGCAAAAGCATATAGGGTGTCCCATTTAAAAAGTTGGAACTGACCTTCACGTGATCTTCAGGTGGCTCTTCAAGATCAAACTAATGACACCATCTTATGTCCCCCTTGAAACCATACAACTTTTGTCTGAAACATTTTTTCGTATCTTTTAAACTTTACGAGATATTTCGATTTGTCAAGTTACATAGGACATCCTGTATAATAAATTATTATATAATAAATTATTATATAATAAATTATTATTAATTAAATTATATTAAATTATATGTATATTATTTATATTTTTATTTATATTATTTATATTATCAGAGAGACATATGTATATGTTACCCTCTGAGAACATTCGTGGACATTTTGTAGTTTATGTCCATTTTAATGTTTATAGAGGGCGTATCGCTTCCAGGGATCACCTGAAAACGGGCCATGACATCTCTCGGTCCTCTCTCTGGTACACATTCCCGTTCCGGATTCCATTCGTCTCGAGGAATTTTGGAGGAAGGAAACGAAAAACTGAAACGACATGACTGACATCGTCGACCAGCGTAAAGTCAATCAGAGTTATCGCTTTAAATGGAGCGATTATCAGAATCACCTGTCCGATGTCGTGAGGCAGCTTCTGGAGGAGGACTGTATGGTAGACGTCACTCTGTCCGCAGCTGGGCATCGTATTCACGCGCATCGTATCGTATTGTGCGCTTGCAGCACTTTGTTTCAAGTAAACAAATTGTTTGCCTCGAATTTGGGGATATTAATAATAATTGTAGTAAAATATATAATAGATGTAAAATTGTATTATGTATATTAATATCATAATATTATATATTGTTAAATATATTAAATGTTATATTATTATTTTTGTTATATATTGTATATATTTTGTTATATTATTATTTAATTATATTAAATAATTGAATATTTAATATAAAGTATATTAAATATTTTTATATATTATTTACGTATAAATATATAATAGATATAAAACATACAATAAAATAAAATAAAAATAATAACATAATAAGAAAATATAATAAAAATAAAATTATATATTAATTATAGTAATAATTATAATCATCATCTTAATAATTCCACGACTGTTTTATGTCTATCAATATTTTGAAAATACAATTCATTGCACATTTAATAGCAGTAATAGTAATTGGATGATTGTGCAAAAATTATAATTTTTTCTGAGGCTTATTTTGTTGCCTCTCTATATATTATGCTTGTATAATGCGTTATACAATAGTAATGTATGATATTAACATAATGACATTAATATATACTCTAATTATTGTAACATTAATATCGTATAATTCACAGGAAGTTCTCAGTCAAGTGACAGAAGATTATCCGACGATTATTCTGAGTGGCATATCACCTGAAGATATAAAATCGATTATTGAATTTATTTATCACGGCGAAGTTCGGATTCCTGTAGATAATATTAATAGCTTACTCGAGGCTGCACAGTCGCTAAAAATAAGTGGGCTTGTCGATGTTAGTGTCAAATTATTGTTTACTGTTAATTGTGTCCTGCAAACTAGAGCTTCTGAATTTTAATTTGCTACAAAAGCTTACAGTATATTGTATCATCAAAAATTTTGAAAAGTGTATAATTATTTCATTATATATTTTCAATAGATAAATGGATTTGAGGAAAAAGCTATTAAAAGTATAAAAGATTCTACGGAAGAAACTGTCACAGAAGGAGATAAAATTGAAGAAAATGCAGTTGGATCTTTGGAGAATGACTTGCACGCGCAAAACACCATTGAAAATTGCATCTCAAATAAGAAGAAGAAACGTCGCCGCGAAACCGCAAAGAGAGATTACAGCGACGACATGTTGGCTTCTGCAATTAATGATTTAAAATTAGGACAAACTTTAATAGAAGCTGCTACTAAGCACAATATACCACGCTCAACCCTGTACATGCGAGCAAAAGCATTGGGCATACATTTAAATGCATCAAGAAACGGATATCCTGCAGAATGTATGAGTGCAGCGATAACTGCCGTAATCAGTTAGTGTTCTTTTTATTTTAAATTTGATATATTACACATTCCAACATATATATTTGTGTACATTCATTAATTATCAATTATACAAATCATTTATACTTTTGTTATTTATTATAGGTGGTTCAAGCTTACAACATGCATCAGAAATGTTTAGAATTCCTAAAACTGTGTTATGGAGACGCATACAAAAAGAGGGATATCAGATCTTGCGTCCTGAGACAAAGAGATCATATGCTTTGGACACACGAGAGGCTGCTGTTAAAGCTTTGGAAAGAGGAGAGAATCTGACAAAAGTTGCTCTAGAATTTAAAGTGAGTTTTGTTTCAATTATTTTCTCTTTTTTTTTCTCTTTTTAAATTTATCTCCTTTGTAATTATTTTCACTGATTGGTTAAATTTAATTTAATTTAATAAATATAAAATTTAATAAATTTATTATTTTTTTTATAATTTATTATTTTTATAATTAAATTTATTATTATTTATTATTTTTTATTTATTTATTTATTAAATTTATTATTTATTATTTTTATAATTAAATTTATTATTTTTATAATTTTGATAAATTAATTATTTTTATAAATTTAATTTAATAGATACCAAAGACTACATTGTTTAGAGATAAAGCACGTCTGGTAGATCAAGGTAAATTGCCCTTGTCGTTTTGGAAGAAACGCAAAACGGAAAATGAGGAATTGAAAAAGTCGCGATTAGAAGAAGCTGTGGCAGCTTGCAAGGGTGGCAAAATGTCGCAAGCCGCAGCATCTATGACGTACCATATTCCGAAAACTACGATATGGCGAAGACTTCAACAAGAGGGGAAAAAAATGGGAAGACTGTCAAACGTAAAAAAACGACAACAACACGTGATTAATGTGCCACAGCACGATACTGAGATAAAAATACAGGAAGACTCTAGTTTTAGCTATTGTGAGGTAATGTATCTACTGCAAATTATAAACTCTATTAGGTTTAAATTTAATGGCATTTTGCCATCTAATTGTACATATGTCTAGGTTTCTTCGGAGATACCTATAACTTATATAGATGAGAATAATATGCCTGAAGATTCTGTAATAATCTTGGCGACAGAGGGAATGGAGCAGTTGAATTTCGAAGAAGGAAGACAAATTATTGTGAATGCAGTATGTCAAGTATTGTTTAGTGATAATTTTGTTAATTAAAATAGCAAATTAATTCTCATTTATCGCTACAATTTATTTTTAATCTTTTCAGGAATCCGGACAGGAATACATTCCGTGTACAATAAGTATTGAAGATAGTTCAAATTATTCAGAAAGTGAAAGTTAATATTAAAAATATAGATACAAGTTAAAATTAATTAATATTAAGTATGTACATAATTGTTTTATATATATATATATAATGCATTAGATGATTTTGATCATACGCGATCATTGATATTACGCTTATATTTTGCCACTAAAACTTTTTCTGTATAAAGACGAGGTATAGAGCTTTTTCTGCATAAAGATGACAAATATAAATACATGTAATGTGAACGAATTTTTATTCGTTCCAATAAAAAGAGGAATTATATATTCTCAGAGTGTATCTTCTTATTCTTATAGTGTTCACATTATTATTTATAACATAATTAGAAAATATAATTCATAATTTATGTCATCCTACATGTTTATACTTATATATATATATGTATTTTGCAACACAAATGGTATTTAAATTTAAATGCACATATATCCAAAACAAATTTTTAAAATCGATTTATAAGAGAATAATAATAATTATAATAATTTTATATATCACGTGGCTTCTAATCTCGGAGATGAATGAAAAAATTTGGACGAATCAGCCAATTACAGTTGAATATTCTCTGTAAAAAAAAGAAATTTAATCAGAAATGAATGCTTCATTGTAAATAGTCGATTCGTTTTATGCTCGAGTCTTTTTGTAAAACTTTCGTGTAATATATTTTCAGGTTTCTTCAGTCATCTTTAAAATCGAAATCCATATAGAAATAATCGAGAGTATAATTGATATACCATGTAATTTACTTTCTAATCATGTGTTTTATAAGAGAAAAAATATCCTCTCAACACAGGGGAAAATATACTTAAATATTTTATTACATATATAATAAGACATTTTTATATAATGATATAATAAATAATATATAATAAATAATATATTATATATAATAATAATTATAATATGATAAATTTTATCATATACAGGATGTATCTTAAAAAGTCATATACAGGATGTATCTTAAAAACTATTTTTTCCATAATGCTTAATAAAGCAGTAATTAATGAGTAAAGTCGCGCCAATAAAAAGACAAACTTCCTCGTTATCAACATATGAATATTTGGATAAGCAAAAAAATAAACTGTTTTGTGTTAATTTTTAAACAATTCATCTTTTCAGAAATCTTTTTAATACTTAAATCTGATTAATTATTTAATGAATCTTGGAAATTAAATAGTTCAGGACTTTTAGACTCGGTTTTTAATCAGGAATAACGTTATTTGCTTAGTAGGAGCTTTTTAAGATACACCCTATATATAATAAAACGTTATATAATAAAATATGTAATAAAAATTTATAATCTAATTTATTATATATTTATTATAATTTTTAATATATAATTTAGTAATACAAAATTTAGTAAACAAAACAATTCACAATATAATAAACAATCTATATAAACTTTACAATATAATAAAAACATGAAGAAAATTAAGTAAACCAAGTCTAACTAAATTAAACAAGAGAAACTAGAGCAAGAAGGAAGAATGATTACATACACACTAATTATAAATTCCAAAAAAAGGCAAAACAAGACATTAAAAATTTATAATATAATTTATTATATATTTATTATAAATTTTATTATAATATTTATATAATAAAATGGAATATATAATAAAAATTTTTAATATAATAATAATATAATTTAGCAATACAAAATTTAGCAAACAAAATAATTCACAATATAATAAACAATCTATATAAACTTTACAATATAATAAAATATACAATATAATAAAAACATTTAGAAAATTAAATAAACCAAGTCTAACTATAAATTAAACAAGGGAAACTAGAGCAAGAAGGAAGAATGATTACATACACATTAATTATAAATTCGAAAAAAAAGGCAAAACAAGACATTAAAAATTTACAATTTAATTTATTATATATTTATTAAAAATTTTATTATAATATTTATATAATAAAATGGAATATAAATAAAAATTATAATATTTATATAATAGAAATTTTTAATATAATAATAATATAATTTAGCAATACAAAATTTAGTAAACTAAATAATTCACAATATAATAAACAATCTACATAAACTTTACAATATAATAAAATATACAATATAATATAATATAATATAATAAAATATACAATATAATAAAAACATTTAGAAAATTAAATAACCAAGTCTAACTATAAATTAAACAAGAGAAACTAGAGCAAGAAGGAAGAATGATTACATACACACTAATTACAAATTCCAAAAAAAAGGCAAAACAAGACAGACACGTAGGTAATAATTGGAGGCATTTTGCGCAAGTTGGACGCATCGAATGCGTCAGTGCGCGCGCGTATAAATACGACATACGACGCATTCCTCGCTCCTAGCCGTAATTGCGCGTATCGCACAAACACGCGGGTGCAGCCACATTGCTCCTGCCACGAACAAGAGAGAGAGAGAGCACGGGAACGAGAACGAGAGGAAAGAAATCCACAAAAAGCATCTCCATCAGACAAGAAAAAAACGACCCTCCCTCCGCCTCCCTCGCGAGCGGATCGTCATCCTCCTGATCGAGCACGCCAGGCGGAAAAGATTGCGTACATCTCGCGCGAGGACATGCCGGACAGCGGGGCCGTCTACCAGCCGACGACGGTCGGCTACACGTATGACAGCGGCGGTGACGGGACAGGCGGCGGCGGCGGGGGCGGCCTCAGGCACGGCTTCTGGCGCATTATGTCCAGGCACAAGCTCAGCTCGAGGAAGTGGCTCGAGTGGGTCCTGCTCTCGGTCGCCCTCTGCTTCTTCGTCGCCGGCCTCACGACGATGCTCGTCAGCCTCGTCTGCGCGGACTCGTCCTCGCAATCCAGGAACCAGGAGGTAAAGTCGCGACCCTCGAGGTGATGTCATTTCTATCATTTTTCCTATTTATTGTATACTTATTTTTCGAATTTATTCTATATGTGTATCATCACCTTGTGCCTAATCAAAGTATATAATAATATAATAATAATAATAATAATATAATAATAATAATAATAATAATAATATAATAATAATAATAATAATATAATATAATATTAATAATATATAGGATGTCCCAAAAGTCCCGGACTGGTCGAATATTTCATAAACTATGCACTTTAGAAAGAAATGTTTCAGATAAAAGTTATATGGCTTGAAGGGGACCATCAGATAGTGGCAATGATTTGATATGGGAGAGTCATTTGAAAGTTACGTGAAGATCACCATCAATTTCTTAAATGGAACTCCCTATTTTTTATTATATATTCGTGTAGCTTATCTCGAGAGCTTTCCAAAACACTATAATAAAGTATTTCTTCCTTGAGTACTTTTCGAGTTATGAGGCTTGAAATCATTTCTTAATTTTACATAAATCGTAATATATAATCTAGTAAAGTATTCATTTTTCGATTATCTTGCCTTAATATTTTTATGTACAAAATAATGAGAGAAATAAATTGGTGTAAAAAAAACACATAGTTGTTTCAAAGAAAAAATATGTAATTGTTAATTGCAAATTACATATTTTTTTCTTAGAAACAACTATGTGTTTTCTTTAGACCAATTCCTCTCATTAATTTGAATTAATTCCTCTCATTATTTTGTACATAAAAGTATTAAGGCAAGATAATGGAAAAATGAATATTTTACTAGATATATTACGGTTTATGTAAAATTAAGAAATGATTTCAAGCCTCATAACTCAAAAAGTACCCAACGAAAAAATATTTTATTATAGTGTTTTGGAAAGTTTTCGAGATAAGCTACAAAAATATGTAATGAGAAAATGTAAGTTTCATTTAAGAAATTGAAGATAACCTTCGTGTAACCTTCAAATAACTCTTCAAGGTCAAACCAATGGTACCATCTTATGTCCCCCTCGAAACCATACAACTTTTGTCTGAAACATTTTTGTTTGCTGGGCTTAGTTTGTGAGATATCTTACTGTCCAAGTTAAAATGGGACACCCTGTACAATATATATAATAATAATATATAATAATATATAATAATATAAGTGTATAAATTTGTAGATATGTATGGGTATCAGGAGGTACAAATGAATTGGATTGTCCAGGTAAAGTCTGGGGATCATACAACGATGGCCACAAATGTGGCGCAACAGATGGAGGACGCGGGGAGCGGTTCCGTGGCCCTGGGCGCGGGAATGATGCTGGTAGGGGTGTTGCTCGGCTTGATCTGGGCCTGGCTCGCCTTCTTCCGTCGCAGCAAGTCGCCGAGGAACGGCATGGCTGGCGGCAGCGGTCAGGTAAGACCCAAGTTCAGTTCAGCGTTCAAATACCTCATTGATGTATTTTGCGCCTATGATTTAATTTCTACCGGGAGCCATCCGCTCTCCGGTACGTTCTGTACGTTTCTCGTTTCTTTATCTTATGTGTATACGCGTTGCTATGAGGAAAGATGTTGGGCGGTTTGAATCCATCGACTGACTTGCTGGTGGGTTCCACTTCGCAGTACGGGCCGGTACTCACTGAGGTGCCGAGTCAGCTGAAGATGAAGCAAGACCTACCGGCCGTGCCGCTCTCCGATCAAGAGGAGGAGACCCACACGCTAATGCAAGACTCGGCGAGCCCGCCGTCCGTCTCCGTTGGATCCAGCGCCATCGCTAATCAGATTCAAGGTTGAGCGAAGCGACCCGGGGTCGTTCAGCAACGCGCTCTCGCATCGATTGTATAAATCTATAACGCGTTCCCCGAATGAGTTTACTGTAACTTAGCGACTTTGCAAATTGCCTCGTTTCGTTTAAGATCGGCTGTCGACTTCCTCGAGTCGCGGCATGTGATGCTGCCGACACCGATCTTGTGATTTCATGGTTTTTACGCTGAGGAAATTTTCAGAGGACTCCCCCAGGTAGAACATGAAACTCATAATGACATGACGTCACCTAAAAGTTATCTAAAAGTTACCTAAAAGTTTGTAGAAAAATCATAATCTCATTTGATATACTTTTGGCAATGTTTTGGTCACTTAATAATATCATTTTTTATATATATTACGCAATTATTTGTTTATTTAATTATTCATTTATATTTTAATTATATTTAAGCAACATAATTTTTATAATTATATAATGCGATTATTGAACTTAAAAATTTATGATTCCTTTTGTCATCTTTAACTCATTTTTTAATCATTTTTGTTTAGGTAACTTTTAAGTGATAAATAAAATCATGATGACGTCATAATGATGTCACCTAAAAGTCACTTTAGAAAAATCATAATGATCTCATTTGATATACTTTTGGCAATGTTTTGGTGACTTATTTTTGATATTAAACAATTCAAGCGAACTCTGTTGGAGAATATATATATATACTTCGTGTATGAATTCTTAAGACTCAATCATAATAATATCATTTTTTATATATATTACGCAATTACTTATTTATTTAATTATTCTTGTATATTTTAATTATATTTAAGCAACATAATCTTTTTAAAATTATATAATGCGATTATTGAACTTAAAAATTTATCATTCTTCTTGTCATCTTTAACTCATTTTTTAATCATTTTTGTGTAGGTAACTTTTAAGTGATAAATAAAATCATGAGTTTCATGTTCTACCTGGGGAGATATTTCTCATTCTTTTAATTTGCCCGAACTTTGTTTATATCTTGTGACATAGAGAAATTCTTTCTTCTTTTCAATAAGCACAAGCGCGCGATTTTAAGAGATCTCATTTATAGTATATTTAGTGTACTTGGTACTTAGTCCTCTCTGTGTTTGCCTGCACATTCCTCCACTCCGTCCACTACCATCATTAATATGTTAAGTGAGCATTGGATCCAGATGGAAAGAAAGAGTATGCGATACAAGGATGTCGTAAAACAGTTGCATTATGACTGCGTGAGACTCTAAAAGTAATCTTTTATATCAAAGGCACACATTGGACTTGCTATAAAATATATATTTCTTTTTCTAACTTGCATTTATATATTATTAAATAAATATACAGTTAACTTTATACTCTATAAACATATTTTGGGCAAATTTGCACGCGTCTGAGTAAAGTTAAATTATCTTGCCTTGATTTTAACGCGCTTTTAATATTGATAATATTGAACTAAATGAACGAAACAGTAACAGCAATCATCATTGACAATATGTACTGTAAATTAAACATCATATACATTGGTATATATGCATTAAGTCAATAATTGTTACTGTATTTAATAAATACACAAAATATTATGTATATATTAGTATAATGTGTATAAAACGTAAGACTAAAAATGGACTGCAATCTTGAAAGACGGTTGATTTAGGACGCTGTAATGCACAATTTTTTTTATCTCGTTTTGGCTTATTTATATTTAATTTATATTGTGCGTATAATTTTATATCGCACATAATTTTGTTGCAAAATGATTTTATATAATGGATATATTTGTTTTAACGAAATGTCTGTTGCACTGACGCATTTTTTGTGATTTTATAAAATTAAATTAATTGATCTCGTATATATAAACATAAAGAATTTATCTTTCCTGCCAAAAATACAACAGGTCATATGAGATTATTAATATTTCGACATGATACATACATAATATTGTATAAACCACTGATTTATTAATAATATAATTTTTATACATTTACTGTTTTTACTAAAACAATGTGTTTGGTTGTGTAATGTGTGAGGATTAATTTTTGAAGGAATTGGAAAGGATGACCTGTAAGTTTGTCTGAATTCAATGCTGTTATAGATCAAGCACTTGTATAACACCTTCATTTTTTAACATTTGTATGAGATCCCTATTATATCTGTGTTATTGAGCCGTACATATACTAATTTATGTAAATGTCCTGGGATATATATATATATATATAAGATAAATAAATACATAAAAATATAAATTATGATTTCCTTTCTAAGAATATTGATAAATATCGATCATATAAAAGGTATATAATGTAAGGTATACCTTTTTCTACATTTCTTACAAGAGATATAAGAGATATATAAGTAATTAAAAAATAATTATTTTTTGATTATTTGAGCCAAATCTTTATTAAAAATTTATTTATCTAAATAATATATGTATTTTTTATTTACTTATATATCTATAAAAATAATTATATTATTATTTTATATATCTTTATTCGTTCTTTATTATTTTATATATCTTTATTTATTTATTTATTTTCTATATCAAAATAATAATTATATTAATATTAAAATAATATAATTATTTTTATAGATATATAAGTAATTAAAAAATAAATATATGTTATTTAGATAAATAAATTTTTAATAATTAGAGACTTGACTCAAATAATTAAAAAATTTTTTTAAATAATTTTTTTTATTTAAAATAATTATATTATTTTTATAGATATATAAGTAAATAAAAAATAAATATATTATTTAGATAAATAAATTTTTAATAATTAGAGACTTGGCTCAAATAATTAAAAAATTAAAAACTTTTCTTTTTAAATAATTTTTCTTTATTTAAAAAACTTAATTTATAAATGAAATGATAAACATCATTTTTGTGAGCATATCTAATCTTTCATAAAGTAACTGATAAAATAATTGATTGATTGAGATATTCTTATTTTTAATTTGGACAAAGATCATCGATTTCGAACAAAAACGTCAAGTTTCGTTCGGTAAAGTTTGAGGGACCGAAAATACACGATAAGAGTTGTAACAGAAATATTTTAAAATCCTGATCGTTATACGATATCATTCAATCTACATAAATATCGTACGCATTTGATAAAAACTGAGCCAGCCCAGATGCTCGTCCTCGATAACACGAGGTTAACGCGTTTGACATTTCAATCAGCTGTTCAATATGGCCGTCTACGATGGTCTGCGAGACACGGTTCTCCCGAATTGTTGGAGAAACGCCCACGTTAGAACGTAATGTGGAGCCGGTAAACGTGATCAAAGGACTCTAAAAGAAAAAAGACTGCGAATCGCGCGAATATCTCAGCCTCGCGATGGCCGGCAACGGTGAAGTGCTGGAGGGATTTATATGCCCTATATGCATGACCGATTTCAAGGCACCCAATCACTTGACCAAGCATTTCGAGGAGGTTCATAATGATGATCCTGAAATTCTAAAATCGTTGAAAGGTATACGTGACTCTTTTCGTTTTTTTTTTCTTATTATTTTGCCAAAGAACAGGTGCCCAAAGTTGTACCCCAAGTCAATGAAATGTATGCGAAATGAATATCACAGGGTTTGCGTGTTGCAGATTTGTTTGGCAAAGCCAAGAAAAAGATTCTGAAGCAGGACGATATACCAGAGACGTTTCAGAGTTCAGTTCCACAGGACAAGCGAAGAAGTCCTGAAATTAACTGGGGACCACAAGAAATAGGTGCAAATATATTCTACATTATTTGCAAATAAACAGACAAGATTAGGAAGTAGAAGCTTTAATTTATTGATTTACTGTTGTCAAAAACTGGAACAAATGTATCATCTCGTGTGACTAATTTTTAAAAATTTTAGGTGCAATTACAACTCACACAAAGTACTTTAAGGACATAAGAAACGCTCGATTAGAGAGATATGCTTATGAAACGAATAAACTTCTTATAAGGCTAGATAAATTATTAAATAATTTACCATCGGATCCTGTCGATAGAAAAGGTAAAAATATATATAAAATATACAGGGTGTTTCAGACCACCCGTATCATCCATTTAAAATCTAGAGAAGTGGTTATTTTAAAAAAGTAAAACATTTTCTTTATAAATCGGGTGCGCTCTATCGAATGGTTGCATATTCTTGTAGCTTATCTCGAGAGCTTTCCAAAACACTATAATAAATTATTTTTCCATGAAGTACTTTTCGAGTTATGAGGCTTGAAATCATTTCTTAATTTTACATAAACCATAAAATATCTTGTATAATATTTATTTTTTGATTATCTTACCTTAATACTTTCATGTACAAAATAATGAGAGGAATCAATTGGTGTAAAGAAAACATACAGTTGTTTTTTAAGAAAAAATATGGAATTGTTAATTGCAAATTACATATTTTTTCTTAGAAACTACTATGTGTTTTCTTTACACCAATTGATTCCTCTCATTATTTTGTACATAAAAGTATCAAGATAATCGAAAAATGAATATTTTAGTAGATATTTTATGGTGTATGTAAAATTAAGAAATGATTTCAAGCCTCATAACTGAAAAAGTACTTTATGGAAAAATAATTTATTATAGTGTTTTGGAAAGCTCTCGAGGTAAGCTACAAGAATATGCAATGAAAAATAGGGAGTTCTATTTAAAAAATGCTTCCGGTCTAAATCGTCTATTTCCGGCCGGAACCAGAAGCTGAAAATATCACCATTCGATAGAGCGCACCCAATTTATAAAGAAAATGTTTTTACTTTTTTAAAATAACCACTTCTCTAGTTTTTAAATGGGTGGTACTGAAAGGATGGTCTGAAACACCCTGTATATATAATTGAAATATATATATATATATATATATATATATATATATATATATAAAAGAAACTCTTATAGTATAATACAAATGTAATCTAAATAAAAATGAGCAGTTCACGAACGAGCTATCGTGCCATGGATTGACGAGAAGGATGTGAAATTGTGCCCTAATTGTGCAAAGAGTTTTCACTTGGCGAGACGAAAACATCACTGCAGACTTTGTGGAGCAGTCATGTGCCATAATTGTACAGTATTCCTCTCTCTAGGTGACGCACGTATGTAAGATACATATAACATTGATGCTACAGAAAAGTTTCCAAAGTTACATCTGACAAAAACCTAAAAAGTATTTTCCTTTTTTGTAGGAAAAATGACTAGTCCTGTGTCTATACAAGACGATTCAGCTCTGTCCTCTACGTCGGAACGAGCTCTCTCTGAGAGAATAGTACGAGCGGGCATTGGTCTCACAAAGCTGGCACGCTCACCCTCCAATGGTAGCTTGAACAGTGTCTTATCATTAGTCAATGATCCGGCTAGTGGTGAGCAGCACTTTAGAGTTTGTACTCATTGTATAAATTTACTCGACGCGAGAGAAATGCAAAAGGCCAAGCAGTTCGCCAAACCGATTGTCTGTGAGTTTTACGAGAAAATGCGGGGGTACATGAGCGAAGCCTCGCAGCATTTAGCAATGTACAACAAAATGTGGGAATCGTTACAGTATGTGAACCTTTATACATCATGTTTAGGATAACATTCGTATTAAATGCACGAGATATTACATTAAAAATTATTACATTAAAATTTATACATTAAATATTATTTAGACACAGGGTTGGGTAATAACTAGTTGATTAGTTAAAAGTTAAAAAGTTAATAATTTTTATCTCAACTTAGTTATTTTAAAAAGAGTTTAACTAGTTATTTTTAAAACACATAAACTTAAACTTATTAACTTTCCCCCCAAATTTATTTGAAGATTCATATTATTATTATTTAGAGTAATTTTAAAATTACTATCTAATTTAATACAAAATGAAATAATGCTTTCCAAAATTTTAACTTTTCTTAACTAACGTTAATTTAATTTTAAAGTAACTTTTATTAAGTTAATTTTTTATTTGTATAACTTTTAATATAACTAAATTAATTTTTTAACCCATTAACTTTAACTTAATTTAGTTTAAAAAAAATATATAAACTTACCCAACCCTGTTTATACGTTAGATATTACATTAAAAATTTATACATTAAATATTATTTATACATTAGATATTACATTGAAAATTATTTAACTGATATGCAAACTTGTATCGCACGCATAAATGTACAAAAAATAATTAATATATCAGAAATGCATTGGAAACTATTTTGGAAAATTATTTTAGAGAAGGAGAGACTACGTACGATGTGGAGGACGCTCAATCGTTGCGAGTCAAGCTGGCAAAATTGGGAGAAAATATAGATGCAACCAGCAAAAGGATTCTCATCCTCGGCGCGAAAAAGGACGTGCAAGACCCGCAGGAGATACAGAGCCAAGAATTGCGTCTGTATCAGATGGTTAGAACGTCGGCAATGATATTTTTAAAGGAAGAGTTATTAACTCTACAACCTTTATCTTCGGTAGAGGAATATGTAGCTTTACGAGAGGAACGTCAGAACAGAATAGAAGCCCGAATAGCGTATGAACGACAATTGGAAGAAGATCAACGAGAAAAGTCCAAGGAACAGCGCAAGAGAGATACATGGAATTTAGATAACAGTCCTTCCATGAAAGTCAACCAGGTAATTTGTACTGACAAAGCATGTTGACAGAATTAATAGTTGAAAAATTTAATTCTAAGTCATGCCAAGTCGCAAAAGTTCTAATCTTCAATTTGATTTTTACATATTTTATACTTGTAGCTTTCTTTTATGTCAAACATACAATGAGCTTAACTTTTCAAGATAAAAGATATATATTAAAATTAATATATTAAAAGATATATATATATATATATATATATATATATATATATATATTAAAATTTAAAATTAAGTTAATTTAAGATTAAGTTTAAAATTTCTGAAAAATAAAATAAATAAAGAAGATCAAGTTTGAAATACAAATTGATTGACTAATTGATCGATGATGTAGCTAAATTAGAAATTTCACAAATTTTCTGACAGTAAAAAAATTTTTTTAGGCACCGACAGTTGTGACTCAGTCTCAAGGTTGGGGTCCGTCCAATGTCACATCCATCATGTCTTCCTCCATGGATCCAATAATTGAACAAATGAGCAATCTTCGAGCATACATTAAGCAAGCCCGCGCCGATTGCAAGTATGACGAGGTTGCGACACTAGAAAGCAATCTTCGAGAGCTTCAAAGTGCCTACTTTGCTATGAAACAGAGTAATAGCAATGATGGCTAGATATACGTGCAACGTACTGCTTACATCTCAGCACACAGTGTTGAACTCTTCTCTTATAGTAAGAAATTGTATTTCCTATTAATTTAATAAATCTTCTCTCTTGTATTACATGTAAAAAATCTTCATATACACATTGTAAAAGAATATACCTGAGCCACATGATTGCACAGATGATGAAATACATATTGAAATAGTTCAAGATTTAACGAGTGTATAAAAGTCACAAACTATCATCTTTTTAAATGCATATTTTAAGCATTAAATTGTGATATTAGTTATTTATCTTTCTTCTTTTTATAAACTAAATCGAAAAATCTCTTGCTTTCACACATTTTTATATTGTTCTTGAGATTACAAGAAATTTTTGTTATCTACTTATGAGTAAATTTTTGTAAAAACAAAATTAACTCATTACATTTTTTATTGATAAAAAAAGTACAATTTACTTGAGTGGAATAAATCGTGAAGAATGCGTAGCACCGATACCGGGCCTACCATGTTTAACAGGTTTGTACGTAACGGAGAATTCTCCGAGGTAATGACCAATCATTTCTGGTTTGATTTCAACCTGATTGAAGGTTTTGCCATTGTACACTCCCACAATCGAACCGACCATTTCTGGAACAATGATCATATTGCGCAAATGAGTCTTGACAATTTCAGGCTTTTCATTTGGTGGCGTTTCCTTCTTCGCTTTGCGCAACTTTTTGACAAGAGCCATAGATTTCCTTTTCAAACCATGGGAGAAGCGCCTACGTGCTCTCGCATGCATCAAATCCATCAACTGCTCACTGGAAAACAATTATTCATTGAAAAATGGTCCTTTTTTTTTCTCACGCTATATTTGTTTCTTGTATAATTTAGATTTTGAAGATATGAATATGATGTGATAAATTTAGCTTAAGACAAATAAATAAAAATAATTAAAATAAATTAAATTTAAAGTAATTAAAATAATTAAAATAATTAAAAATAATTAAAATAATAAAAATAAGGCTTATTTAACTTTAAAATTTATGAATGAAAAAAATATGTAAGACAGATAAATTGTAATTCTTTGTAAATTGAAGCTGAATTGAGGTTATGTTTAAGGAAACAACTCTTGGTGCATCTTACTTTGGCATATCCAGCAGCTGATCGAGGTCCACCCCTCGGAAGGTGAACTTCCTGAAGGTCCTCTTCTTCTTCTGAGTTTCATCTGCCTGTAAAAGATAGGAAAAGTGAAATATTCAGCTACCAGATGAGACATTTATCAAATATATATAATTATTGTGCATTAATATTGTTTTACTAATATAAATAAATAATTAAGTAAAATGTACAACTGGTACAATTTTGCTTGGTGCAATAGATGTGCGAGATTATCTCAGATTTAATATTAAAATTTCGGAAATTTACCTCAGCCATGTTTTCACGTTCTAAACGTTCTACGGAAAGAATATAACCATTGAAAGCAGCGTTGCTAGACGGTTGACAGGTTTTTCGCGTGAAATTTAGTGAAACTGATACCGCGTATGCGCGAAAAAATTTACTAGACGACACTAGATGGAAGCCAATAGGATTAATAACAGCAGAGAGAAGCCTGAGGCCGGTTTTCATAGTTCAATCTCAAGCCGGATCTACATTGGTCGTATCGTGACGTCGCAAGTCGTAATTCGTAGGCAAATTGACCAATCATGGTTGATTATTTTTGAAATAATCGATTATGGCTTAAGACAATATTAATGTTGGATGTAGTTAAGATTGATTATATATAAGATAATTTTTAAGATAATTTGTTATTTTTATGATATTAAAAAAAATTATAGGATATAGAGATGGAGTTGGGAAATTAAGGGGGAAGGATAATAAGTTAGATGATTATAATAGATTAGTAAAAAAAAATAATTATTATAAGATAATGAATTTTTATATAGAATTTAAAAAATTTTATAGGATTTATATTTAGAAAATGATTTTATTAAGATAATAATAATTAATATTATAAGGTAAAGTTTTTAAGATTTAATTTATAATAAAATTTATATAAAAATTATATAAAAAATTATATATTAAAATATAAAAATATAATATTTATAAATTAAATTATAAATGAATGATTTATAAATAAGATTTATAAATAAGATTTATCTCCAATCCTCGTTGCACTAATTTGAATTCCTCGTTGCATTTACACTCACGCACTTGCATTCACGAAAAGTTCCTCGTTACACTTGCAATTGTTGTTAGAGAAAAAATTTGATAATATATGGAACCTCATAGATGTTAAATATAGATTTAAAAATTATCACATTTCTTCATCTTATAATCTTATATATCATAATTTTACCTTATATTATTTCTTTATCTTTTAATATGATTTTCTAATAAAATTTAAATTCAAAACAGACAGAATCAATTATGTAGAAATATTTTTCCTACAGTAAGATTTATTGGATCATTTGGAAAATAAACATTAATTTAATTATAATATCAGTTAAATAGTATCGACTGGACTCAGTAAGGCATCTTCTATGTTCTTTCTTAATGCTATAATATTTTTCAAACAAAATTTGAAATTTGGTCTAGCATCCACTGTACTCCAGCAACGTAGCATCAACTGGTACAATATTGACGGACAGTTAAGAGTCATTGACAATCTGCCTCCATCACGTACATAATTTATCACTTCTTCAATAGACTTGCCAATATAAGGTTGCTCACCCAACGATGTAATTTCCCACATTAAAACACCAAATGACCAAACATCGCTTTGAGAAGTAAATGTGCCGAATATCAAAGATTCCGGTGCCATCCAGCGAACAGGAAGCAACTCTTTTCCTTTCTAAAACATGATTTTAACAAAAATTTAATTTTCTTGCTCAAGTTGTTCATTTAGAATAAAATATGTGCAAAATGAAAAAAACTCTTATTTATCACTTACTTTATATAAATATAAACAATTTATTTATACTCAATATTATTTAAAAAAAAACAATAATATTATGATAAAAAATTGAAAGCATTTCCAAAAGAATTAATTATTTTAATAATTAAATTTTAAATAATTGCATTTACCCCGCGATAATAATCATCCTTGTAGATATCTCTAGCTAGTCCAAAATCTCCAATTTTAATGACACGATTCTCGCGATTTCTCGAAGATACTAAACAATTGCGACACGCTAGATCTCTATGTACGAAACGCAATTCTTCCAAGTAGCAACAGCCTCGCGCAACATCTTCGCACATGGCTAGTAAATCCTGCAAATGCAAGGCATGCAAATCTGACGCTTGCAAATTTCGACAATCTCTCAAATATTTTGACAGATCAGTTTCCATCAATTCCAACACTAGTAATGGAGAATCCCCATCTTCACAAATGGCCAACAATCTTAATATATGTTCATGTCGAAAGTGACTCATAAGCTTGGCTTCTTTTAAAAATTTCTTTTTCTCATTGGAAGAAGCATCTTTCCGAAGCGTTTTTATTGCAACGGATATTTCTATGCCGGGCCTTTCTAAATTCTTCACATTTCCTTGAAATACCTGCAAAATATTTGATACAAATTTAAATATGTACTTAAAAATGTATAGAATAATGTCGTTGTAGTATCGTTATATTTTATTTTATATTAAATAATTCAACGAAAATTATATAACAAAGTACATGTATGTTGTCTCATCTAAATTTTATATTACATATAATCTACTATAAAAATTCATATAATTTATGTCCTTATTAGGAAAAGTCTGTTTTCTTGATCTAGAAATTAATTTGAAACATACATTGCTTGAAAAAACTTTTACCTTTCCAAATGCGCCACTACCAAGAAGTTTTATTAATGTGATTTGTTTACGTTCGATTTTAGTTATCGCATATTCATCTGGGTTATAATGTAACAATGTAGGACTGTAAAGTATATTCAATTGAGTGTTTCGGCAAGGTACTTCATGTAGAATCGCTAATTCCATGTCGGCCATTGTTGAAGGCAAAAATTGCTCATTATTATTTCTGCGTCGATGATATACTGTTATAAAATTTCGATTTAATTATGTAATAATATGCATTATAAAATTTATCGTTTTTTAGTAAATTTATTAGTTTAATTTTCTATAAGTAAATCACTAGTAAATTAATAGTTTCAGTAAATCTCTATTATATCAGATATATGCATAATCTACACTTTAAGTTGATACCTTGATATCAAATATACTTACAACAGTAAAAATAGCAGATGCAGATTATAATAACTATAATGATAAAACTTAACATCAATAGTAAATAATAGTTTATCTCTCCAGGAGTGTTCGAAATATCATCTATATTACGCAAAAACATAATTTTAATATTTTCGTGTATGCGTTTTATTTAAAAAGTTATATCTACCAATAACGTTATTATAAATTAATTAATAATAAAAGAATAATAAATTAATAATAAATAAATAATAATAAATTAATAATAAATTAATAATAATAAATTAATAATACATAAATAATAATAAATTAATAATAAATAAATAAATTTTTTAAACTTTATCAGTCTATTCATATATAAAAAAATAAGCATATAATATTACAACATCTATGCACCACAGAATATTACAGCTACTTTGTGACAATGTTGCAATATTGCAAATTGTAATGTAACACATTACGGAAACATTGCAGAAATATAAATTAACAAAATATGAATTGGGTATTAGCAATGTAATATTGATATTTTGAAACCATTGGGAAACTATAACACTCTTTAATTTATCTATAAAAATAATGTAATAATATATACTTTTATATTTATATATATGCGATGAATTTTTTGCAGAAGTTAAATGAATTAATGACACAGAAATAATATCAGTCGAGTAAATACAATTTTAAGCTAAAGATAAGCATTTCTATTCCTTTATTAAAATATAGATAACATTTTATATCAATGTTAAAATATATTTTATGATATATTTTTACTTTATGTACGAATACGATATCTTTTTATTATATTAAGAATAGATATTTTTATATCTATCATTTTATTTTTCAATGTATTTTTATGTTTTTCTCATACAAATAAATATAAATATAATGGATTTTTAAAATTTTTAAATAAAAATGTAATTAGTAATGTTTAATTAATTCTGTAACTAATGTTTACATATGTATAAACATTAATAAACCATTAGAGAAAGATATATATATATATATATATATATATATATATATATATAAAGTACCCATTATAAGAGTATATAGAACATTTAAAATAAAAAAAATGATTCGGAAGTAAAAGTTTAAAGTAATTTTGTATAAAAACATATTTTATATGATTACGTTTAAATACAATTTTGCAATATATTATCTTAGATATGATTATCTTAGATATGCAAATTTCTATTTATATCGAGCTTTTTAATTTAATTTATATGTTTTCAAGATATTTATCCATCAAAAACAAAAATATTTTATACGTAATAAAATTAAATGATTGTAATAACATTGCATTCTTTTCAATATATTAAACTGTAATATTGCAACAATGTTTCATTGCAAAAAGCGAACATCTTGACTTTCATCACATCTTATAACAATGACTCAGCAAAAGTTTCGCAATCAATTTGCAATGTTTCAATGAAATTATTCTTCAATATATCTGCAATCTTATTATGTTGTATGGGTATTTTCATTTGCTTACCACGTGTTGAAAAAATAAATCTTTCATCAGTCGGCCATGTAAAAGTTTCCTCATATTCGGGATATCTCAATATCAAGCGAAATTGGTATAAAGTTCCCGATTGTAAATTTTCGATATGATATATTACTTCTTTGTTATAATTCATTCTGATATCATTCGTTGTTTGCCACTTTTCTGTTGAAACGTTTTTGTACTCTAGTGCAGAAGAGATCGTCAGATTGATGTTTGAGATCCATGAAATGTTCATGCTATTTATATTGGCCTCACTCATAGTAATATTGTTTGGTTCTGAGTATATGTGATCGATCTTTTTTTTACTCTCGTTGTAAAAATCGCTGAAATTACTTGGATACACACGCACGTATATCAAGTAATCTTGTACTGGTAGTGACAAGTTAATCTTTGTGAAAAATCTGCCGTCTGCCACACGTTTCGGCACATTGATAAATTGTTTATTCTCTTGTTGCGTGTCGTTCACTAATTTCCAATGCACTTCGTAGCTCACAACCACGCAGTTCAATTTCTTGGGTGGCATCCAATGAACTACTGCTATAGTAGGCGTCAAAGCTAAAACACTTATGTTTTCTGGTACATTAAGCTTGTCCAAATTAGTTTTTATTCGTATCACGTTCGAATCGAATGGATTTATTGATAATTGATCAAAGTAAAAATTGCTTAAAGTAAACTTCAACTTGTACTCTGTAAATGGTGTTAAGTTCTGAATCTCGTAATATCGCTCGCACGTCACATATCGCAGCACATTGAATTCTTCAGACTTGTTGAGGTTGTTGTCTAAACAATGGCTTACAAAGATAGTATATATAGTAGTTGGTAAATTATATTTTTTGCATCCACTCTTTACAACCGACTCCGGTAAATTTACAATGATGCTGTTTGCCGTTGCAGTCACATTCTCAAAATTATAAACTTTTTCGTCAGGTGTCAGACATCTCATTGGAGGATATGGTTGTGAAAATTTATCAAAAGCATACATTTTTTTATAAAACATCTCTCTTTTTGAGTTTATTGATATCTTTTTAACATATTTGTATGCATTTGAGTCGCTCTCGAGACTTTCATATTTCTTTTTCAAAATGTAGAGAGTATATACACACTTACATTGAGAATTATGTGCTAAAATGTAAATGTTTGTTTTGTCAATCGTCATAGATTGGAATGTGATGTCATCACTTATGTTTTTCCGGTGTAAAATCTCATTGAACTTAGAAATATTAATGTCTGTTACAATTGTACTCCGATCATTTAACCAGTAAATTAACGACTCTTCATTATTCATGTTATCAATTATCATTTTTCTAAAAGAATGTATATGATAATGTAGAATGGAATTATTTTTCTCAACAATTTGCTCGTTTTTTCCATCGAGATGATATTTCATAATATCATATTTTTCATTCATCCAACTGTATGATATGCGATATAAAATTCTAAAAAATATATAATTATTTTACTCATTATAAAACATTATTTTAACAAAAACAGAACTTATGTGGTAAAAATTTAAAATTTTTATAATTATATAATAACTTATTATATCTTTTTACTTATGATCTTAATTATAAAACTACATAAAATACGTATTATAAAAAAGTTACAAATTTGCATAAATCTTTAATGGAAAATTGTTTTTTCAGGTGAACGGTAGTAGACGTACCCCATAGACGGTAATACATTTAAATAGTCATTAGCAAATTTTTTTTTCAAAATATTATCAAATTTAGTTATGCCATTTTCCCACATTGTTAAGTCGAATTTTTCAATGTAAGAGTAGTCTGACTCTTGATAGGTCAAATATAGATTTCTCGCTACCCAGTCAATGCAGAGATCATGTAGATCATGATCAAATCTACTTATAATTGTGATATGTTTTTCATTAATCTTCAATATCATTAGGTCTCTTCGGGTTATCCAATAAATTCTATTTTCTTGTATTGAATAAGCGACATCTCTTAATTCGTATCTAAAAAAAGCAGCCAACTATAATAGTATATTAAAAAAATTATCGTTGAGATTTCTAATTTTATAGTTATTATTACTATAATGTTGATAATAAACTTGTGCTATAATGTTAATAATAAACTTGTGCGTATAATAATAACTTTAACTTTATAGTGTCAAAAATAATTTCATAATTCTTCTAATTATTTTTTTTTATCAGTATATTTTTTATCAGTATACGTACGACAATGCGATCAAATTATTAACGACTTTTAAATCTATGTCCCATATTTGGATATTTCGATTCGTTGTGACTAATAATTTAGATATTGTATTTTCATGTGTAGTCGACACATTGATTAAATCCGTGTAAGGTCCAGCAACAATTTTAGTATGCGCACGTACTCGAAAATAATATGTCGTGTTAAATGTTAGATTGTGAATCGTGTGCTCCAATTCTGTAGTTGTGATATTTTTATCATCGCAGATTTGAATCTCTTTTAAATCCTCGATGAAAATACACTGCACCGTGTACCCTTGTATTATTGCACCCCTAATTTTAGGTTGGCTCCATCTATAAAAGAATAACATTTCAGTCTTTTTATATTTAGCAAAATTATAACAGAATTAATATTTTGATATATATATGTCGTTCAATTTAGGAAAAGAAAGAAAAATGAAAGAATACAAACTGAGAGTTTAGATTCTTTACCTTAATGTCACAAAAATGTCGTTTGTTTTTTCTGTGAATTGACTGTCGAATTGTACAAATGCTCTGAGAGATGTTGGCTCGCTCAAACTGCTTTCTAGAGATTTTAAGATCGTACATATTAACATAATTATATATAAGATTAATTGGATTATTTCAGTAAATTACAAGAAAGAATAATTTAATGTGAAAATAAAGGAAAGAGAAAATGTATATATAAATTACAAAATATGGAAATTAGGACAGCATTGACCTTTAAAAAGTAATATAAAAATTTTTTGCGTCATTTAAGATTTAGAAATGTAATCGTAATTCACGGTAAAAACAAATAAATAACTTTTAATAAAATGACAAGTACTTTTCGAAAAATTCCTATAGCTTAGGAAATCAGAAGTATAATACTTGCGATTGCTTTAAAACAAAGTAACAAATTAATAATATGTATATATGTGTATATATATATATATATATCTTATGCTCACATCTTGTAATGGTCAAAAATCATTAAGTTCTTTTTTTAATAAAGTAGAATACGAAATGTCACTGGCCGGAAATTTTTGCACGCCACTGAATATATATATATATATATATATATATATATATACATATATATATATATATATATGTATATACAGGGTGACCCATTTTAACTTAGGCAGCCAAATAACTCGAAAAATAAGCACACTACGAAAAAATGGTTAGAATCAAAATTTCGTCATTTCGAGGGGGACGTACAATGACGTTAAAATCAGCCCCCCCACCTCTCCGCCTGGGCGGTGAGGGGGGGCAAATTTGAAATCTTAAATGGGAACCCCTATTTTTCATTGCATATTCTTGTAGCTTATCTCGAGAGCTTTCCAAAACACTATAATTAAGTACCTTTTTATTAAGTACTTTTTGAGTTATAAGGCTTGAAATAATTTCTTAATTTTACATAAACAATAAAATATCTAGTAAACCATTCATTTTTCGATTATCTTACCTTGATACTTTTATGTACAAAATAATGAGAGGAATCAATTGGTGTAAAGAAAACACATAGTTGTTTCTAAGAAAAAATATGTAATTGTTAATTGCAAATTACATATTTTTTCTTAAAAACAACTGTATGTTTTCTTTGCACCAATGGATTCTCTCATTATTTTGTACATAAAAGTATTAAGGTAAGATAATCGAAAAATGAATGGTTTACTAGATATTTTATAGTTTATGTAAAATTAAGAAATTATTTCAAGCCTTATAACTCAAAAAGTACTTAATAAAAAGGTACTTAATTATAGTGTTTTGGAAAGCTCTCGAGATAAGCTACAAGAATATGCAATGAAAAATAGGGGTTCCCATTTAAGATTTCAAACTTGCCCCCCCTCACCGCCCAGGGGGAGGGGTGGGGGGGCTGATTTTAACGTCATTGTACGTCCCCCTCGAAATGACGAAATTTTGATTGTAACCATTTTTTCGTAGTGTGCTTATTTTTCGAGTTATTTGGCTGCCTAAGTTAAAATGGGTCACGCTGTATATATATATATATTATATATATATATATATACACACACGCACACACATACACATATATGTAATAATAATATATTTTCTTATATTTATTTATTTTTTTTTATTGTATATATGCAATGAATTTTATTTTTTTGCACATAAAGTTAAATGAATTAATGGCACAGAAATAATCAGTCGAGTAAAAAAATATAATTCTAAGCTAACAATAAAAATTGCTTTTTTTTCTATTAAAGAATATAAATAACATTTATATTCTTTAATAGAACATTTTATATCATCGTTACATATATTTTATGATATATTTTCAGTACATTCATATAAATATAGTTTTAATAGATTTTCAAAGATATATTTTTTAAATTATATTAAGAGAATAGGTAATACTTTATCTAACATTATAATTTTTTATTTTTACTTTTCGATGCATTTTTATGTATATTTCATATGCAAGTATATGTAATTGTATTTTTGAGATTTTTAAAATAAAATTATAATTAGTTATAAATGTATAATAAATTCCAATTAATGTTTATATATTTGTACCCAATTATAATAGTATATGGAACATTTAAAATAAAAAAAGTGATTCGTATAAGTAAAAGTTTAAAGTAATTTTATATCCAAAATATAATATTTTATATTTTAGTAGTTATATGATTATGTTTAAATATAATATTACAATATATATATATAATTATTATATTATATTATATTATATTAGATATGAAATCATTAGAAACTTCTGTTTATATCAAGCTTTTTAATTTAATTATACATATATGCATCCGAGATAATTATCTGTCAGAAACAAGAATATTCTATATGTAATATTATTAAATGATTGCAATAACATTGCATTCTTTCAAATATATTCTACTGCAATGTTGCTATAATATATACTTTATTGCAATATTGCAATGTTTCAATAAAATTATTCTTTAATATATCTATGCAATCTTATTGTGCTGTATGAGTATTTTCAGTTGCTTACTGTTAAGTGTTGAAAAAATAAATCTTTCATCAGCCGGCCATGTAAAAATTTCCTCATATTCGAGATATCTCAATATCAAGCGTAACTGGTATAAAGTTCCCGATTGTAAATTGCCGATATGGTAAGTTGCTTCTTTGTTATAATTAATTTTAATATAATTCGTTGTTTCCCACTTTTCTGTTGCAACCTCTTTGAACTCTAGGGTAATAAAGTCCGTAAAATTGACGTTTGAGATCCATGAAATGTCCATGCTATTTGTGTTGACCTTGCTCAAAGTAATATTGTTTGGTTCTGAGTATATGTGATCGATCTTACTTAAACTCTCGTTGTAGAAATCGCTGAAATTACTTGGATATACACGTACGTATATCAAGTAATCTTGTACTGGTAGCGACAAGTTAATCTTTGTGAAAAATCTGCCGTCTGCCATACGTTTCGGCACATTGATAAATTGTTTATTCTCTTGTTGCATGTCGTTCACTAACTTCCAATGCACTTCGTAGCTCACAACCACGCAGTTCAATTTCTTGGGTGGCATCCAATGAACTACTGCTATAGTAGGCGTCAAAGCTAAAACACTTATGTTTTCTGGTACATTAAGCTTGCCCAAATTAGTTTTTATTCGTATCACGTTCGAATCGAATGGATTTATTGATAATTGATCAAAGTAAAAATTGCTTAAAATAAACTTCAACTTGTACTCTGTTAATGGTGTTAAGTTCTGAATCTCGTAATATCGCTCGGCTGTCAGCACATTGAATTCTTCAGACTTGTTGAAGTTGTTGTCTAAACAATGGCTTACAAAGATAGTATATATAGTAATTGGTAAATTATATTTTTTGCATCCACTCTTTACAACCGGCTCTGGTAAATTTACAATGATGCTGTTTGCCGTTGCAGTCATATTCTCAAAATTATAAACTTTTTCGTCAGGTGTTAGACATCTCATTGGAGGATATGGTTGTAAATATTTATTAAAAGCGTAAATACTATAAAAATTATTTTTATGTGAGCTTATTAATATCTTTTCAACATATTTGTTTGCATTTACACTCTTGAGACTTGCATATTTCTTTTTCAAAACGAGAATATATTGGAGCGAATCAATTGCTAAAATGTAAATGTTTGTTTTATCAATTGTCATAGATTTGAAATTGATGTTATCACCTACGTTTTTCTTGTATAAAATCGTATTGCACGTAGAAACGTTAATGTCTGTTACAGTTGTGTAATTCTCACTTAACCAGTAAATTAACGGCTCCTCATTATTCATGTTATCAATTATCATATCACGAAAAAAATCTATATAATGAAATAGGCAAAAGGATGCATTTATCTGAACAATTTGTTCGTTTTTTCCATCGAGATGATATTTCATCATATCATATTCTCGATTCTTCCGATTGTATGATATGTGATATAAAATTCTAAAAAAGATATAATTATTTTACTCGCTCTTATAAAACATTATTTTAACAAAAACAGAAATTTATATGTGGTAAAAATTCGAAATTCTTATAATTATATAACTTATTATTTTTTTTACTTATAATCTTAATTATAAAACCACGTAAAATTATAGAAAAATTACAAATTTGCATTAATTTTTAATAGAAAATTATTTTTTTAGGCGAACGGTAGTAAATGGTAGTAAACGTACCCCATAAACGGTGATATTCTTAAATAGCCATTATCAATTTTTGATTTGAAAATCTTATCAAGTTTAATCATGCCATTTTCCCACAATGTTAAGTCCAACTTTATAATGTAATAGTAGTCTGACTCTGAATAGGTCCAATATAGATTTCTTGCTACCCAGTCAATGCAGAGAGCATGTAGATCATAATCAAATGTAGCTATTTTTGTGATATTATTTTCATTAATCAGTGTTATTAGATCTCTTTCGAAGATCCAATAAATTCTATGTTCTTGTATCGAATAAGCAGCATTTATTACTAATCTGAAAAAAGGAGTCAACTATTTGTATAATAAAAAAATTATAATTGAGATTTCTAATTTTATAGTTATTATTACTATAATATTGATAATAAACTTGTACGTAGTAATATAATAACTTTAACTTTATAGTGTCAAAAATAATTTGATAGTTATAACCATTTTTTTATCACTATACGTACTTATCATATAGATAATTATCAAAGCTAGCTATTTTTGGGATTTTATTTTCATTAATCTGCGATGTTACTTCTTCGAGTCCTCTTCTTTGGCTTATCATCTTAATTATTATTGATCTGAAAAAAGAAGTCAACTGTAATTGTTTAGTAAAAATATTATAATTGAGATTTCTAATTATAGTTGAGATTTCTTGAGATTTATTTTAGTTTAAATTTAAGTTTAAATTTTAGTTTTTTCTTTAATAGTTGAGATTTCTAATTTTAGTTGTTACTGCTGTAATGTTACTATTATAACTATTTTAATTATTACTACTATAATGTTGATAATAATAAACTTGTGCATAATAATAATAATAATTTTAACTTTATTGTTAGTGCTAAAAATAATTTATGATAATTATAACTATTTTTTTATCAGTATATGTACCTTTCAGAGTGAGTAAACCTAATTTCATAAATAAACGACACTATGAAATTAGTAATGTTTAAATCGACGTCCCATATTTGGATACCTAGATTCGTTGTTAGTAATAATTTTGGTATTGGATTTTCATGTGTAGTCGACACATTGATTAAATCTGTGTAAGGTCTAGCAACAATTTTAGTATGCGCACGTACTCGAAAATAATATGTCGTGTTAAATGTTAGATTGTGAACCGTGTGCTCCAATTCTGTAGTTGTGATATTTTTATCCTCGCAGATTTGAATCTTTTTTAAATCCTCGATGAAAAAACACTGCACCGTGTACCCTTGTATTATTTCATCGGTAAAGTTAGGTTGGTTCCATCTATAAAAGAATAACATTTTAGTCTTTTTATATTTAGTAAACTTATAACAGAATTAACATTTTGATATATTTATGTCGTTGAATTTAAGAAAAGAGAGAAAAATGAAAAAATACAAACTGATAATTTAGATTCTTTACCTCAATGTCACAAAAATGTCGTTTACTTTTTCTGTGAATTGACTGTCGAATTGTACAAATGCTCTGAGAGATGTTGGCTTGTCCAAATTGTTTTCTAGAGTAGATTGTACATATTAACATAATTATATTAATAATTATGTGGAATTCTGAGTAAATCAGAAAGAACAATTTAATGTGAAAATAAAAGAAAGAGGAAAAATAAATCTAAATTACAAAATATGAAAATTAGCACAGTATTGATCTTTAAAAAATAAAATAATATGAAAAATTTTTGCGTCATTTAAGACTTAGAAAAGTAATTGTTAATACATAGCAAAAACGAATAAACAACTTTTAATAAAATGATAAGTACTTTTCGAAAAATTTCTACAGTTTAAGAAATCAGGAGTATAATATTTGTGATTGTTTTAAAACCAAGTAACAAATTACTAAAATTGACTTTACCTTAAATCATGACAATTTTTATGTACAATGTTATGTTTATATTATGCCTTTTTATTTTTTTTTTCGACAAAATAGAATTTATATTTTTTTCATTGCTGGAAGATATTTTTAAGTTTATTTCCACTCTTTCTTAAATTTAAATTGTATTTACACTTTTTCATCATAGATTATTAATGTTTGATGCATTTTTTTGTAACTTACCGATAAATTCTCGGATGATAGAAATATTTGTAAGTGTAACTTCATCGACTTCTCGCTCATTTCTCACAGTACTATCAGAATGACTCCGGTCAGATTTGAAATTTAGTATACGATGATAATTTTTCTCGGACATTGAAATATCCTTCATAAAGTGTAACATACGAAAAGAATTATAAAATGAATATCGTTGAAGCGTTTGTTTCTAGTGCTTTTAATGATAAATTATATAAATTATAAAATTAAACGAAAAATTACCATTCGTTTTTTGTTTGCTTAATAATACCGGTTTGATATAAACCATTCCTAAATGATATATATTCAATGCGATGCAGTTTTATTCATATTGTAAACTCTATTTTTTATTTTTTCATTAAAACATCTTGTATATCAAACATAACTCATCATATCAAAAAGAAAATCAATCAATGTAGGTAAACAAAAGTCAATGACGATTCATAACAGCTTTTAGCAAGTAGTAGAAGCGAAAGTGTAGTGCAATTATTAAAACAATTTTGTCTAACGATTTGATTCTTTCTTATGATAGGTTAGTTAACTTTTCTCAATTTTACTATAAATTTCTTTTCAAAAATTTGCCAATATTACTAAAGTTCTATTAATGTTTGTACTTCAAGCATAAAAAGGTTAAAAATATTGTTTCTTTACAGTTATTAAATATTAGTCATAGAAATTATAAATATTCTTTTATTTATATCCTTGTCAAGAATTTTCTCGAGTGTCGTTATATTTTTAACAATCAAATCCTGAAAATGATAATATAAACCGATAGTATAAACCGATAATGCCTCGATAAGAATATGTGTATGTAATTGTATATGAATGGATATATGTGCAATGAAAATTAATATAAATTCCAGCAATTGTTATCGAATGTATCGTCGATCGAAATATTAACGTTAATAAATACAATTTAAAGAATGTTTGATGAAGGATTTTTTTATTAGACAGATTTTCCATCTCGATATTTAGCTCTGTTTCGTTATATAATTACCCTTAACACAAAGAAGTGATGCTAACTTTTTAAATTAATTTCTTAAAATAAAATCTACTTAAATCTTACTATATATCAATAAATATTCTAAATATTATAAATATCTAGAAAGATAAAGAAAGTTTAGAAACTGAAGAAAAATAACATAAAAATCTATTGAAGTGTCATCGTATGTATATATTAATGTAGCAGATAGTAGACAGAAAACTTCATTAAATTTAAAAATTGTTATTTTGGAAATAATTATTTTATATATATATATATATATATATATATATATATATAGAGAGAGAGAGAGAGAGAGAGAGAGAGAGAGAAAGAGAGAAAATACATAGTCAAATTTTAAAATATCGTTTTAATTAAATTCAATATACTATATAACATTCATTTGTAAACAAAATTTCGAAACTTTATCCATCTGTTTTTTACATTATCATATATATTTTTTATATTGAATTGTTTTATTTTATCTTATCTTATTATATAGATAGAATATATAATTTATTCATTCATTTTTAGTCACACTACTAGCTGCAATAACATTCAATTATTTCTTAATCAAGCGAAAAATATCTCTTACCTGCGTGAAATTTAAATCCGGATAGATGGAAATACTTTCTTCCTGAAGGATGTTTAAACTGTTATCATCCTTCGGCGTGATAGTTGCCTTTGTCAATATTAAACCTTGCAATAAAACACATAAAATTGCTCCAAACATAATTTGCATTTTTAATAAACGTTTGCACTCAATCAGTTTCCGTTCAACCCTCAATTAATTGTTTTTTTCACTCTACTAATTCTGATGTGTAAATCGAATTGATATTAATTCACATAGATACATATATTTTTGATAAATACTTTAAAAGTCTGTTTTAACGAATTGCAAGTTATTATCTTCTAATATTATGTTTTTAGATTTCTCTTTATGATCACGATCACAGTATATATCTTAAGATTAAATTAGAGAATTCTTAGTAAGTAAATAATTTCTATGGTACATATTCATTGGATTGTATCGCGAATACAGGAATATAATTATTATTTATCCTTTTTCATTAATAGAAAAGCAGTCAATAAAAAGATAACCACAATAAAATTACAAATCATCTAAGAAATTATAGAATTATAGATCTTGTAACATTTTCAGCCAGATTCAAACACACGCAGCGTATAATCGAATTCACTCAATATTTGCTATATCTATTATTAAATATGTAATTATGACAATTCGTTCGTACGATTGTGTTACTACGTGCTATGTTTTTTAAAATCCAGTATTTATACACAATTACACGGTTTCTCTAAACTTTATATAATGCGGTTTGAATCAAGCGATAAATAACCGTGGTAACGTTTGGCTAGCGATCACAGTAGTAACTGACTTCGAATGGTCAATCCGATCTGTTACCATGACATTTTATTAGCTCCATTCCGTTTGTAATTTATTTTTTCCGCGAAGATACTCGTTATTTCAAAAGAAATTTAAATCCTTAAGAATTGTTTGTCAAAAAATTTATATATATAAGACAAAATTTTATATATATATATATATATATATATATATATATTTATATACATATGACTGTTTAATAAATTTTATTAAACTTTATTTTATTATCTTCTTATATTAATTTATTTTTGCGTAACCTTCTCTTTGGCATAAGAAAAACATTTATTATATAAAAAAATATTCTAATTATGAAAAGTAATAATGGAAAAGTAATAATGGACTTAAAAAAAGAGATTTACACGTTTTCTGTTCACATAATGCATTTTGAATCAAGCAATATGTAACACGGCAGCGTTTTTACACAAATATAAATAAATATACAATAAATATACAATAGCACGTAAACTGTAAAAATAACTAAAATAAATAAAATAATTAATTCTACAAGCTATTATTATCGTTATTTGTACGGAATAATCTATAATATAATAACTTATATAACTTTATAATTAATGTAATATAATATATTATAATAATTTATAATATTAATTACTTTATTATTTAAATTATACTACTGTAATTTTGTATGTGACAACCTTTATAATATGCACTAGTGTGCATAAAACTAAATTTTCTCTTTTTCTCGCTATAAATCAATTGCTTTATTTCCAAAAAATTGGGATAAACACGTTAATCACACTTTGTTAAATAATATTGAAAATAATTATGTGATATTAACCGGTCTCCTTTTGTAATTTCATTCAGTCCATTCATATATTAAATGATACATTTTTATTTCCCAAAATGTTTTTGTATTGTTAAAGAGGCATTCTGCATAAGAATATTTTTAATAATTTCAACAAGTGTGTATATAATGTTTTCTTTAAATTGATACACAATAATATATATATTTTCACAAATATTTATAAATTTATAAAAATTTATTCTCTTTAGAATAATATCAGTACGTACATACATTTATATATATAATTTGAAATAGGAAAGAGCTCCAAAACATAATGTAAAAAAAGACTTCAAAGAAAATTACAATTGTATGTGTTAATATTTATGAATTTACAGAATAGTTAATATTAGTTAATACATTAAAGCGCAAATCTTACATAAGATACAAAAATATGCATGTGGAATGTTTAATGAAATATTGAACAAACATTCCAATATTAATATCTGTTTACAATTTATTCATCTATAATTTATTTATATCAGTTTGATAATATCTATTGGATTCAATAAGTCATCTTTTCGATGTCACTTCTAATATAATATTTTCGAGGAAAAATTTGATTTAATTTTTGCTGTATTGCAACAACAGATTATTAAAATCAATGGATAGTTAATTCTTTAACTATCAATTGTTGTCATCAATAGACGGCAAAACATTTTATAAAACACAGTTGACGTCAATAAATACTTTATGATATGATTCCGAGATCGCATATTTCAATTTCAATTTCAATGATTCTGTTTATGTGATGTTATCTCGGGTTTGCAATTATTTATTTTATTCATTCAATAATTCATATTATTTATTTATATTACGAATCTCTCTCTCTCTCTCTCTCTCTCTCTCTCTCATTCTAAATTATCTAAATTATTTAAATTTTTAACTTATATTAGTATAACATATAAAATATTCTGGATTTTATTTTAATATACTTAAAATATCTAAAAAATGTTCTCATATTAATTAATATTTTTATAGAGATAGTAATATTTTATAAATTGTTTCACAATAATATATTATATAGATATTTTATGCATAAAGTTCCATGATGAATTATTTAATAAGTAATCAATTTTAATCAATAAATTAAAATATTTCTATAATTTAATATTCCGCGTTAGTGTACATTTTATAATATAAAAAATATTTCGGCAACGAATTATCGATAATACGATGTTCGACTTTGGCAACATAAAATGTAAACAGTAACGCGCTATGTTAGGGCTTCATCATCATTCGTATGGTGGCACTCGAGTAATAAAGTAGTGGTGCGAAACGCCTCGTATATTGTAATTTAAACACGACTACGATTAGTATCGAAACATAATTTGCTTTAATTATTAATAATTAAAAATTAATTATCTTCTGATAGACGACATAAAAATGTTCCGCAATGATAAATCTTTATCGAATCGCAATCATTCATTACTACGAATAAAAATTGAAATAGGAAATACATAAAAGGGGATAAGTGAATTAATTATGTTATGATCTTTCGATCATTAGTACTTATTATAATAATATTTCTTTAAAAATATTATAATTAAATATGAAATTAATATTTCGACCAATGCTTTAAATTTTCTTAATCGGCAATCCTTGTTAATACAATAGTTATATATCATGATATATATATATATATATATATATATATATATATATATTAATTTAATCTTTTAATCTTACGATACATTAATATGTTAGATATATAAGATACATTAACATGTTCAAATATTTCCACAATGAATTATCCTAATATCCTACCTTGGCGGCAGTGAGCGGATGATTTTGTTTTACGGTCTTGTTATGTGAATTTAAATTTGTATACTTTATTACTAGATAAATTCCAAATTATATATTATATTATATAATATAACCCTCTCATAGGGTGCACCTTGTCGCGGTGGGAGGGCTTAATACTTGGATGGTGCCTTGAGTTTTATCTTAAATTTTTCTATTTATGATAAATTTAAGGAGCCTGAAGGAGAAGCTATCCTTTCGCGTCGTCGGTGCCGTCAACAGCCGCAGACGGCGACGATTCGTCACCGCGTTTTCGCGTTGTAATATTTTCGCATTATCGAGCTTCATGTTCAAGTCGGCTTAGTGATGGTCACGCTCTACTTCGTCAAGTGATTCGAGCCGAATCGGTTAGAATTCGATCGATTGCTCGAATGGATCTTTTAAAATGCAAAATTAAATATTATAAAATTTGAACTCGGAAAAGCGCGATAAAACAATCGAATAAATTTAAATAATTAGCTCCGTGATGAAATGTTTAATAAATAATCAATTTTTATCAATAAATTAAAATACTCCTATAATTTAATATTCCGCTCGTGTATATTTTATAGTATATAAAATATTTCGGGAACGAATTATCAATAATATTATGTTCGATTTTGACGACGTAAACAATAGCGTGCTATTGTTTGTACATTATGGTATTGCTATCATTTGCTTGATGACATTCGAGCAGTAAACTTTAGATATTTTCCGATATCTGTGGGCGTAAAGTAATATTTAGGGGTAGTTTAGGTTTATTTATATTGCGATATTTTGCAATATTTTGCGATATTTATGGGCGCAGTGTAATATTAATTATCTACGAGTAGTATAGATTTAATTACAATGCGATATTTTGCGATATCTTGGGGCGCAGAGTATTATTCTGTATCTAGGAGTAGTTTAGGTTTATTTATATTGCGATATTTTGCGATATTTGGGGACGCAGTATAATATTAAATATCTAGGGGTAGTTTAGGTTTATTTATATGGCGATATTTTGCGATATTTGGGGGCGCAGACTATTATTCTGCATTTAGGGGTAGTTTAGATTTATTTATATATTGCGATATTTTGCGATATTTTGTGGCGTAGTTTTATTTTCATTAAAAAAAATATCTAAAATAATGATGCGAAATGCTTCGTATGTTAATTAAATGTATAATAAATAATCATTTCATTAATCTATAAATTGGAAAACTTCTACAATTTAATATTTTCATATTTATTATATGTTACGTTATCATTCACACGGTGATACTCGAGCAATAAAGTAATGGTCCGAAACGCTTCGCATATTGTCGAATATTTTTTCTAAATACGATTGAAATTAGTATCGAAACATAATTTGATATAATTATTAATAATTATAAATTAATTAACTTATGATAAAGGACATGAAACTGTATCGCAACGATATATCTTTACCAAATCGCAGTCATTAATTACTGTGAATTAAAATTGAAACATGGGATATATAAAAGAATTAATTTTGTTATGATCTTTCGATTATCGATGCTTATTATAATAATTTACATAACGATACTTATTGGAATTAAATAAATTTCGACCAATGCTTTAAATTTTTTTAATCGGCAATCACTCATAGAATATTTCAACGAGGAATTATAACAATAAGTATAAATCGACCTTGGCGATATAAACATTGTAGTTATAAATATTGTAGTTTTTGGCTTATGGTCATTCGCACAGGAACCTTAAGCAGTAAAGTAGTGGTGTGAGACGTTTCATATATTTTCAAATTCTTTTCTTTCTTGGTCGACGTTGCGA